ACAAATGTATTGAAACTGCATGGAAAAAACGCCTCTGCACGTTATTATTAGTTCAATAAAGTTCAGCCTCTTGCCAGCTGTTCCTAGCTATCTTCTCTATAGCTGGAACAGCGACTCTCTCATTGCGCTTGAGTGTGCTTGGTGACAAATTGGGTATATTCAGAGCAGATAAGATTGTGTCGAATCTTGTGCCCTCAATGTCACGGTCTATCATTGCTGTGATGTATTACACGAAAAAAAGAAAATTAAGAGACGAATAACCGCTCATTTTGGATGTGTTTATTTGTATTCCCTGTGTAGTTTTTATTTCACTGTGCACATTTCACATCGAGTTCACTTCCGAGACCGGTTTTGTCCGCATGTTTCGAAACGATAAACTGTGCTTGATAAACTGTCACAAACTGTGCACCAAAGATCCTGAGAAAGAGTTTCCAATTCCACGATGCGGCGTTCGTAGAATTCAAATGTCTCTGGCTCATCAGGGAAAGTCGGGAACTTTGTCTCCAAAGGTATTTCAAATTCGAAATAAAGCGTCCTTTTGCACGTCCGTGAATAGCGCGAATTTTAAACCGCTCCATTGGTTAGGTGACACGAGGCATATACACAAATCCGTATGGACTCCCTTAACAGGAGACTAGCTACTGCGGCGTTGCCAAGTTTATCTGTACGTTATTAAAATGGCGACCAGGATGAATAGATCAAGATCAACCGCACTATTTTCGCGATGTTTCCCGTATCAGTAAATAATTAAATATAATTACTACGCGCGTGTAAAATCAAAATTTGTATTTTTATTATTATTGGGATGCTGCAATATCTCTATTTCCAATGATTCTATAATGTGCTTTCACTTGACTGGCTAATGCGAAAGGACTACCTTAATTGAATCGATTGATTGAACTAGGCTGCATAGTGCACGGGAGAGAACGCCCTTACAGATGCAATTAAATGACTCGTACAAGTTGGATCTAAATTAATCACCAGTTACACGGCGATTAGTCCTAATGGGAGTCAAGTAACTGTTGCTCTCATAGAAGCCTTCCTTTCTATCATAGGGCGGATGAATAACTTTTTTAAGAATTTCTTTCTTCAACGCGATCGGCTAATCATTTGCTCCTAGCTAGGGAATCAATAGAATCAATCGAATTAATGGGGTATTGATCATTCAGTGATATTATTTTACATACTTTGTCAAACATAGATTCTACTGTTACACTCGCTTATACACAAAAATTCTTTTCCTTCCTTCTTTTCTGTGTGCCTCGGACCAATGCTATCAATCCAAACGAACGCCATTGACTACGATCCACTCTCTTGGTGTTTGTGTACGAACTTAATTATTCAAATAAAGCGTAACCGTCAGATTCGACCGACGCCACGTGGTTACTTTGTTTGGGGATTATTAACAATATTTTGACAGACAGAGGTACAGTCTCTAATGCCACGGACCGATAAGGTAACACGAAGCTCACCAGACCCAGGTCTCCCCCATCCCGTAGATTCTTTGTAAATTTTGAAGCTTTCTATACTGCCAACCAGTGGGAGAGAGACGGTCTTATTGGGACTTGCGTGAGTGCGACGAGGACGGACGCAGCGCTCGAAATTTCTCGAACTTTCCGTCTCCATACGTTACTTATTCAATACTTCGCAGGCATGTAATTTCGGTTGCCTCTTTACCTGCAATAGCTGTTCCCGTTAATATACTTGAGCTTGGTAATAACTCTGGTATGCTTGGTGTGTGTCTACTTACTCATACAAATAGTCTATTCCATTCCCCTTCTACTTTGTCTCAAGCACTCACTATGAATACAGACCATGGACTCTATTTTCGACCGTAACAGTCGCGAATATCTCTGTGTCATGTGTCAAAGATTCCATAACGTTCTAGCTCGGGCATAGGTCAACGTTTGTACCGATAAGGAAGAACATTCGCTAGAGACAAAAATGGCTTGAACAGTTATCACCTTTGTTGTCAACGTTACAGGCACGATTGGACGCAACACGCGAGTTCATCTGAATCTCGTACGCTTGTCCAACGCACTTCTCGATGTATATTTACTGTTCCGTCGCGATGCTATTTCGTGAATGCGCTTTCGCCCTTCATATGCCTGCATCCTTAAGCGGACTGTGAAACATAATGTTTTATTATGGATCATTTGAATTTACCGCACATTTTAATGGTTCGAGGTATCTGCTATGCTTATTCTTATTATGCCGTAGGTCGTGTCCGGTGGTATACGACACTGTGAATTATTTTATTAACACTTTTAGTACCGATTATATCCATGGAGACGGAGGGCGCTCTAGATTTTGCACGACCTATGGCGGCTGTTGAACCCACGTTTGTTACTCTCTGTCTGTCTCTCTCTCTCTCTCTCTCTCTCTCTCTCTCTCTCTCTCTCTCTCTCTCTTTGATCGTCTTCGGTCTATGTCAACGCTTCTTTGTTTTCCGTACGTTATAGAAATAGGCATCAGGATTACTTACTGCTATTAATTATTATACTAGCTATTCGCTGTTGCTACTTACTATTACTTTCTATTATTTAGGATAAATAATAAACATAGATCTCTATTAAGGCCATTCTACAATGCAACGGGACACGTAACACGGAACACATAAGCGGCACGATATTCAATTGTATATTTACCTAATTCCATTGGATCCTCCACTCTCTACGATTTTGGCTACGTCTCGGACATAGCAACGATACGGAAGCGGTTGCTAGGGTCGTTAAGGATTTCACGGAGCACGTAACGTGATGAGTAACATCGACCATGCCCCGTTCCGTGCACCGTAACGGCTTACGTGAAAAAAACGAATGGCCCGCCAATATTTCCATGCGTGAAATGTAATTACCTGCCACCTGTCATTACCAACTCTATAGACGGGTTCATTAGAAATATCGTTAGAGAAATCAAATTTCTCTTCGATAAAAGTCATCGTGACATTAAAAATGAAGTAATGATTTACTTATGAATAAACGCATACACATTTTTTTTAATATTTATATATTGACAGATAATTACCTGAGTAACTCCTTGGAACTATTAATTAAACCACCAGAAATTGCAAAAACGTTATTAAAAATTACCTACCTTAAGTGCTATTGCTCCTATCGACTACTGTACCGTTAGTAGTAAGAAGTAAGTAAAACGTGACAACAAGTACGTTTATTAGTAGTATTTTTCCTATCTACTATACACTTTACATTATCTGCTCGACTGATTGTGAGTAGGTGCTGCGTCGTTTGGTGCTAATTACTATTAAAATTTATTTCTGTTATTTTGTCTGATACTTTTATGCTAATGCTTGTACGCAGCAAGTTATCTTAATTCTCTTCTTTTTGTTTCGCTTTTTAATCATTTCGTGTGCATTACATAACTCTATTTGTTTCTAAGTCTATCATGTCTGCAGCTTTGCAAGCTCTGTCCCCGGGCCATAAAAACTTAATATCCCTATCTCTCGTTCTTTTGGAAAAAGAAAATTCACTTTGACGGAATAGAGAGTTGGTTAAGGCATTCCATTGAATTTCCGAAACTTAAAACAAACCATATTTTTTGTCTAAATATGTAGCATACAGATAAGACGAAATGTCTATAAAATAATCTTCGTAACGAATGTCTATATTTATAATTTTTTTGTCATTTTTCTCTCTCTCCCTCCCTCTCTCTCTCCCTCTCCCTCCCTCTCCTCCTCTCCCTCTCCCTATCTCTCCTTAACGAAAAGCGCGTCGGTTCACGAGTGCTAAGAAATTACCCAGAAGAGAAAGTAAAAGGGGAATAGTGGAAGAAAAAAAAAGAAAAACGTTACTAGGAAGTCTCCTATCTATAGAGCAAGAATTTGGCACAACTCTATGGATTAATGACCTTTTTAAATTTACCGGTATATACATATATGTATACATATATTCAACTTTCAATCGTATACTCGATACTCTCAACGGTGAGCTATGACAGGATAAGTACACTGAATACAATAACCGAACTTTATCAATTCCTCGAGATAACGATTGCATCGAGATACTTGGGATTTCGATGAAAACGATTGAGGGCCTTGACCGTAGGACCTCTTCCGAATGACGACGTAGCTTCAATTCACATTTCACGTCCTCGCTTTTAATCATTCGTCACTCGTCTGGATTTGGTCTCCGCTTCTCTCTATCTTATTGTATCTGCACATACATATATATATATATATATATGGCACTCACGCTCCCGCCTGTACCGTCTGTCATTGTTCGTTATTGGTAACACTGTGCCGTCCCTTTGCCCCTTCCTAATATATACACGTATATGTGCATCAAATCGTTCTTTCCGATGTCGTCGTTTGCGTGAGAACGAAGCGGCGACGTGCTTTTGAGCGACGGCTTGACGGCCGTCGCGACACGATACTTGCTAACACTTTATTTTGTCTAACCGCCTTGTAGATTTCCTAAGCCAGGTATAGTCTGGCAGCAGAACCCCACACTCATTCGTCTAACTTAATTCCAAGAATACACACACAGTTACGTTACGGGGTTCTGCTGCACGTGTGTACGCGGCTTTACAGAGAGTCTTCCTTTGTTTCTCTGTATATACTTTTGTTGGCGATTATTCCCAAGATTTGCTATGGCTTTGTCACGTGAGTCTGGTTTTCGTGTACGGACCAGGTCACGTTACGGCTTGTTGACGACTTAATATTAATCAGAAACGCCATGTATATATCTATGGGCAACGAATCATTGCGTAGAAAGTTTTGCTGTTATTTTATAATGGCAGAATTAACGACTCGTGTAACGAGCGATAAAATTACATTGATAGAGCGTTTGAGCTCGTTAGTTCCGGTGACGACACGCCGTACTGTAAAGGTGCGCGCGCAAGTACGTCGATCGCTGTCATATGAATTCTGCTAGGTAAATAATGTCGATTTTCAAAAAGTCTGAAAAAGTATCGGAAAAACGTTGACCAAAAATGATGACAGTTGTCAGACAATTAAATTGTTGTTTTTTTTTTGTTCTCAGCATTGGTCGGCTCCCTCACTATCGGAACGACGTTCTTCTTGTCGCCAATCGCCGGGATTCTAACTGACAAGATCGGTATACAAATAACGACCTTTATAGGCGGTGCACTTGCTTCCGGGGGAATGTTCCTGTCCTCCCTACTTACTGATAAGGTATTATTCTATTTGTTATCAATCGAACGTTATAATTATTTTGAAGTACCTTATTGTGGACTGTCGTTATTTTTCTTTTTTTTTATTAATTTTTTTTTTTATATTTCTTTAGGTGGAGGCACTGTACCTTACGTATGGTGTGATGTACGGTCTCGGTGCGAGTCTTGCTTATACTCCCAGTCTAGTGATACTCGGTCATTATTTCAAGCGTTACTTGGGCCTGGTAAATGGTATCGTTACTGCAGGAAGTTCTGTATTCACTATTTTGATACCGTACTTGATGGACATCCTACTGAAGCGCATAGGTCTCGAAGGAACTCTTAGAAGTCTTGCAGGACTCACGGCTGTGGTGATGGCCTGTGCCGTGCTCTTCAAACCCATTACTCGTGAGTGCAATCAATTGATGATACTAATCGCTCAATGGATTTCGAATTTATAAAGTCATCTGTTGGGGATATTGTCTGTTCGTGAAGCTGACTGATACAAGTGTATGCTATTATCAGTGGCATTATTGATTTTGAATAATTTTTATGTATTTATAATAATTTGATGGTATATATTTCTAAGATTATTATTTTTTGTTATCAGTTAAGAGACCCGTGCGACAGTCGTCATTGCAGACGAGGAGTTTTCGTAGAAAATTGCAGGAAATCATCAACGTCTCAATATGGAAGCGCAAGCGATACGTCGTTTGGGCCAGTGCAATACCGTTAGCGTTATTTGGGTCAGTAGTGGTTCTAATAATTTTTACCTTAATAGATAATCGACTCGAGCAGTCAACATCTTTTCAATTAATATTGACAGGATTGTCGGTGATAACGTTTAATGCAAAATAATTATGCAGCACTTTACCTCCTTCATTATTAGTAATATATAATATAATTGTCTATATTATATATTGTGTATTGTGTATCACGTATATGTCTTCCATTGGAAATAAGTAGTGGGCCACGCAATTGTTTCAACTACTCGGCGTCATCATTCACAGTCCACTGCCAATCATTTACCACTGAATTCCTGTCATTATTCAGTGACGCTCTAAATTGCTACAGATTTACGAGTGTCAGTCACGGAGATCTTTGTTTAAAACTGCGCAGAATAAAAAGAATATGCCTCTTTAAGCCATTTTATTATAATGATTTTAATTATCTTTAGATACTTCGTCCCCTATGTACATATCGCAACGTTCGTCGAGAAGGTCTTCAAGGATGCCGACGGTAAGCTTCCGGTTATGTGTATCGGTATCAGTTCCGGTATCGGTCGTCTCGTTTTTGGATACATCGCCGATTTGCCACGCGTCGACAGAGTGCTTCTGCAGCAGGTAAAGGACTTGTATTAATTTTGAAAATATATAAAAGAAAAAGCCATAATAAAAGTTAGTTTTTTTTTAAATACAGATTTCATTCATCAGCATCGGTATTCTGACTATGCTGCTACCAGTGACCAGTTCCTTTATCCTCCTGCTACTCATATCACTCTGCATGGGTCTCTTCGATGGCTGCTTTATCTCATTATTGGGCCCTATAGCCTTTGACATCTGCGGTCAACAAGATGCTACTCAGGCTATTGGTTTCTTACTCGGAATGTGCTCGATTCCATTGACAGTAGGCCCACCGATCGCTGCTCTACTTTACGATCACACAGGCAAGCGCCATTTTTTACGTAACAGAGCTAAATAGATAAAATCACATTTGTTAATCTTGTTACGTAGACCGTAGTCGCTCACGCGGCCTTTAAATTTGGTAATAGAAATTTAGAAGTAACCAAAATGAATGGAACGACCAAAGGTAACTTGAATAAAAATGAGTTAATTCCGAGCGGTAAGAATGCACTCAGTGGGGGGTTCGCTGCTCGTTTAAGGTTTTGAAACGCGCCTTGCTATTCAAATGATGAGTAATATTGCCTGAATTATTTGCGGAAGAGTGTTAGAAATTAAATCGTGGAGATTTTGATTGTTTGAGAGAGACTACTGATTCGATTTTTATAAATGTTATTAGGAATCCGGGGAATGCTTTACGTAACAATCTCTATATGGTTCATCTTATTTTTTCTTTAGGATCCTACGATCTACCATTCTTATTAGCTGGAGTCCCACCAATAGTCGGCGCTTTGGCAATGTTTTTCGTCAGATGCGTCAAGGACGATAAAACCACAGAACCCGTCGATCCAGCCTGTCAATCCCTCAACTCAACCTGGCAGAATGGTAAAACTTGAGTTTTCAATCATTAACCACTAACGTAGTTATATTAACATTGCCATTGACTCTGTAATTATTCCAAGTACCCGCACCCTGTACAGTTGCATATTTTTCATTGCACTATGGAATATTATCTGTATCATTGGTCGTTCGTTTAACCTCATTGAAATACGCTATTTTTCTTGTCTGGTGATGGTGGTGGTGGTAATATTGACAATTTCGTAGGGAATCCAAGAAACAGCACGATCCCGCCACCTTACACAGAGGCTGATGAGAATCGACGTCGGCAAGGTAGGTTGCGCTGCGATCGAGACAATGCCATTTTTATTAACTGCAGCAAGCACGAAAATTGCCCGTTGCTTGCCCGGTATTCCGAAAGTGCACCATTACGTGGCCATCTCGGAGATAGCTTTCCGATTCAGTATAGTTCATTGCGCGTCACCGATGACCGATTGTACGTGGGACGTGCACACGTCCGCGGTCGTACCTACTTTTTGAGTGTTAATGACAAGGCGCTTGCGTAGAGTGATACCAATGTGCTCTTTCTATTTTTAATTTTCGTACGTTTATCATGGATGCAATGTGTTAATTGTTTCATCAATTCCAATGACGCAATTTATTTATTTACATAAAACCTAGTCGAATTTATTGTTTCAATGTATATAATCTAGAAACCAATTTCATAGTTTGATAGTTTAAAATTAATTGAATGATGCGACTGCTAATATTGTATTTCTTTTTCGAGTTTCTTCTTATTGTGTTCTTTTTTACGTTTTTAGTTTCCTTTCGTTTTTCTTTTTTCTTTTATGCTACTCTCACAATGATTTCTCGTTGAAATCAGATGCCTGACTTGACCCTTTCAGATGTACTAATAAATATATTTTATTTTTGAATAATGATGCTTTTCTCTTTCTTTATCTTTTCTCACGCTCTATTTCTATCTCTCATTTTCTTTTTTAGGATTTTCCAAAAGAGGTAGGCAGTAGAACGTGCTTCCTCCTATTCTCTCCTTTCTTTCTTACTATTTTTAATTTCCTTAATGTTTCCAGTTTAATCTGGCAATCATTTTTATTAGTATTGCACGTAGTAGTAACAATATTTTTGGTGAGCTTCTTCTTTTTTTCATTGACAATAATTATAGATAGAATTTACTGTAAACTGACGCAGTTCTTCAAACTCTTCTGTATTTCAGAAGGGAAGGAACTCCAGGATTTACGCGCCAATGGAAACCCGCCGACTTCGCCGTAGAAGAATTTATCGAACTGCGCGTCGATTAAACAGCGACGTAGGAAAGTTTATTGAAAACTATTTTTTGTCCTTTCTCTTTACACGAAGTATGAATGCGTTTTTGCGCGTGCTTACCCAACAATTCCCAATGACAATGACAGCCGCATTATAAATTATGTCTGTATCAAGTTAAGCGGTGGGTTACTGGAAGTATAGATTTTAAAAAGAGAAATCTTGCCAATGTCATTGTTTCGTCTTTCTGTTTATAAATTTCCAAAATTTTTAATATTTTTTCAATCAAATTTCATGAAATCATTGGCAGTCATCATTTTTTCATAAAATTATTCAATTATCCCTCGTATGTTTACATAAAGATGACCACTTGCAATAGCATTTTTCACTTTTGTTTTGCATTTAAAACCTGGTGATTAATCTCACTTTTGATTCATGATTGGTCGATGATCAAAGAACAAATTCTCATTTTACACAATTTTTTTAAAATTTGAAATAACTTAATGATCACGTAGTACGTGACGATCGCATGTACTGGAACGAACGAATGATTAATGATACAAAGATACAATATTTTATCTCGCGTGGAAAATAATATTTTTCGCATAAATATTTCTGACCGTACAGTAGAGTGCGGGATAGCCGATTAATCTCTTGAATAAGAAAAGTATTTTTCAAATGAAGATATCAAGAAGGAAATAACGTCAAACCGCACGCAACGCGCGTCGAAAAGCATAATTGATATTCTGGTCGCCGTTTTAGTCGCAGTTTATAATTATTAAAGATTCGCCCTAAAGGCGAATGTGAAATTCTTGAAAGAAATCAGACGACGTTGATTGAATCATAGTATCCATAGACTCCTGAGCTACCTCGATTCGCTTATCACATAGGGAATTCAATTATTACCTAACTATTTTATATAAATATATTAATACAATCTGTGCCCGTTAATATAGTTATTATTGTTACTATTACTATTAGTACTACCGTTATCAATTATCATTCAGGGAGCAGAAACGATGCCTGGGGTAAAACAGAAAAATATATTAAAATTATATCAGTGCCATTGAAAGCGCTCGATCAGTTTAAATCAAATTTTAATTAACCTATCGAATCTCCTACCGATAATGAATCTGAAGTAAAAATCGATCATTATTATTTGTATCAACTGACTGCTGATATATGTATATGTAGATGGATCCAAAGAGAAGAACTTGCCATTATTTTGGAAAAATATTGATTTATCACAATTCGTGGGTAGGATGCGTATGATAGAAACGCAGCCTTAAGATGCATGTAATATTGGATCTATATTAATCAAAGCGTAATATATATTTGTAATGAACATAAAGTTACAAGAGCTGTTTAGAAAACAGAAAACTGAAGATCAACTAAATTACGTATTATATAACATGTGGGCATAGATTTACGAGAACACATGTTAAAACGTGGCATACAATAATTAATATCGAGAGATAATCGATAGTGATGAATTTATGAATTAATTACTATCAGCGAGTATATATCAACGAAATCATTTATTATTCTTTTATTGTCAGTTGAGCGTCGCGACGCTATAGTATGCGTACCACCCAGACCGCGTGTTTAGCCTTTTTAACGTTGTGCAACGAGCCTTATGAATCAATTGAGAAATAATCTAGAAGTGATGAACTCGGAAGCTTTACGCGTTTATTTACAATAGAAGCTGCCATACTGTGCTGTATTGATTATCAAATACTTCGTGTCGATAGCTGTCCATCGTATTAATTATTAGCACAATTATTAGCTTTTGATGGAGCAATTCGGGTACTAGAGAAGTACTTAAATCTTTAGGAAAAATGGAACTATGATATATATTTTAGAGAGATTTCCCAAAAAGCTGCATGTCGTATTTTATATCTATGTATGTTGAACCAGTAAATAAATCTATGTACGTTAATTATGTCGTTTATATTTACAACTTATTTATTAATTATTGAAAATACGTTTTCGTTAACCCTTTCGCTACGACGATCTGCGTCGTGCACGCTCTTCCGTTGAACGTGGCGCCGCGCCAAAGGTGTACTACACATTGCGCATGTATATCGTGTATAGCGCGCGTTCTGTGGCGGGTGACTGCAGTCACCTGCCGTGTGTGGCAGGTGTTCTCTCGCGGGTGACTATGGTCACCCGTCGTATCGAAAGGGTTAAAAACGACTCTTGCTGACAGAGTTTTACGTTGTATTACAAAATTTTTGGTTAAGTATAGGGTATAGTGTTAGAATTGAAAGAGTTACTGCGCATGTGCGAGACTCCCCACTCCGCGCTGCTCCGATCTGTCTTCAGGCACGCGAGCGCTCCGGTTCATTGTCGCTCTCAATACAGCAGAGGCTTCGGATTGCTAACAGTACGTTGGACGATTCTATCTGCTGTGATTTATATTTCGGAAACAATGCAATCGTTAGCAAATCACGCGTGGCTCTGAACATAATTTTTATTACAAAGTACGCATTTACATGGAATTTCACTGAAGTAGATTGTATTTTACCATTATAGTTTAAATTTTCGTAATTTTAGAGAAGGATGCGTGTGTTTTGCTAAGGATTGCACTGTTAGGAATTGTAAAAACAAACACACTGAACTTTTTAACTATGTACCAGTGTTGATTGACAAGGAAGGTACCTTGGGTGTCCCCTTCCGATTTCGTTCGTTTTGAAATATGTAACTCTTCATCAAAATGTAAGAGACAATTTAATGTACATGTAGAGGTAATAAAAACGGTTTTAAGGGGTGAAATCAATCCCCAAAGTTGGGTTCTTCGAGGGCGGTTTTCACATATTTTCAGTCGAGATATTTAAATGGGACTAATTGGAGGATATCCTCATGATGAATAATTGAAAAATGCATTTTGGTCGGTTCTGGTGCTCTGAGAGAAAAATATTGTTGCATTAAAGAAAATATAGTTAGTCTGACGATAATCTTACTATAAAATATAATTCCCTGTGGTGACGTCTATATTTTATGGTTATTCCAAAAAAATGAAAAAATGATTGCATAAACCATGAATTGAGGCTGTTGCGAATAATTATAGTAGTTATAATCATAAATGTTATAGTTTTGTATATACTATCTTGTTGTATATACATTTGAAAATTCTGTTTTAAATAACTTTGCTATTATCGTGTATTCAATTATATTATCATCGCTTCAAATGTAAAATATTGCAACCCTTCCTATACTTCTTTTATAATGTAAAATCGTTAAGTCATCTATATATTCTTCTCCCAGTCTGGGGTGAATGCATAAAAATGTATAGGGATTCGAAAGTTCGAAGTTTTTATAACAATGAAACTATCGATTCGAATTTGATAAAACCAATTGCATATGAAACTACTAAAAGAAGTAGGAGACACATGTTTTTGCGTTTTTCGAAGAAACGTCATTTAAGGAGTAAACCACCTCTATGCCAGTGCAACAAATTTCTCATTAAAGCGGCTCTGTCTTGATTCTACTCCGTATGTTTTGCGAGATTTCAATTTAGCCTCAGTTTCATATTTTGAATAAATTTCGAAAGTAAGTCAGGATCCAATAGTGTTTAGTAACACTTGGCAAGCTTTATTAAATGTTGCGAATTTTCAATATTTCTGTGCAACTCATTTTTTCCTTCTTTTTCTCGCGGGTTATCCAGCTATTCGTGAATCGCAAAGGTTTGAACATTTGTTCTACTAGTAGCGACAGAGATGAGTAGGGAGGTTGCCAATGAGCCGATTTTCATGGTCCAAATTTTATTTCGGCGTCGACGCGCCGCCTGACGAGTGGACGTTTCTGTATTACTAACGCATATACTATTCTTCCAATAATTTTTTTCCATATGTTCGTGGTCGCAGCGTGGCCTGATTAAAAAAAATAATACTCAGTCGCGAACCCGGTAGCTCATGATTGCGAGGGCCCAATTACACTTTATTTAGTACACCAAGGAATTAATGTTTGCATATCATCAAGTAAACAGTACAAACTATTGCCACAAACCAACGTTAAAGGCCACTCTACAATGCAATATAATAAGAAATAAGGAATAAGAAATAAGCAATAAGATCTTCATTTGATATTTACGTAATTCCATTGGATCCTCCAATTAAGAAGGAGAAAATCGTTTTTAAAACCGAGCGTTTACTAAGTCTCTACGATTTTTATGACGTCTTGGACATAGCAACGATACGGAAGCGGTTGCTAGGGTCGCTAAGGATTTGACGGAGCACGAAACGTCATTATCAAATGTCATTACCTGTCACCTGTCATTACCAGCTCTATAGACGAGGTCATTATCAATATCGTTAGAGAAATGAAATTTCTCTACGATAAAAGTCATCGTGACTTTAAAAATGAAGTAATGATTTACTTATCTGTATGAATAAACGCATACACATTTTTTTTATATTTATATATTGACAAATAATGACAGGTGACAGGTAATGACATTTGACAATGACGTTTCGTGCTCCGTCAAATCCTCAGCGACCCTAGCAACCGCTTCCGTATCGTTGCTATGTATTTTTAACGTAAGCCGTTATAAATTACGGAACGGAGCATGCTCGATGTTAGTCATCACGTTTCGTGCTACGTGAAGTCCTTAAAGACCCTAGCAACCGCTTCCATATCGTTGCTATGTCCAAGACGTCACCAAAATCATAGAGGCTTAGTAAACGCTCGGTTTTAAAAACAATTTTCTCCTTCTTGATTGGAGGATCCAATGAAATTACGTAAATATCAAATGAAAATCTTATTGCTTATTTCTTATTCCTTATTTCTTATTATATTGCATTGTAGAATGTCCTTAATAATAAATAATTGACGTGATAATTTTAATAAAAATATCGCAGTCATGATTTTATTAATGATAACTACATACGAACAATAATATCATTTGTTTCTTACATTGATCCATCGAACATTGATAGCGACCATCCCAATGTATAATAAATTTAATAATTTAATAAATTATAAAACGGAGGCATCAATAAATCAATAATATCACATACACATATTACATCGATCTCATTACGTAACGTGACTCTCCATTATCCTGGATACCTTGTTCAAAGAACAATAATGTCTCTACGATCTCTTTCACAATGGAGAAGACACTTATTGATTCATGATCTCCTCCTGATCCTGGTCCATAATCGCGCGTGCCTGATCCCTTTCAGGATTGAGTGCCCGCTCACAATTGCTACGATGGCGGTAACAATTTGATCTTGGATTAAATGATCTTGTCGTGGTATCCCTATGAGCCAAGATCAATGAGTTTACCCCTCTTCGTGACTTTCTTGCTTTCCAGACTCTCTTCATCTCAGCTCTGACTTCGCCATTCAGTAGGCAGTAAAGAAGAGCGACAAACGTACCCTGAAATTCTTTAACACAATAGAGACGAAATTTGTTAAGGCGCATCGAATTCTTCATACCTGAAACGATGCGAACAATTGATCGCAGAATAGCCAAACGAGCTCCACTCTATAATCCTTGTGATAAGATAAACCAAGGAAAAGAGTATAATGGGCGCCGAACAGCGGTACGAGTACAAGGGTGGACTTGGCCCACCTTCTGTAAAAACAGATAATAAATTTTTTAAACTTAACGAAACAAAGATATAAAAATGTTTTTTAAATCCTTGATTTTTTTAGGTAATTTACCTGTACCGCATTTTTTTTCGTTGCATCTGCAAGGACGTCTTCAATTTGGCCAATAGGACCCTCACGATATTGAGGAACAGGATAAAGTTGAACTGTGCATTTTGAATATTAGAGAAAAATTGTTGATTGGCTATTCGCTATATATATTTTTGTTATACGATATGTACTTACCAAAATTGAAATCATTATTGGTATCCGTATTATTAAGAATAATGATTGATCTGTGTGCGTTGTCCAGCACAATGTGTCGTCCAGTATGATGCGAACTGCGATCCAGGGTATAACTACGATACAGGGCAGTCCTGAAAACGAAATGAAATTGATATAACTGAATATAAGTATCAATCTGATAATTTTTACATTATTGAAATTACTCACCCCAGCCTAAAGAAACGTACAAGGTAATGGCGGTTGTGTCGGAGCAGAACGCAAGAAATACAAGATTATGCAAGTAGAGTCCCTCCATGAGTATCCAGGCGTAATTGGCAACAATGAAGTATTGCCAGACACTTGTGATGGCTTTGCAGATCCAAGTCTGAGCAAAATAAAAATCCAGATCTTTGAGAATCGAATATATATACACGAAGAAATGTCTCTACTGTATTTTTTTTTCTTTTCAGTCTTATTTTCGTATTCTGTACATTGTGCTCCTTTATGAAGACGCCTTTTCCATCGACTGCGACAACGTCCCAGGCTAATCCAACGCCGCCAACGAACAGCCAATCTTTCAGAAGAGCCATAAACGCTCTCATGATGAACGAGACGAATAAGTGCTTGTGCAACCTGTTCCTGGAATTTCTAAGTTTCCTGGATACATAAAAGAAAGCAACGTTAGAGTCAAGTACAGAATGACATTGAAGCTGACGTAATAGTGAGAACATGAGGGAATCAGTTTTTTAGGATTCAGTAACCTGAGAAAGGAGAAGATCACCAGTGCTATGACCAACGTAGTAAAGGAGGATGCATAGCCGATCTGCGAAACTGTTTTGATGACCGATAACCATTTCTGTAATAAAGAAATTGTTAACTCCAAAAATTAATATTAAAGGACAAATCAAAGTAGCTTCTTCCTTACGTTCACTAAGTCTAGATTTCCGTCCGGGCCGTAGTTCGTTCTATTTGACAATTCAGTAATGTCAGCAATTGCTGTGACGTATTCGTCTCTTGGTGGTCTGCACTGACTGTAGTTACTCCACGTGACTCCGTCCAAATTTTTATACCAACGTCCACTTGACAAGCAGATTTTGCTTGCCGTTGCATTTTTAGGATTGTATCCGAATGCAAAACTAGGTGGACAAGGCAAGATGGCAGTTTCTGAAGCACCGGTGCTGGGCCAGCACAGTAAACGATCAAATGACGGCGGACATCGAACTCCCGTTGTATTATTGTTGTTTTCTAATGTTAACAAATACCCAAATTCAAATATTCATATCTTTTCGTATATAACCTGATAACAAATAACAAGGCTGGCACGGCTAATTACGTACCCGCATGATCATAGATTATTCATAACCTCAAATTTGCCTGATTAACATTACAGTCGCTTTTCTTAAATTTTCATATAAAATTATAGATAAAAAATTTACCATAACAACAATCAAATTCAAGAATTTTAATTATATCTACTACACTGTATGGGTGTCTGGACTATCTTTGAAAAACATACTCACCCAGGCTGAGTAGATGTTCGCACCGTGATTTTTGCTCAGCCACGTAGCTATCAAAAATATTTTGGACCATTCTGCAACATAAGAGAAAGTAAAAAAGATAAGAGTGAATATTTACTTGAAATACCATCTATCATACTGCGAGTGTCATTAATGATATATTGCTCGGAATGATAACAGCTTGACTCCGTAAAATAATCAGTCACTCAGTTTATAGATTGACATAAGTATGAATAAGATAAAAAACTTGTTGGCAAAGCGTAATTTTATTTATTCCCCCAAAATAATAGGCAGGTCCACATTGACTTAAGACACGATATTATTTTAATTATTCATTCCAAGTGTAATGGCACGTTTTGATACAGTCGCCTTCCACAATGTTCGATTAAATTGAGCCCAAAGTCTTTACTATATTACGTCAAATATTATGGCTTATCAACAAACTAATTTCACTTACTATTGCACTTTCTCAAAGTCCATACATAGTAACTGGATAAAAATTTAAAAAATATATCAATTTACGTTTCACAAGAAGAATCCAATAGAATACTCATACCGTAAGTATGAAAAAATTTAAAAAATATGAAATTCTCATATAAATGAATTAAAACACTAAGGAAACTATAATATGTGACTCATGATTTATCCGTCTCTCAATTACAATAAATAATTAGAATCAAAGCTCCAAGCTAACCGGAAAATCGTTTTACCTGCAGTTGACGCGTGAACGTCGCTTTACAATCCAAAATATTCGGTGAATTCTCTCTTAGCAATATCAAACTTGTCAAATCCGTATGCCGTCTATTCCATGACGAAACAATCAGAGCGCCCTCAAAGCTCAAAGCCTCGAGATGCCGTTTGATGTCATGTACCAAAATGCCGTGATATATTTCTTGGGCCTTCAAAGATCCTTCGCGAGCGTCCCCTAAGAAGCGTCTGTAATCCCGGACGGCGAAGTTCTGATTGCGTGTTTCTCCAAGCGGCAGGATCTCTTGCTTTTTTCCTTTGCATCCCTTCTCGTTCATGATTTTCATAGCGCACGCGTGTAAACATCACGTTTTCGTATTACAATACTGTATTGTCCATTAGCAATTTGAGGAAGCGATATTTTCTTCTTGGCCATTGTAAACACAGTATTTCACATTAATTATTTGCGCTTTACATATACATGTACGCCTTTGTCAAGCTCTGTGTAATTACGCGTTAATAAATTTCCAGGAATAATTATGCAGAGTTTTAAAAACAAAATTAATATAATAATTAAGAATGTCGATGACGTCAATACTTAAAGGTGGCAATCAGAAAAGATTTTGTATTTTAATAATTTATAAATAATTGTCCAGAAGCGTGACTTCAGCTTTTGTCTATTAGGGGAGGGGAGGGGGGGTGAGCCGGAACTATACCCTGTTTAAGTATCATTAAAAAAAGGGGTGGCGAAAGTCAATATCAGAGTGACTGATATATCGCTGGCATCTTGGAATGTATAATTTTTAATTGCTAGCATAAAACAGTATTGTGTTTGTGAAGAAGCTAAATTCTTGATGTACAAAGATTCAAGTAGAGTGATAATATTTTAAATGGTCCTCCTGCACGAGAGAAATTATTAAATAAATTTCATAATACAGTCAGATAATACTTTAAGCCTTGTTTGCGCAACGGTCATTGTCGTCATTGCGTTTAGCTGGGTAAAAATGATAAAAATAAAAATAAAAATTTTCTTCACCTTTTTATTTCCTGTATTGAATCATGACGTCATTGACGTCGTCAATGGTGATGACCATCAAAGTCTGGCACTTGATCCTGTCATAGGTGGAATTAAGACAATAAAGAGAAGGAAGAAGAAGAAAAAGATTGAAGTGACGTTCGCACATCAATTTCGTTATGTCGCCACGTGAAGATATTAAGAGCTAAGAGGGATAAAGAGGGATAAGAGGCAAGAGAATACAATGTTGTCGGATCGATGACAAGTATAGTTGATCAATTGAGGATGACTTTACGAACACATAATATTTAATCTGGCCGACCTACAAAACGACTAAGTGGATTAAATTGTATCATTTTGAAACTATGCGCAATAAAAGCATAATACAATAAAAATAGTCGGTGAAGTCATCGAGCAGAAGTATTGTATCCTAAGAGTGATTCTTTTACCTGCTTTACTGCTTATTCCATTTGTCCATTACCGTTCGCTAACACATACACTAGGCGTAACAATACAAATAAATTATATCATATGTTTTAGCGATTAATAATTTTTATCTTTATTGTTATAATGCGTGCGCGTTACTATACCTATAAAATTTATATACGCAATATATCATTATACAATATACTGTGTATGTGGATATAGCATAAGATGCGTGTAGCTAATTATGGGAAATTCGCATGTAAGCGTTATACCTACCACAAGCATCGTAAATCAACTTTAGCATTTATTATAATTAACGCCAGATAGAATTCAAGAGAGAAACAGTTGCGAGAGCGAATGAACAAGAATTTATATAACAATACATTTGGTCGTTGGCATGCGAACGGAGGTATTAAAATCGATCAAAGTTAAATGGGCGTCGCTACGCTACTGATTACAGAAGTTAACTTACATCTTGCGTCCTAAAATTTGAAGCTCTCAGCTGATTAATCCCATATATAATAAAAATTGCTAATATGAATTAATGCGAGTAATCTATCACATCCAATAATTTAATTGTGATTAAAATTATTAAGTATATCAATTTCTTCCAATAATGATCTTCCTGTTTATCAAGAAAACAGCTGATCGCTTCGAAAAGAGTAGAACTGTATGATTTTAATCTAAGGACAATAATATACAGCATAAAACATTAAGATACGTTTTAGAAACATTGCTGAATCATATCAATCTGCTTTTAACGTTTTAACAATGTTTCTAAAACTTACCTAATTACGTATAAGTATATGTATATGTATAAATTTTATTATCTACATCAGGATTAAAATATACGAGAAGCCTCGGTAGAAATTTTTATAATAACTGTGGATGATGGAATAACTATTAATGGGGTGCGTGTATAACGAAAGCAATAAGATAAATTGTATTAGATGCGCATGAGAATGTAAATGAGTGTATTGAAACATATGACTAATGCGTGCTTGCGTGCCAGTCACAAAATGGCAGAAGCATCAAGTATCTGCTGGTAATAACTAAAACTTATGTATAATAATGGGTTCTACTTTTGAATACAGATAGCTATGATATACGTATACATGTGAACAATTTCCCCACACTTCGGGATACATGTGGTTATACTTTTAATTGATCATTATACAGGGTGTTCCGAAATTACCTGATCAACGGGATATGGGGGTGTTCGGGAAACACCACTGATCACGAAAATGACCTTCCTTTTCTCCGGAAGGTCATAATTTTTAAATAGGAGCAGGTCAAAGTTGACCAATCAAAGCGAGGCGTCAAGAGAAAAGTAGACACCTACGAACTGTGAGTTTTCTTCCCTCGCTTTTGTTTCTCGGTGGCTTCGGGCAGGATGACGTCAGCCGAAGACATGCCTATTGGAAACAAGCCACCGAGAAACAAAAGCGAGGGAAGAAAACTCAGAGTTCGTAGGTGCCTACGTTTCTCTTGACGCCTCCCGCTGATTGGTCAACTTTGACCTGCTCCCATTTAAAAACTATGACCTTCCGGAGAAAAAGAAGGTCATTTTCGTGATCAGTGGTGCCTCCCGAACACCGCCATACCCTGTTTATTTACCCCTGTAATTTCGGAACACCCTGTATGTGGATCACTATAAGTTCATATGTATAGGGAGAGGGATCGAGGGAGGGAGAGAGAGAGAGAAAGAAAGGGAGCAAGGCATGAACAATTAGGGCAACAGTTCTGCTTTAGACATGCGTCGAAGGAGTTGATTAGGTTCATCGGTTTTTCAGTTGACGTGTCCATGCGAACCCGTGAGCTTCGTGCGAAGATTTGAAAAAGAAAAAGAATTATAATCTTGAACAGAATCATTAGCGAAATTTTACAATACTTATGGAGTCGTTAAGGGACTTACCAATAAATCATAAGTTGCATTTTCATAAGAACGGTGGGTGACGGTTGCTAAAAAATAGGGGGAAAATAATATAAAATTTAATTAAAAAACTTATAATGTACTTTTTCGTTTATCCGCTGTTATTTTATTAAGAAGCAAATTTTGCCCTGAGACTGAGAAGTTGATCACTCCTGAGAAATTTCACTGGTGTCAACACCAATTATTTTTTTTCTAGGCAAGAAACGTAGAAGATATGTCGTGCGACGCGTGTGGCGCTGCGCTAGTGAAAAAATACAAAAAGAATTAAAAAGTTATTGCGACAATACTAGTCTGCATGGTTTTCGATACATAACAGCATACGAATCGAATTTTCTTGAGAGACTTATATGGCTTGCGGTAACGATCCATATTTATTCGATTGAACAAGAATTTTGATGGCTTTAAGAATTTGCTAATAGTAAAATTAATTTTTAATAATTATTACTCAAGAATATTATAATCCAACCTATGTTCGAAAGAGCAGGTGTGTCTTTTGGGTTTTGTTCTCAGCGTAATCCTTATGTTGCTCGTGTGGCAGAGGTTCACGAAGACTCCCACAGTGACGACCATTGATACAACCACAAGTCCTATTCGTAGTCTGTCATTTCCCTCAGTGACGATCTGCAATTACAATAAGATTTATAAACCTGAGGCGGACAAACTTGCAGAAGAATTGTGAGTGATAGCATAGAGAAGTTCAACGAGTCAAAGTTATTGATTCATAAGTATTGACAGGTTTTAACAGCTGATTTGACATATTTTTCATCTAATATTGTGCAGGTCGCGTCACGGATTAAATGTGACGGAAATTGAACATTTCTTTACATCCTTACCAACATTAGTGAAGCCTGAATACATTACAGCGAACTACATGCCAGCTCTGAAACTGATCAGATCACTTGGGATAACAATTGACGATTTGATGCACAGGGTAATTAAAAAATGATCGATCATTAATTAATTAAGTTATTAACTTGAGACTCTGTGAATTAAGATAAGATTGGCTGATATTATTTCTTAAATGTCAATTTTCATTCGATTCATTTTATGGATGCATCACTGATTTACTTTTACAGCTGATGCAACCATGTGACAAACTTTTAGTCAAGTGTGCCTGGCTGGGACGTTCATACGATTGTCAAAAATTATTCAAAACAGTCAAATCCATTGAGGGTCTATGCTGCTCGTTTAATTATCACGCCACGGTCACGAATTCGAACGTGTACGTAATGAGTTTATGAGTGTGGTTATAGTATAATGATTTCGTGGTAATTCTCAAAGGGATTCCAATCTTGTCATTACTTCTAGTAAAGCAATCGATCTGGTTAAACGCTAAAATTGTTTTTTCCGTGCGATGATTAACCTACAAGTACTAATTGTTCGGCAAATATAATTTTTCAATGCGACCTTTTATTTACGTTCTCATTAAGGTCGCTTGTCAATTCTTTCACGCGAAATCACCCATACAATTATCTCACTTCGACACAGAACAACTTTCTATAGAATTCGATACTACAAGAAGTAACGCTCTTATCGATTATCAATATAGTAATTTGGAAAACTCAGAAATTGTAACGATTACGTTTCTGTCTATATAGACACACTGATTAGGTCTCCTTCACGTTTGTATAATTACTTAACACAACAGGACTCTGAGCGTAACGTCTTTACAAGTAGATGCAGCTAATTACAGTACTTATGAATCGACCACAACAACCAGTACAACCGAGTGGTATCCGGGAGTGAACGAAATCCAGGTATATATGAAACAGAAAAATTCAAAAAATTAAATCGATCCTGCGTCTGAACACTTGTTTTACTCACCTTCCGTCTACACACTGGATATTTGAGGACTAGCTTAGATTTTCAGTGTTCTGGGCTGTGATACCCTAATGCGACTCGGCAGGTAGGACTCCATTGCTGCCCAGATTTTTTTAGGGGAAGAAGCCAAGTTTCCTCTAAGCGACTTCTATTCATGTTGGAGAAACTTGAGATGGAAATTTCGAATGTGCCTTCAAATACCAGTGTGAATATGGAGGGTAAAAAAAGATTTAAACATATTAAACAAATTTGCAAAATAAAATGTGTATGCTAACGAGGATTTTGTTCTGTGATAATAAATACTGGTTTACCGGAAATGGTAGACGGTACCCGGTGCCGGAAGAGACGTTGGACTCAGTGTTGTACTCGACATGGAAGGGAGTACATATGCAGGGGCCGTGAGGTCCTATGTAGGGGCATCTATACTCATTCATGATCCTGTGGATTATCCAGATGTCGATTTGCAAACGGCTGTGACGCAACCATCACAGGAAACTGCCATAATACTTTCTGCTTCGATAATTGAAAGTATGGATAATGTGAGGAATCTTGACCTTAGCAGGCGCAATTGCTGGTTCGAGGATGAGGTCAATTTATATTCTTGAAATTTTTTTTAAGAATATTTGAATGTGTTTTTTTTAATTTGATTCCTAATTTTCTAGACCACACTGAAGTTTACTATGGCGTATACTTATCAGTCGTGCGTTGCGCAATGCAGAATTGAACATATTATAAATCTCTGTAATTGCATACCGTTTTACTATCCAACAATATGTGAGTTTGAAGTTCATTAATCTTTAACTTTTTTGTCTTTACTCAGTGCCCTTTTTCTTGCAGTTAAAAATGTAAGAACATGCGACCTCACTGACGTTCGCTGCATGAGAACCTACAGAAGTAAGAATATTATGAATATCACTAACATTATTTCTGTATGGAGACACGGAATTTTATTGATAGTACCTTATATGTTTTTGTATATAAAAAAAGGAATCCTATCCAGTTTGCAAACACCGATAGACACGGAAAATACTAATAGAACCTTCGCCAAGGCTGAATGCTCCTGTTTACCACAATGCAGTGATAAGTCCTATACAGTCCGCACGGAGACTGCAACACTGGCATCGTTTAATCATGCTGCTCCTATTTTGTAAGAGATAAAATTAATAAATCAACTGTAACTCATAGCAAGAATAACATTTAAATACTTATTGATCATATACTATACTATACTTGATCAATTTCATCAGGGAGAATCTAGACACGAGGAATCTTTCTCTGGTCTACGTTTACTTCCGCGATATCACCTGCCTGAAATATCGTCGTGAGATTCTCATGAGCTGGGATAATTTATTGGGTGAGTTAAAAATGAAAGTAAAAAATAAAAATAATTTCGACCAGTTATTCAAAAATGGACATTCCCTTGCAGCATCCTTCGGCGGGATCTTTGGCTTGTGCCTGGGAGGCTCTTTTGTAAGTCTTGTCGAGATTCTTTATTACTTTACGGTAAAGATATTTCACAGGAGTCTAGAACCCACAAGACCCGTACCGACCAAGCATCTGGTTCTCGCAAGGAAATCTTTTGGAAGAGTTATCGACCGTTCCGGTACTCTAAAACAGAGTAAACTGGAAAATCTTGGCCTCTTTAGAGAAAATATGTATATGCGTCGAGGTCAATTAGATTCAACAATGAGATTTAATTTGCCGCGTGTACTAAAGTAAGGCGAATACTAGATCCTGAATTATTGCCTAAACGTTAGCTATTTTTATTATATAATTTACTGAATTAATTGTTACGATTGTCGAATAATTCTTCTTCTAGGAAACAATCGAAACTGATCGAGAATCGAATAGTTTCAAGATTACCTGAAGATAGCGCCACGTGCAATTGTCTGGCAAGTGCTGCCCCCTTCAACGGCAATCCTCTCTACTAAATTTTACATTTAACATACACTTCCAAATCGGGGCTAGCAGCTATCTGGTTGTTTCTCTACACGCAAATAGCCATGAGCCTGTCTCTCTTATTCCCACAGAAAGAGAATAGGAAAATTATGAAATTCAAAAAGCTTGATAAATAAAAAAATTCCTTAGAACCTACGCGCACATACAAGCGTACTTATGTATCAGCTAATAAACAGTTGTAAAATTGACTCATCTTCCAAAAAAATACTTGCAATCTGTTTACAAACTATTTATATATATATATATAAATAACAAATTGCTATTCGTATGGACTTTTTCGCTTTATTGCTATGGTACAATTAAAATAAATTACATCGTAACGGCAGCCACAGTTTCTAACACATCTTCAATTATTGTATGTCATTAATCACCTCGACTTATGCGAGACTTGCCCACTCCATCGTGTAACAATATTATTATAATAAGAACGCTGCGCTAATCAACGAACCAAGACGCCGATGCACATACGAGCACTGTGGATAACTTTGAAAAGCACAACAGTTGCCTGTTTCGTGCTTTACCTCCCTTATTGTTTCCTTTTCTTTTTTTTGTACACAATTATTAGAAACCGTTACACAATAATACAAACGAGATTGATCGATTTTCTTGATGATCGCTTTATATATTTTTCTTCTTTTTTTAAAGTCACTTTCTTATATGCGTAGCAAGACCAACGTTCATTGAGTATAATGTTTATATAATAACGGAACGACTTGGGTCCTAGGAATTGTACATATTTAATAAATATATATACATACATATTTACTGCGTTATATATTGTATATATATGTATATATTATATATGAAATAGCGTGACGGCTGCACGAGTCTGTATCGTGCAAGGAATTTTCGATTTTGAAAACACGCGCAAGTGACCAGATTATAATAGATTATGCGTCTTTACAGTCGTCGGACAAAAGTACAGAACGATTATTAATAATTAATTGCAATTACATAGTTTCATTATCTTTCTTCCTAAACAAAATTTCGAGATTGTGTCGCCTTATAACGTAAAGGGGAAATCAAAAAATGAACAAAAAATGTCAGAGAGGGATATGTCAGATGGGAAAGTGCTACACGATTATGTAATTGCGAATAAAAAATAAGCAGGGAGTAAAATAAAAGTGATACGACATTCGTTATTCACACCTCATTATTCTTGTTTCCAATTGCGTTCTTTCTTTTTATTATTAGAGTGACTGTAGCTGTCACAGTTGTTTTTAAAATTTTTCAGAGGATTTGGAAAAACTCTGATATTCATAATCGAACTCGTACGCGATTATGTATTTGGTATTTCAGATACCAATTTGTATTAGACTCTATACTGTGTACTCGGATTCTGCTGTGTCATCTTTTTTATTTTTGTCTAGTTAACGACCCTGGTACAATACTGAAACAATTCGAGCATTGCGTTAAGCTGTTATGTAAATTTTTTCTATTGAGTTTATGTTACGCACGTGTAACATAGCTGGTTTTTTATTTCTTGTTTTGTTCTTGTTTGCTGTACGTACGTGGGTAATTAATACTTGCTCGACGCCATTCAGTCCGTTTCGCGGAGCTAGCCCACTCAATGAATTGCATTTGAATTACATTCAAAATATTGACACAGCATTTTCTGTTTCTATCTAGTCGTTCACGTATGCGCGTTCATAAACGCGTTAGATATCCTTGTAATTTATTTTTCTTTTCCTTATTACTCTTTCCCTTCTTAGTCCTAGAATACGTTTCATTCTCTTCGTATGAGTCTTAGGATCTCATGTACTCGTAGTCGTATTCGCGTAAGGGGACAAATGTCTCCTTGATAGATTGCGGCGACGCCCAACGTAGGGCATAGTGAGGACCACCGGCCTTGTCATTTGTTCCTGACATTCGACTGCCGCCAAATGGTTGTTGACCTACGACGGACCCTGTTGACTTGTCATTTATATAGAAATTGCCTGCTGTGTACTTGAACTCTTCCAGGGCATGTTTAGCCCAGTCCCTGTAGAGAAATAGTTGATTCAGTATTGAAAGGCTCTCGCTAAGTGATATTTTTTGCTTAAAACTTTTAATAGTTACTCACAGATCCTGGGAGAATATTGCTCCGGTTAAGGCGTACGGTGTCGAGGATTCCACAAGCTTCATCGTCTCGTTGATCTGCGAATCCTTATAAACATAAATCGTGAGAACCGGACCAAAGATCTCTTCGGTCATTATCTTGTCTTTTGGATCTTTTGTGACGACTATCGTAGGCTCGATAAAGTAGCCCTTCCTGTGAAGAAGTTTATATTTAAATAGAATCTAAGGTGATTATTATTTTTAGTATTGGAACAGGGAAGGACGTACGAGTCATCGTAACCACCGCCGCCGATGATTTCCAGATTGGAAGATTTCTTGGCGTGCTCGATGTACCCAGTGATTCTCTTGAATGCTACAGCGTCGATAACTGCTCCGGTGAAGACGGTGAAATCCCTGACATCGCCGATCTTCAGTTTATCCCTCGTCTCCAGAAGACCTTGCTTTACCTGCAAAAACAGTCCGAAATATTATGACCCAGAAAGATTCCTGTCATAAAATTGACGAAGATAATTATCACAGTAGACAAGCTTGAACCTGGCCAAGTCCCAAGGAACGTCTTCACGGAGAACATATTATCGTAAGCACACGATTATTTTTAGATGCCAGGACATTCATTTTTAAAACTGTCATAGCATTTTTCTACAATTTTCAATACATCAGAACAGTCTATCGTTCAATCGGCTTACCTGACTCCACAGGGATTCCGGAACGTACATTCTGCTACAAGCTGAACATTTCTGTCCGTTGAATTCGAAGGAGCTCCTGATGGTTCCCATCGCGACAGATTCCGCATCTGCACTAGGATGTATAAAGTGGTAGTTCTTGCCACCACACTCCCCGATGAGCTTGGGATAGTTTCTATACTTGTTGACGTTCTGCCCGACCTGGGTCCAAAGTCGATTGAACGTTGGCACGGAACCGGTGAAGTTGATGCCAGATAGATACGGTGAGGAAGTGATCGTATCGCCAAAGACGGGTCCTTCGCAGGGGATGAAGTTGACGACGCCTGGGGGAACGCCTGCCTCGCGACAGATCTTGAAGATCCACCAGTTGGAGAGCAACGCGGTGTCAGACGGTTTCCAGAGTACGGCGTTGCCCTGTGAAAGAAAATAGGTTGCCAGCCTCTCCGGTGCCCTTAACCGAAAAGCGCTCGTAGGTAGTTATCGTTATCGAAGCCCAAAGCTGCGAACCATCAGAGCCGGCGTGTAGCTAAGATTGCCGCCGATAGCAGTAAAGTTGAACGGCGATACGGCTGCAACGAAACCGTCCATGCCGCGATACCTCATAGAATTCAGGGTCTCACTGTTCGGCGAGATTGGCTTGTACTTTAGTGAATCCTTCACGAAGTGGCCATGAATTTTGAAGAAGTCAATAAGCTCTGCCGCGCTGTCAATCTCCGCCTGGATTGCAGTCTTACTTTGACCGAGCATCGTTGCAGCGTTTAGCTGTTGACGATACTCCTTAGCCATCAGATCAGCAGCCCGTAACCAGATTTCTAATCTCTTCCCAATAGGAACCTTTTCCCATTCGCGTTGAGACTTCACTGCCACGTCTATTGCCTTTTTGACTAGTTCTGGAGTGGCCCAATGGTACTTTGCTACCTTGTTCTTATGATTATGGGGCTGGAAGTACACAGCGTGTCAGATACTTTTTAACCATTACAATACTATAGTACTAGTAATCTGTCTAATACGGTACTTACCATTACTTGGTACTTCACCAAATTGGTCTTGATTTCTTCATTTCCAATCACCAGTGGAATTTCTTCGCACTCCCCAGCCATTTTGTCCAGTGCCTTTTCTAATTCTGCACGTTCCTTGCTTCCTTTCTTGTAAGTCAGGACTGGCTCGTTTTCCAGTGGGAATTCTGGTGGATTTGGAATAGGCACGATTGTTCCCAAGCATCTTGCGCCAACTCTGCTCATATTAATAATTCAACAATTAACACAATAATATTTATTACTTAAATTAGCTCAAAAAAGATTTATGACTATTCCAATCTTCTCGAAAGATTAAAGATGGGACAATCAGTTCATTTGGTATAAGGCTGGCATGCGACAATGTTTCTTATCTAAAATACATATATGTGGTAGGATCAAGTGTTTGCATCCTGATATCTTCTGACAACAGAACATGTTAAGTACACAATAATATCTAAATCCAGAAGATCCTTCTGAGGACCTTTCTAAAGTGTGCCAAGTTATAATTACATCTCTCTTGACATTGTTATCTAGTACTGCATTTAGCATCAAGTCAGAGTGAATGAACTAGTCTCTGCCAATTGCTGTTACTATAGTGAAGACAAGGAAAAAAGATGAATATAGTAAATGGCTTTATATATATGTAGGAGGTATGTCAGGTCTTTAGAGCTGTAAGATGTTATTTTAGTCATGGCCCTTGCACATACAAATATATACATTTAACTAATACCACCAGCTGCACACTCATAGATGGTTATGTAACCTTATCTTACCAGTTGACCCAAAGTATTAAGAGCTCCTATCTACGTAAGATACCATTAATGAAATCATGACAAATTGACTATGGTGATATCGCCTTTAATTAATTATTGGTTTCTCAAGAAGATAAAACGTCCGGGGGATCAGGGCCGCCGCGTATATATACTAACATTATACATTATTTTCCAGCTGACATTAAGAAAGCCAACAGACGAAAATTGTCACGAAAGCACAACCGCCATTCCCGAATAAACGTTTGACACGCTGATTTTGACAGTCGTGGGGTAAGTGCACGCGTGAGAATAAAAAATGCCAATAATAAGCGGACTTGATTAATGGTTCAATAACCATTTATGAACTCATATACATAATTCATGTAACAATGCAAATGCCGATCAATTAGAGAATTGCGTTATTTCAATGAAGCACGACTGGCAAAAATGGATGTAAGAAAATGACGTTCCGATCGAACCTAAAAAGTGTTTCGTTATATAAGATCAATAGATTTCAATTACCTATTTATCAATTATAAATAATTATTATAAAGGTTGACTGCAAAGTAACTGCAAAGGTAACTGCAAAGTTGTATACTAGTAGGGTTATTCAGTCGAAACGCACAACCTGAAGTTAACCTGTCCATTTGAATTTTTATAGCAAAACCAACACAGATCACATGATTCGTTTGTCCTTTTAAATAATTTCATAATAGATGCATACAAAAATAGGAGTAGTAATGAAGGTCGATGTCGACAGAGAGCGGAAAATCTCCAAATTATGACTATCGAATATCCCTTCTTCTCTGCTACACATCTAGATTTAATGGGAGCAAAAGAGAGGAGCACCGACATGAGCGAAAGAGAAGGAAAAGGTGTAATCGAAATTGCGAGAATTTAAACAAATTGAAAATTGAATTGCCAAAAGATAACCTCGCTGTTTCTGAATTAATGATAGCATCAGCACCTTTGGGTGCATCCATAATACTTGCACAATATTGGCGATGTCACTGCGCCGAAAATAATCAATATAATATTTGAAACGTTGGAATGGTAACTCTAGCCGATGGAGGAAGACAGATAGACGTATGCACTATTAGAGCGAGAGTGATGGAGATAGCTTCTGGTGCACCAAGGTAAGAAAGCGAAGAGAAGGACATTCTATACACCGCCGCCATGTAAAAGCCTTATGGATACTCACTTTTGGCTACTGGCGAAAATCGCCTGCTTGCAAAGGCTCAGCATTATCTCAGTTAGTGTCTTCAGGCAAGGAAATCCGCACGGGCAGGAGATTACTATGGACCTGGGGCTAACAAGTACAGTTTGTCGGGGCTAAAAGAGATCACCGACCACCATCGGACAAATGATTATATACGGGAATCACACGCCCCACTACCACGGCGATTCGTATGAGGCAGGGACGTATCAAAAAGTGGACGAATAGGGTGACGTAGAAGAGCGCACGCGTATTTTCAATAGCAATATGTATAATATATAAATAGGTCATACTATAACTTATTTATAAATAATATTTTATATGAATTGATTCAATACTAATTTTTCTTATTGTGGTTTTTAATTTTTCTTCGAGGTTTTGTTTTATAATTTTTAGCATGGCATTTGGTGTTATGGAGTGAGTATTTTTTTACTGTCATTTACTCCCTATTTATTTGCATTCATTCGCACCACAGAATGTAAATAACCTGAGACGGTTTGGATTTTAACATTCTTTTTAGCCAGTTTAATCTGTGCTTGTTTTTCTTTGTGTCTCTTATGTCATATCAATTTTCTTCTTGTTGCATTTGCAGCTCTCGAAGAAGCTGTGCCCTTTGCTTTTCCAATTCGTCCTCTGACAGCTCATGATGCTCCACTGCTTCTGTGACTGAACCTTCGCTGTGAGCTGAGGGTCTTCTGTGTTTTTCCTCTTTTCTTTTTCGCTCTGGAGAGTCTTCTGATGATGGTAGTCTGGAGTGTGAGCGCTGAAAGGAGGAAGGTAAAATTTCAATATCTTTTTTCTAATTTGATTGAACATCAGTGCTTTGAATTAGGCCCTTACAGAATGGCTGCGACCACGTTTCTTCTTGCTCTTCTTTCTCTTTGATTTTCTACAATCTGATTCCGAACTGTCCGATTTACTTGGTCCAGGACTAGCTGACCTGGACTTATGACGTTTCTTTTTGACACCCTTGTCACTTCCCTCGGATTCTTGCTGCAACGAGATCAGGAAAAACATTTACAGGTTACACAATGTGTTATGTAAGCTCTTTTAAAAGTAAAGTGATACTCACACTGTGAGATCTTGAACGCGATCTTCTTTTGGTCTTCTTTGTCTTCTTCTTCTTACTTCTTATATGATGATGACTGCAGCTCTCTTCCAGCTCATGCTGATACTCCTTGAAGATTCTGACCCGTTCACTCTCCAACGTGATAGCCTTGAAGTCTGGTTCCTCTTCGATCTTCGCGCGGGCATCTTCCCAGTTCATCTGATAATCCACATCCAAGGTCTTCAGGAGATTTTTAAAGCCAGTTTCAAGCTTCTTAAACTTTCTGGTCTCTTCTTTGACACGCTCCTTCTCGCGCGCCTCAGCTTTTTCCAGGAGTAGATTGTAGGTGAGCTTGACATTTCCAGCATCCAGGGTAGCAGACTTCCTGTCCTCACATACCACTGTGGCAAACTCTTCAAATGTTGTATTGACTTGAACCTCGAAGTTCTTATCTTTCAGAATCTCACGAATTATCTTTTTCTCGTCGTGGAAGCGAGACTTCAGGTCTTCCACATAAAACTTAAAAAGATCCAATGGAGTTGAGCCAGCTTGACCAAGCATTGCTGAGAACCTAAGATCAGCTGATAGCATTGGGTAAAGTTCTACCCATAAGGACATTGATGTCAGTTTGCCCTGTTCATGTAGTTCATCGAGAAGACTCTGAAAACATATATAAAACCATAAAATTGTTATCACTGCCGTAAACAAGATATAAATACTTACTATGAAACCATCACGATTCTTTCTCTCTTGTCGTTTCCTGCGTTTCTTTTCCCGTTCTTTTTCTTCTTCTTCATCCTTTTCCAATTGCCTAATATGATTTTCGAAGACGAGCAACGCGTCTTCTTTGTCCATCTCTAATAGATCAGCATCTTCTGCAAAGGATGAGTGTTGCAAGAGTAAAGCCTGAGCCTCTTGCCATGTTGTTCTGTAAGTGACATCTGTCATAGTATCAAGAACTTGGGCTAGACGTTTCGTATTTCTCTTTTTCAGAAGTTTGGCTTCCTCCTTTTCTCGTTTGGCTAGGTTAAATATTACGTCCTCGTAAATATCACGTCTATCGGAATCACCCACAGCACGCCAGAGTTCCAGGGTGCCGTACATCTCCTCGCACTTATAATATTTCGTCGTACTGGTCATTCTCTCATTTTCTAGGAGAAACTGCTCTAGGTCCTCTTTCGCCTTCTTCAACCGGAGTCTCTCTTGCTCACGTTCTTCTTTTAACTTTTGAGTCTTGTATGCATTGAATGCTTGCTTGCGTTCATTCAATTTTTTCATTTGTGGATAACGAGGGTCGTTCTGTATCATTTTGACAGCCTGCTCCCAGGTTGCATTTGAGGGTACATCGCGTTCCTTGAGCAGTTCTTTGAAAGCTTCTATTGCTTCTTTTTTATCTTTAAACTGCATTTTAGGCTCGGGTGTGCTTGTCCTGCTACCGTTTGCTGAACCTTTTGCCGAATTACTATCATCATCGGGTTTTGAAGGAGGCGTGGGAATGTTTATTGCAGCTAATGTAGCAGCCATAGCTTGTTCTATCGCAGATTTCCCTCCAGGTTCTGGTGTACTTACCTGAAAGATTGTTACTACGTTTGGCGACATATGCTGCATTGTTCCTGGCGTTATGCCTCTGAAATTAAATGAAAATTTATTTTTAGAATAATACCTACAACACTAGCTAATTTTGTTTTACTTACGTATTCGTTGCACTAGCAACTGCAGCTGCAGCAGCTGCTGCAGCTTCCTCTGCTGCAATCCTCGATTTTAATTCCTCTAATTCTGGTGGAATTGTCCATCGTGATTCCTTAGTAGTCACATTATGATAGTATACTTTGCCATTCTCAGATTTATACTCCTTCCATGGGCATTGTGATAGAAGCAGTTCACTAGGAGTCTTTAAATCATCAGGCTTCTCCCAGAGAGACTGTTTTGTACTACTGTTGTAATAATAAGTTCGACCATCTGGAGCCTTGTGCTCAGACCAGTCCGTCTTTTTTTCGGTTGATGATGTTGGTGTGATTGACCCTGTTTCTGATGGAGTTGGGGCAGGTGGTGGTATACTAGGAGCTGTGATTTGAGGTGGTGCTGCTGTTGAAATAAATATATTTTCATTGATATTCCTTGTAAAATCAATGCATATCTCTATTTACCTATAACACCAGCTTCCGGAGGTGGTGCTGCACCCATAGGAAATCCAAACCCTGGTGGAGGAATAGAGAATTGTGGTGGCATCATTCCTGGAGGACCTGGTGGCAATCCTGGTGGTGGAATAAAAGGTGTTCCAGGCATCATCGGTGGCACAAAACTTGATGCCATATTAGGTGCTGCTGGTGGAAATCCTGGTACTGTACCAGGCACTGCACTAGGGACTGCACCAGGTACTGCACCAGGTCCTGCGCCTGGTGGTGCAACACTATCACTTGACGCCTGATACATAAGAAAAACGAAATTTGTTAAATCAAATGATACAGGTTATAAGTATTTTGTAGGTTAGGAGGCACTGTAAGATAAGAAATTACAAAAGTAACACATACTGAAAATAAGATAAAATAATGAGTCTTGGCTTACCATAAATACTGATAACAGGCAGGCTTCTCTTCACGTTAGGACATTGAAAGCCGAATCTTTTTAGAGAATTTCGTGGAGTACAGCGTCCATCAGCCGGTTATCATGCAAAGCGCCTAAATTGCACTGAACTGCACTCAGTTGCACTACTGGCTGTTTTGCCAATCTATTTTCTTGCTTTAGTTTATTGTAATACTAGAAATTAGGAGCAATATTTCTGAAAACAAATAAAAGTAATTTAGACATCGATAAAATGAGATTTTTACTCTCTCGTACACATGTTGTAATATACATATATTTTTAACGCTTACACACGAATTCCAATGACATCAGAAATCATTTGTGATGAGACTAAGTATGAAGTAATGTGAGAACATAACGGATTGGTAGAAGAAATTCATTAAAGAGATCTTGTAAGCTATATTTCTAAATACTAATGTAAGAAATATAAAGTTTTTTCTTATTTCATTGAGGATATTTGCAAGTGTATACTTGCATATGTCAATGTTTTCTCAAAGATTAGTAGTTCGATCGTATGATTACACAGATTACACCAAGGAAAACGAGAGGACCCAACCTAATTCCACGTAAACACATTTATGAATATTGTTAAACTACGAGTGTCACCGTTGTACGGTCCAGGATTGAAATATGTTTAAAAAACTGAAAAATAAGCTCGCCGAGGAGGTGAAACAATCGCCATCGAGGCTACAGGCGAGCATGCAGCAATTGGCACAGGTTTCATTTGACATTTCTCTATCATCTTAAGAGTCTTATTGATTTTAAGTAGTTACGCTGGTCCGTAACAATTTATTTAATGTCATTTTTTAACCTGTAAAACTTTTTCTATATGATTTAGGCTGTTGTTTCACCAGCACCTTCAAACAGTTCCGTTCAAGATCTCTCTACCTCTAATGACAACTTTAGCTTGACTGATGAAGGTGACAGTAAGTTCTTATCCCATATATTTCCTGTTGATAAAAATAACAAGTTGACCACATAATTAGTTTTTTTTTTATCAAAACTTGTAATAATTACCTTTACAGAAAATCTTATTAGCAAAGGTCGCAACTAGCATAAAGATAAGAATTTAGTGAGTCTTGAGCTTCTATACCTATTGTGTTGATATTGTTATTTTAGCAACTCCAAAAAATAGTCCAGCCCGACATGGTTTTCAAAATGTAGATTTAACATCGTCAACATCAATTTCTATGGGGCTTTCAAGAAGATCCTCTATTAGCAGTATTGCAAGTGACGCATCTTCTCTATTTCCTATGTACGAAAGTCCTGGAAGTATGTTTCATCTTCAGGTAATTTTCAGCAACACATTGCATTCATATTGAGGCCAAACTTTTGATGGATTATATTATTTTTCTTGTTTAGTCCGATATGGAACAATCAGCCAGTGAAGCAGATGAGAATATAAGTCCTCAATTGGATAATGTAACTAAGGATCAGGTGTACTCTGCATACAGAAAGATGCAGAGCAAATATCATAAATATCGTGGTCGGTATTCCGACCTGGCCAATCATTATCAAGAAATGGAAAGAGTTAAAGCCAAGCTAGAGTCCGTATTAGTGGAAACACAGGATAAGGCTGTACGAAAAATCCGAGAACTTAAAGAACAATGTGAACTCGAGCAAAAGGCAAAGGCACACCTGGAGGAGGCACTCAGGTACGACATCGAGGAAAAGGATCATATCATAAGTACGTTAAACACTAAGGTAAGTGCCATTTTATTCTAATGAAGTACAACAAACAAATTATTTATTTATTTTTTTTATTTCACCAGAGTAACATAGATTACATTACAAAAGTAACCTAGCAAACGAACGTAAGTTCCTGATCGCTAGTCTGGTATACAGAAAAATCCTTATTCTACTAGAAGCATTTGTAGTGGATTGATACTCACATATCATCCATTACATATGCTCAACTTATCACTAAACTTACAATTAACCTAAAAACTAACATAAACAATTAATTTGTTAACAATTTTAAATTTATATTATTTAAATCAATATACAATTTAATATCTTTTTCCTTTTGCTTATAGGTAAGACTTCTGCAATCCAATGGTACCAGTGTCGAAAACTTAACTGCTCCAGAGGCTGGAGATCAGAATCAGATGCAAAAACAAAATCAAAATCCAGAACTCCTTATAGATTTATCAAATGAGCAATCGATAACGTCCAATAACTCTTCTGCTTTGGAGATAGAAAACGGCGAGTTGAAGGAGAAGGTAAAAAAACTGGAGACTCTAGTAATGAAGTGCAAAGAATCCTTAAAGAGAAGTAAAGAGAAAATTGCCGAAGTTACCCAAGAGAGAGATATTCTAGATCGAGATTTGGAGATACTGAAAAATTCAAATACAGAAAGATTCAAATCACTAGAGGGTGATTTGAATGCAGCCCGGGATGAAATTCTTAAGTTGAGGGACCAAATAGTCATTCTCAAAACACGTGAGGAAGAATCCGCTATCTCCTTGGCAGAGAACAAACTCACAATTCATCGTGAACTAGAAATCAGGGAAGAGCAAATCAAGCAACTTCGTATGGACTTAAAACAGACAACTGAGTTAAAGGATAATCTGAATGAGACAATGGAGAGATACAGAATTGAATTAGAGAGATTGAAATTGATACACGACAATCACAACTTCGATGCTGAGAAAAATGATCTCATTCAAAATCTCTCAAAAGGTAAATCCGAGGCTTTGAAACTAATGCAGGAAGAAATGCAGCAGAAGGTAATTGATCTGGAGAAGACAATGGGTAATAACTGTAATGAGCAAATCGAGATCAATAAGAAATTAAGTGAAAAGATTGAGAACTTAGAGAAGGAATTAGAAGCTGCCAGAACCGCCCAGGTTCAGGAAGATGTGAATCAGCTGAAAACACTAAAACAGAGTTTGGAAGCGAAAGAAGCTCAGTTGGAGCAACTCCAAGAGAAGTTTAGTGAAGTTGAAACAAGATTCCAAGAAGAGAAATCAGAAAGGGCCAAAATACAAGTTGAATTTTCGGATTTGAATAGCCGTTACGAGGAATTAAAGGCAGAGAAAATCGTTCAAAAGGACAAGTTCAAGGAGGAGACAGAAGTTGCTAAGAATAATTTATTAACCGAAATTGAGAAGTTAAATAAAACCATTGCCGAACGGGATCAGACCTGCCAACAATTGAATATAAGGATTCAAGAGTACACGAGTAGCTTGGAAAAAGCTATGCAAAAATTAAAAGCCCAGGATGCTGAAATAAAATCATTAAAAAATCAACCAAGGGATGATGCTGAAATAGAAAAGTTACGCGATGACTTGGAGAATAAAGAAGTTGAATTGCTTGGTTTAACGAGTGAATTGAAATCTTCCAAAATGATGATTAACGACCTTAAGGAAAAGCTGAAGAGTGAAGGTTCCAGGATAGATCTTATTAACAAAGAGAAGGTCTGTTTGATATCCAATATCTTGGAATACCACAAAGTTATCAGATCCTTAAAACAGGATTGTGCCACTCTTAAGAGCAACTTAACAGAATGTTCTGTGCAGCAAAGGAACGAGATTTCCGTTCTTAATCAGAGTCTCTGTGAAGCTATGGTTACAGAAAGGAACAACTTTGAACGATCTACGAATGAATTCTTCAAGGATCGTTTGTCTGTGTTGAAAGAAAAAAATTCTAAGCTGAACAAGGAGTTGGCAGATCTTCAATCAAAGCACCAGGAGCTGATCTCTGTTGAAAGTGAACGTTTAGCTCTTTCCACTCAGTTGAAAACTATGAACAGTAAAGTAGCTAGTTTGGCTACCTTAGAAAAAGACAATGCTCATCTTCGCCATCAGCTGGAACAGTTAAGCGACAAGGTGAAGCAGTTGGATGATCTTTCAGCAAAATGTAAGGAACTGGAAGGAGAACTGAAGAAAAGTACACAGCTCAAGTCCAACTTGGAAAAGGAGTTGAAGGAGCGCTTGCTTGAGATTACCGAAATGAAGATTAAAGTGGACACTTTTGAAGAAATGCAAGCAAGAACCAATAAACTTGTTGCCGAACTGGATAATCTTCAATTCAAACAGTTCGATATCGAAGAGATGCGTCGCGATAAGGAATCCACCTTAGCACAATTGAAGAGTGTTAAGAAGGACCTGCATAGCATGAATAGAACGGCACAAGAGAATCATCATCTTCAGCAGGAACTTCAAGAATTAAAGAATAAGAATCAATACTTGGAAACTCTGAAAGTGGAACTTGAGGAAATGAGAAAGAAAAATGACGAAGCCAAAGGCATCATTGAATCCTTAAACTTTAATTTTCAGGATCACGATATTCTTCTGAAGGAAAAAGAAAATTTGAAGAGTACCCTTGCGACATTGACTAGTGAGATTGGCAGAAAGGATAAAGAGATCGAAATAAGAAATGAAGAACTAGACGAATTTAGAAAATTTATAGATCAACTGACAAAAAAGATGAATAAAATGGAAGCTGATTATTTAAAGCGTGACGAGGAACAAATTCATTTGCTGAATGAGTTGAGACAACAGAATCAATATCTTCAAGACAATCTAAACAGTCAAAATGATATGATGAAGAAATTGAAGTATTTAGAGGAACAGCAAATAAGAACAATAGAAGAATCGAATAAGGAACTTGAGGAAGTCAAATCAAGAAATTTAGAAATTCTAGGACAATTGGAGATGTCTGAGAATTGTCGAAACGAGACACTAAAACTAAAATTAGATGAAATTGTTGCACTCACAGAGAAGAATACCGAACTATCCAAGGAAGTTGATGAACTAAGAACGAAGAGCGCTGAAGTGGAAACTATGAAAAGCAAACATGTGGAGTGCCTTAATGAATTAGAACAATTGCGTCTTAAGAATGAAGAACTACTCGCAGAAAACAAAGAACTAAAAGACTCCAAGAACGAGCTAGTAAAGTCTATTGAAATGCTACAAAGTACAGAGAAGATTCTTAATGAGAAGATCATGGACCTGGAGAACAAGGTTGCTCATCATCTAAATGAGATTACTAATCTTCATGAAGAAATTGAACTTCGAAGCTCCAATTTTGAAAGTGTGAACAAAACAAAGATTGACTTGGAGTCACAACTAGAAGCCATGAAGACCCGTTTGTTAAGTTTGGAAATAGCTGAAGTAGAGAATAATAAATTTAAGTTAGAATTGAGTCGTCTGACTGATGTTGATACTAAGAATACTTTATTGTCCTCCAAGATATCTGGTCTGGAAGCAGAAAATATGAATCTGTTGTCTGAAGTCGAACGCCTAAAAGTTCTAATGGAAGAGAAGGCAGCAGAATTGAAGTTACTCGATGCAAGAAATGGAGAGCTTTTAAGAGAAATAGAAAAATCGAATACTTCAACCTCGGAGACTATAGAAGATCGATGCATAGAGATACAAGAATTAAAGAATAAACTGAAGATTCTAGAAGAACAACTTGAAATGACTCAAACTGTAATGAAGAATGTAGAGAATGAAAACAGTAAAATGCGTGAAGAGTTATTGACAGTGAAACAACAAGAATTCAGTGAAGAAATTTTAGCTGATAACAAAAAGTTGAAAGAAGAGAAAAAGCAATTAGAAGTTCAGTTGGATGAGGCCCTTATCACTTTTCAAGCTAAAGAAATCCAGATGGAAATTGTCAATAGTGAATTGAAAGCCAGGACTGATAAACTTGAAGAAGAATTAAAGGTCAGTGAAGAGGAACAAAGTATGAGACTAAAACAATTGGTTAAGGAGTTTCAGACGCAGCTGCATGAAAAAGATGAACAAATTCAGGCTGCAATGGAGAAGAGATTTGGTACTTATAACAATTTCTCTGTCTAAACTTCTTATGATTCTACGCAGATGTATTGAATTCACTTTAACTCTTTTCAGATCGACAGCAAAATTATGAATCAGATCTAATTCAACAATATAAGGAACAGCTAAAGGATTTTCAAGTGGAATTAACTGCAAAGTCTGAGCAGATAGAGGATCTTATATTACAGAACAAAAGTTCAATAGCTGAAAAACAGAATGACATGGATTCTCTCTCAGACACTTTAGCAAAAATAAACAAGGAACATTCAGAGGAGGTACGCGAGGTGGAGAAAAAATGGAAAACCATATTGCAACAAAAACTGGAACAATTAGAAATTAAACACGCTGAAGAATTGAATGCTTTGACACACGAATGGAGGAATGAACGAAGAGTGGGTTCTATATATTAAAAAAAACTTTCCTAAATCCACCTTCTTTCTATATATAATTCAATTGGGCATTGTGCTTTTTTATTTTTTATTTTGCAGCCATCCCCCACATCTAGCTCCTCTTCACAGGTATATACATTGCACGCCATTTTCATTATTTAGTTTCGCCTTTTTTATTTGAATTCTTTTTCCAGACCGACATAAAATCCGCAGCATCCGTCGAGGTAATTTTGTCCTGTTTCATTTTATCATCCTGATAACATCTTTCCTGTCTCCCAGAGCATGCTCCTTCACGTGAACTTCATCTTCTCAACGAAACTGTCTTATTTTTAGGAATTGGAAAGTACCTCTCGTGTGGCCATGGCTGCGGTTCAGTCGAACACTGGGTCTCTTCACACTCTTCAGCAGACCTTAGTGTCCCAGAGACGAGAACTAGCCGAGCTGCGTAAAATAGTAAAACTTCGCCACGACGCCCTAGAAGATTCTACAGAAATTGAATACCTGAGGAATATTCTTTTTGAGTACATGATGGGCCGGGAAACAATGGTGCTTGCCAAAGTGATAGCAGCAGTCGTAAAGTTCGACCAGGAACAAACTATTAAAATCCTCAAGAAGGAAGAGGATAAATTAACATTGGTGAGCCAACAAGTTTTAATGTATTTTTGATATGCTCAAATATTTCTTATAGTACTGATTTAAAAATGCTTGTAATTTGCAAATTATTATATGTATATCAAATAAATATCTTTTCTTTCAGCTGGGATCGCTTGGCCTATCGTAGCATAAATTCTAGAGAATCATTGCATTTCAAAGTTCTATACACTGTAGGTAGGCTACGAATATTTCATTGATCGGGGTATTACTCGCAGGGCACTGTAAAAGGACACAATCTGTATGATATAATGTACATTATTATGGCGCGCATTTGTGTATAATTGAAACGACTTGTATGCACTGCAATCAAGAAATGGCCAGCTTAAAATTTCTTTAAGATTAGCTAATATTATTCTAATATATTCATATGCAATTTTGTATTAATGCTATTTTGCTGACTTCTTCAATGCAATAAGTAATAATATCGTCATCAATAGAATATTCTGTTAATGAATTTTTATTCCAATTTATATTCACCTGATAAAGTGATCAACCGTTTGTATTTGATTAAGATAAAAAATGCAAGTTGTGCAATTTATTTACAAATAATTCAGTTTAAGAAAAATATTCTTAATGATAGACAAGTATCGGTTTTACGTAGTTTCCATTCATACGTATAGTAAACACCTCACTATTTACGAATAATGTAAATTAAATATGATTTTACATATGGTCACACAAGTAAATACATCAAGAGATTGAGATAACCTATTATTCGTACTATTGAAAAATAAAATAAAGAAATATAGATATTAGAGGATAAAGTTCGAAAAAATTCTGTAGATCAATATAAGGCCGTGAAATTCGTATTGTACGAAATAAACTATTTACAGTTAAGAAATGTACATAATGCTGTTATTAATACATTTTACTTAAATGTCTTATAAATAAATGACAAGTTAAAGGTTCACTGTTATGCTTGAAAATCCAAATGACTTTCCCAGTTTTGTAATGCTGTTGCCTCTAATTCCTGCAGTTTCTTTTCAAAGAATTCCTTCCTGATAAACAGCGGTAGTCTCTTTTGTCGAATGAAAAATTGCTCATTTCCATTCACTGTGAATACTTTTTTGCCTTCTTCACCCAAAAGAGTACGAAGGGCCATGTTTCTCTTCATCATCTTGTCATAGAATTCTAAACCACCGTGCACATACTCTGGACCAAGTTCAGCAATAGTTTGATCACAGTCTTTTTCTATACGTATGGTTATAAAATCTTTTACTGTCAGCCAAAGACTTGCTACGAATGATCCTGTGACCAAGTAAAGTATGACACGAAGTGATCGGGGCCCCTGGTGCAGGTTAAATCGGTTATTAATTTTTTTACAGGCTTCATATGTTGCTATTATTGTAAGTGGAGCACATATAGAAGTAGCAACCACTTCATTAGTTTGTAATCTCAGCACTTCACGAGCAATCCCATATTTCTGAGCATTTTCTGATAAAACTAGGGACTCCAGTAAAGACTTGGCTGCTGGTTGTGACCAACTAACAGGTTCTTGTTTTATTAGAATACGTGAAGTTTCTATCAAGGCTGGATCAGTGTACTCAAAATTTATAGGCAGTCCAATGTATGATCCTAGTCTACTGAATGTACTACCCATGCGATAGAGGTCAAAACCAGTTACCATGAACGGTTTTATGAGTTTGCTTTCCAACTTCATAACTTTCAAATCGCTCAAAACTTCGCTGAATTGTTTTTTAAGTTTTTCACTAACTGGGACTTCTTGTCCTTCATTATACATTTGAACAAACTGCTTGTATTGTTTTATACAGAAGGTGTGTGGAAAGTATACCACACAATAAGCACATGCCGATACTGCACCTACAGTATATTTGCAGAACTCTCTGCCTGCGTCTGTACTAAGCCATGCCAGTGCTTTGTTCATTTTGATCCCTAATCCTGAAAAGAAAACTGTTAATAATTTATAATTCTGAGTACATAAACCATTAACCTGCTATAGTTCTTTTACTAATATAAACCAATAAATACAATTTCTGAATTACAGTGGTATCAATTTATGATATTCTCATTAATAGAAGATACTAATATTTAAAATTCACCTTTTTCTTCTATTAACGTAATAGTATATAAATGTATAGGAATCAGAATCTTAATACACTTGCCGGTAAACAGCGATTGTATGATTATTGTTTCCACCTCTGACTGCCTCTGACCCTTTACTACTTTTTGGTTACGTAAGATTGTGCACCATCATATGGAAAGTATCATTGAATAAATAGAAAAATAAGGTAAATGATGAAAATTGTAGAATTTATAAATTAATTATCTAAATAATTGTTAAAAATATTAATTTTTTTAACGTTTCGTCAATTTTTCGTTGAAGATAAGCAACTTTTTTGTTACGAATAAGGACCGCAATGGCGCTAGTGCCGACATCTATATTTCTAGTAGTTTTTCACTCTGTAACCAGATTTAGTATCGCAGACTATTTCCTGGTGCGAAGACCGGATCGTCGAGTGGGAGTTCAGTGCAGTTCAGTGCCAAATTGGGTCAATGGGATATGTTGTGGGGTTGTCTGGAAGGTTTTCACCAGGTTCTGCCCAACGGCTTCTCAAAGAATTATATACCCTTGTGCTAAGATCTTGGTTAGACGTGGAGGATACTGTGTCCGTATAGCCGTCTGACAGCTGCGTCTACACGAGCAGCTGTTACCAGAAAATGTGAGGTGTTCCTTGCCATATTTTGCTATATACTGGTAAATTAATCCTATAAAGCCGTCACTACGTCCCGAGGAAAGGACTCATCGACGGGGTCGGTCCGGCCAGGCTCATCGGGACACATGAGGTCCGTTACCTCTGTTTCCGAGGCCAACTTTCAGGGTATCGGTCGCGATATGGCTGAAAGGCTCGGCCTCGGAACCGAGGTTCGTGAGCTAAAGTTGGGACCCACCTTCACGAACAACAAGTCTACTGCTTTCCATACCCTGAAGTGTAAGTGTTCAGTCTTCTCTAGGTTTCTACACTAACTTTTTGTCTAATATACTGTATGTTGCACGTTTTTGCAGATGACTTTAAACCAGCCAGCGTTGACGTATCGAAAATGGCCAGGGTGGACGTGGGTGCCAATAACACGATGACTGTTACAGTACCACACCTTGATGGTGCTGGAATTCCTCACACTGTGTTCAAAGGCTCGCAAAGACCCTATCATAAAGAGTGTGTTCTCATTATTGACAAGATCACTGGTGAAGTTACTCTTGAGAAACTATCATCAAATATCCAAGTCAAAAAGACCAGGTATGTGTTTGTATTTAATAAGTTACACTTGATATCAATCGCTGATGTATTAAATATTCTCAGAACGGAGCCAAAGTCCCAACCGTTTCTGGTAGTCCCAGGATCTAATAGTAATAACAGGCCCATCACTCCAGTAGAGAACAAAAAAAGTCCCACTCATGGCAGGGCCACCAGTAGGACTAAGGTAACCAGTGGTAAGAAAAGGGAACCTACAAGTCAGCTTCATCCTAAGCAGCATAGTCCTCTCAGAGTCTCTCCGTACCATGGAAAAAGTCCACCGAATGTTCCAAGCAATAGGTATATTCCTTGAACAAAAATATACTATTGGGTTGGCCAAAAAGCAGTTCCGTTTTTTTCGCTTAACATATGTATGTCCATTTATTAGAGAAACCTCAATTACTTTCTAGCCAATCCAAATTTTCAAAAAATATATCATTTCAGACAGTGAGGGTGCTATTTTCATTCTAGTTCTCCAGTGCCACCATCAACGGTGCAATCGACCCTGGCGAGCCTACCGATGATTGGCCTTGACAATGACGACTATGCACCTTCCTTACCGACTCCACTAGCTTCTAATTCTTCCGCACCACTCAGAACAGCTTCTCCACATTCGGACTATCAACACCACCCCACGAAACCCGTGGCTACCATGGAGAGTGACGAGGGTGCGTTGAGTGACTCCAGTTCAAGTAGTTCTAGTTCAGACAGTTCAGACAGTGACACAGATGCTGAGAACATACCAGTACCCATGGCTACAAATGGTAAATTTCTTATCTACACTATTTCACTAAATAGATGTAGCATTCCAGCTTCTCCAGGTATAAATGTGTAAATAACGGGATTTTTCAGGTCATTCAAACGGCATAGCCTCCTCCCCGTCCCTTCCGATGCCGGACAATTTGTTGAATGACGATCTCCAGCTCTCCGAGTCCGAATCGGACAGCGATTAGCGAGAGATCAAGGCCAACCTCTGGAATATGAATCACTGACAAGAGATAAATCTTTGGAAAATCGTAAAAACATGTTGCGTAGAATTTATGTACAAAATCTTAGGCCCCGAGGAAGAGATCCAGGAAACCAGAGTAATTTTACTAAGATAGTACCAGGATAGTGACTCATTCAGTCCATTTAACTTAATTATATATATAGCACGTATAAGAGGTTCTGTGACATCTTCCTCAAAGGTTATGATATCTCCTTGTGCTCCAAGGTAGAAAAGCGTAACGATCGTAATTTCGACTGAACGTCGTCGTACTTCGAGCCGGTAGATACATATACAAGATCCTGCTAACGACTGAGTCGTAAGGATGCTATGTACCCCCACAATTGGCACCACGAGTCCTCGAAATTCCGATCGTGGCCATCTGATAAGCAAGAGTGCAGGTGTAGTACATACTTATAATATATAGACTGTTTCAAAGGAGACCTTACGTATTTTATAAGTATATATCACAAAATCTTGATACGACAATGGGCTATCCTGGCACTACACTTTCAATGTCCTTCCTGTTAGGGTCAGATCGTCATCCTGGCACGACTCATAAGATATCAGGCAGATCGATACAGTCTGATTATATTATAAATGGAAGAGTGCCAACGTGCTGGATATTGATTAGCGATTTTGCGGATCATGTATAATTAATTGTAAGGTATTAGGGCTTTTGTAATAATTATTTTAAACTCATATATAGTGTATTACTCGTGTGAGCTCAATCCTTCGAATGAATAAAAAAGAAGAAAAGGTCTTGCCAAAAAAAACACTTCAAGAATTGAGTCGAAGATATTCAACCCTTTGGTACTTAATATAAATAATTATTTCTCTCTTTGCTGAAAGTGTATTAGAAAGTTGTCAATGGTATAGAAAATATTTTTAACTTTTACATCACAAGATAATTGTTTGACATTGAATAATACAATATTTTAGTCCCACGATGCAATGACACTGGATATTAATTTAATTAGGAGTTCCATTAATAGATTTATAATACTACACGTACGTATTATAATACGTGTCGTTATGATCATCACCATCATCATTGACTACTTTGGTATTCTAGGATGAGTTTGGCAAGTTGACCGCGATGACCAAGGCGGAAGCTACGTTCCCTTATGCATTTTTTATATGCGACGTCGCTGCGCGTTCCGGCGCAACTGACGTCCTTGTAACGGATCTTGAGAGCCGGTTCTACGGCGCGGAAACAGTGAAGATCGCTGAAGGATACAAACATGTCGAACAAGGATTCTATGAGGGTCTGAGAAGATAGCTTCAACAACTCTGGAATATCCTTGTCAGTTCTTACTAGAGGAATCGAAAGTGGCTCTATGGTTTTGCGCACTGGAATGAGTTTAATTGAATGATTAATTAAAATTTGTTATTGGCATCAACCAATGGGAATATTCAATAACTCACTGGTTGTGTAATCTTTGGCATAAAAGCTGATACTCTCAAAATTGGTATCGTCGTATCTTCCATGGTTTCTCGTAATATCCATCTCTACGTGTTTGATATCTTCCGCGTAGGCTATGTCAGGATGATATCCCGTGAAGGGGATGGGACTAAAGATTTGCCACTGGCTGATCGTGTTCATTCGTACCTGATTACGCAAAAGGACACTGTAAGTCATAAAGTGATGGTTCGATTATGGAAGTATTTAGAAAATCTATGGCTCACTCTGTTCAAATAGTCGGATCTTAAGTCTATCCCGGGATCCGTGAAGAGGATGAGACTTTCTGCTGTAAACTTCTTCACGGACAGGTCAGCTATTGCGATCCTGAGCATAGGATCCAATTCAATAGCAGTAAAAGCAGTTGGTAATCGTATGGAAAGCCAGGATACTTTTGACTGATCCTTTTTGTATTTTTCAGTTAATATCAGTGCTAATTGTTTAATATCGTAGAAAACGTCCTCCTTTCCTCTGGAAAGCGCTGACGGGTCATATAAAAGAACTACCATAAGAAAAGTTTTATCTTTTTTCTCCATACAGTTCTCAGCGTATTTCTTCATAAAGGTGAGCGTTTCCGTCTTCTTCTGAGGATTCGCCATCAAGATCATGTTGATCCTGGAGTTCTCAGTAACATAGGGTACAGGAAGGATCTCCACCTTGCCTAAAGGTTTGCAGACTTCGACGCGCTTAATAGACTCCTTTCCAGTGGATAATTCCGTGAAACTGATATCTAGGATGTAATCCATTCCCCGGGAAGCATCTAACTTCCTATAGCCGTTCACCAGCTTCTTAAACTTCAATTCTCCGTCATACTTATTTTCGATTCTCTCGACGGCAGTTTTTGTCACTTGATCTACGTCCATCTTGGTGCTACCATGTAACTCTCGTAAGATGTCCATATCATTCTCCAGAAATGTATGGGTCTCGTTAAAATACGTCCAACGGAGAACGTCGAAACGACCTGGTGGTTTGTTTCCTGGTTGATTACCAACTGGCCAGGATACATTACGTTTGTCTTTCGGTCCCAAATGTGCTGTCTTCAGTATGACCTTGCGTAATTCAGAGATTTTCTTCTGGACTTTCGCTAGTTCCGTCTAGAAGATAGTTTAAAGGATGTAACTAGAGTTAGTAGAGTTAGAGGATCTATTTGCTAATATGACTCCTGGGAAACTTACCGTGGCGATATAGGCGCTCATTTTGTACACCACTGTGTGGTCGTAAATTGGATAAATTGAAACAGAATCTGCTATGTTACTATTAGCTATTAGTTTAGATAGAGAAGTTTCAAAATGGAAAGTTGGATCCAATTTTTCTGAGTGGAATGTCTGCCCCTGACTTGTACTTGTGCAGAGAACAGGTAATGAGTGTACTATACATCGGCCAAAGTTAATATCATCGGAGTCTGAATATGTATTCTTTACACACCAATCCAAATTGGTTTTCATTTCTCGAATTATAGAATTGCTTAATAAGATTCCAGCATCTAAAAAAGAGATTACATTTATCATTTGGATATTACTTGTTATTATTCAAATAGCAGTATCAGTACCCAGAGAGCAGTAGGTTTCTGTATCTCCAGGAACACCCATGTGAATATCCTGACTGACACTTATTTTATTGACAAGCTCAATAAGTCTTCTCGCATTAATATAACTTGCATCTTTTATCAGGTAATAATAGTCGTAGTCCTCCAGGTAATTATCAGTGATATATTTCATGATATGAAAGGGTTTTAGAATACTACGTGTGTCAGTGAACCCAACAATACCAGGTAGTGAGACATTTGGTTTGGTACCTTCAGGTATCGAGATAAAATATCGCACCTTATCAACCAAGTGTGCTATTGTTTTATTCAGTGCAACTCCACGACTATGTAAATACTCTCGATTGGTTATCACACCAACAAAGAGTTTATCCCGAATTCCAAGCTCGGTGGAATAATATCTTGGTCTCACAAAAACCTTGGGAGTCTTTTGAGCATGCTGTGGCTTCCCTTCAATATTTATTTTAGGCTCATACTCATCATTGAAGTTATGGGTATCTACCATGTATGGTAGAGAATCTGATCCTTCGTGGCATTCATCAATCTCAACAGGAGCAAAGAACAAACTTAGACTTAAGCCCATGCATATACCAACGATTAGGTATAAATTACTCCGACAGTGTGAGAATAACATCTTAATAACTGCAGACATTATCGTATATGCAGGATGTTTTCTTTAGAGACAGAACTGCGTCTTCTCAATCTTATATCGATAATATCAATTAAATGTGAATAAAGCTGTCAAATGTGCTGTTTTTACGTACAACATTAAACTGAAATAAAAAAACATGCTTCAGCAAATAATTGCTCAATATATTGATCAAATTAAAGAATTCGCTTAAGTGCAATCTTTTCGTGATTGCTCCCCTAGCGTTTCTCTATTACTCAGATCTTAAAAATAGAAAATTCACGATGTAACCTCACTTCTACCTTTGCAAACGCGGCCATCTTACCGCAAGATCGGTTCGGATCGATACTTAACCAATCAGCATTCATCCTGATGATCGCTAGTTGTCCCAAAAGTATGAAGACCATAATTCGTAAAACCATTAAGAAGGAATACTGTCAGTAACAATATATAGCGCAACTCCAAGTGAGAGAAAGATATAATCCATTCTATATACATATGTATTACATTAACAAAAATAATATAATTATACATATAAAAACATGGTCAACCTTATATAACGTTACATCCTGTGCAAATTTTGTAACAATTTAACTATCATCTAATGCTTTTTTGACAATGAAGACTCATAAAAGTAAACCTAAAAATATTCAACTCTGTCTTACATTAATCATTTATTTCATATACGATATACTATCTAGCTTGACTATAATGTTTATGGCAAAGACCGCCTGATGTTTTCCGCGCGGTACCTAGTACGATTGTTTATCCGCCATTTTGTATTACTGGTGTACGCGCAGTTTTCGCTGGCACATTTTCTCACCGATTTTATCATGAGTCCCAATCGCTAAAAAACTCAGTTTCGATATCGCCCTCAAGTGAACTAGTGTTCTAGCAAATAAAAGCCCGCAAAGCGCACCATGTGAAGTGCACTCCTTAAAACGGGTGACAACGCTATGACGAATCGTGACAAGTTGCCTCAAGTTTCGACCCAACTTTTCCTGACTTTTTGAGGCCAAATGGCCATTTTCAAATAAACCGAACAATACTTGAGCGCTCCACAAGTAAGTCTACCTCAGAATTACTACCTGAGTGCTATGAGATTAATATACAATATGGTTATCCAATTTCGGACATTAAAGTTATTTTGAATTAGCATTTTACGATGTCAATATGGCTCTTATCGTAATGGCTAGTCTGTACAACCTTTCACTGCATTTCTTATGCAAAAGTAACGACCTACTGTTTCAGAATCATTGTTGGAGTAAAATTTTGTTACTGTCATACTTTTAACAATCTACAACTCTATAAATCTACTTTTCTCACTACTTTAAGTCCCATTGCCTAGTTATTCTGATGTATCAATAATCTTTGAGTCTGCATATGTTTTTGGAGCATTTGACAGATTTTGTACATTTGTTAGATGGTTTTATATCCCTTATAGGATGTCTGGTCAGAGTGGAGGACACCGGTTGCGGCTCTCGAAGCTTAACGAGCAACTGACATGCAAACTGTGTGGTGGATACTTCATTGATGCTACCACGATCATAGAATGTTTACATTCATGTAAATATTTTACTTATTTGGAAATTTTATAATAGCATACAGTCAATTAATGGCATCATGATTCTTTATAGTTTGCAGAAGTTGCATTGTGAAGTATTTGGAAAGCAACAAGTATTGTCCTATCTGCGAGGTTCAGGTGCACAAGAGTAAACCATTACTAAACATACGGCCTGATCATACTTTGCAAGATATCGTGTACAAGCTTGTACCAGGATGTTATCAAAGTAAGTTTTATATGGACAATTGAAACTGCATCATATAGTAATTAAAGATTAATCAATATCGCGTGGTTACCAAGAGAATTTTAGGCATTAAAAAGTCATTTAATCCTTGGTGTAGATGAGATGCGATGTCGAAGAGAATTCTATACCAAACATCCGGAGGCCAGAAACGAGTCAATGTCACCGGAATCTCGTGGCGAGCCAACAGAATCTCACATATACTCGCCGGACGAGTCACTGAGCTTGTCATTGGAATATTATAATCCCAATTTGAAAGAGGAGTCCGACGATGCTTCTAAGGAAACCTCACCGAAGCCGTTACCGAGACGGTACCTTCGGTGTCCTGCAGCCGTGACGGTTTTTCACCTTCAAAAACTTATTCGAGCCAAGTATGGACTCACCGACGCGCATCGAGTGGACGTTATGTACAAAGAAGAGCCGTTGTGCGGCAGCTATACGTTGATGGACGTAATGTACATCTACCACTGGAGACGGGTAAGTTGTTCACCTCCTGGTGAATAGAATTGAACTATAAACAATTCTTAATTGCTGGGAACCTTATTACAGAAAGTACCGCTTCATCTGAGCTACAGGATATTTGAGTCCTCACCAAAGAGGATCAAACTTTCAGACGACAATCCTGACTTTAAACAGTCCTTGTCGAACGCAGGTATTAGTCCTCTGGACTCCAAGGAGGATGGGTTGACGAAGCGCGAGTGGAAGGAAGTTCAGCTGAAGATATCCGAAACGGGTGTGATGAGCGTCACCGACATAACCAGTCCTGACAACAAGAAGAGTACAAAAATCCAAGATGCTGAAGATCAGAAAGGATCCGGTGAGATGGCCGAGGCTGTAAATAAATCCGACATAGTATTACAACCATCTGATAAGGATGGGGACGGGTTGAACTCGACGGAGCAAGGGAAGAGTTCCTCAAAAACCGACGAGATCATCTCTAAGGAGGCTAAGATGGTTGGTCAGGATGCTGAGAAAAGTATACCGTCACAAACCAACAAAAACTCTGGGGAACCTAAGGATTCTCGGGGACAGTCAAATGACCTTCAGGAAGCTAATGAGGCCAAAAAGACTCAAGAGAATATTCAGAAAAAGAGTGAAGATCTTCAGTATGACAAAGCTGACAATTCTATTCGGAAAATCAACAATCCCGATAAGTCATCATCAGCAACCAGCAGTCAGAAAAATTCTGAGGAGAAAAGCAATGCAGACTCGGTAATTGTCGAGGACAAGGATACGGAGGGTAAGCAAATCTTAACTAACAACAACGTGATTAATACCGAGGCGGCTAAGGTCGACGATCAAAAGATCACGAGTGTTAACGAGGTTAAAAGTACAGTGCCGCCTAGTGCAGGATCTAAGATCGATGCTCTCAGTGCAAAGCTTCAGTTCCAGCCCAAAGTGGGACAAGTGAACAATACGTACTCGAAGAAGACACCAAAAGATAAGAGGACAGCATCATCGGGACCCAGGAAGTTCGAATCTAAGGAAACGGTGAAGGTGGATCCTAAGGCATCGGAATCTGGTAATAGCAAAAGGACCAATTGCAATGCTAATAACAAATTAACCACTCCGGTTAACGTAGTATCAACCCAGTCTAAGACAACGGCAACTCTATCTAGTGCCTCGCAGACAAGCTGCCTCCTGGTGTCTTCAGCGGCATCTGCTACCTATGTAACTGCACCGTCTGCGGCGGTGTCAAGCATACAGAACTCTTCATTGGCGGACAATAGGAACACAGTACAAAGTACTCAAAGTACAACTGTAAACCTGCAACAGACTTTAAATTCACCGGGTCAGAGAATGAGCTTCTCGGAGCAGAGTTTGACGACTCCTGGACAGAGATCTTCAACGTCTACGACTGCCTCTTCCAGTAGTGTCACTCAGAAGATGACTTTCTCTAGGAACAGCAGTTTACCGCCTTCCAGTGAGAGCTTGGCGTCCATTGGTTTGAATGTCTCAACGGCGATGATGAATATGGGTCAGGGTTGTCCCACTTTCCCTTACACAGTCCAGGATTTGGTGAGCAATAATATGCTCAAGAGTCCTTCGAAAACTTCTGGAGTAGGTGCTGGACAAAAGTCGACTTTAGTATCCTCTCAGAATACTGGGATTTCATCCACTGGCTCTGGAGGTCAGCCTTGTTCCTCACCGTTCGCTATACAGACCCCCTCGATGAGCATTTACTCAGTGTCTACTTCTACGAAGAATAATGTATATCCTAATGTGTCCGAGGGTAATAACACGTTGGGAAAGCAAACTCTGTCGAAGGGTGGGTTTGAAATGAGTAATGCTTACTCAGTGCCACCATGTCCGGATGCCATACCGATATCTTTAATGAAGCCTACGGTCAGAAAACATGAAGTCATTGCTAAGGGCACCAATTTGAACGAGATTTGTGCAAAGATTGGTACATCAGGATCAAAGATCAATGACATTTGTGCTAAGATTGGTGAGAATTCAAAGGAGAAGAATAAAGCTGAGACTCGTAGTCGTCCTGAAATCCCAGATCTTTTGAAAATTGCCAGGAAGACTCCATCGACCTCATCCTCGGGGGATGTGGTTGTTAAACATATTCCTAACATACCTAACGTGCCCATATTCACTCCCAGCAATAGCCTGGCTAACACTGAGAGTAAGGGTTCTTACCAGTCTAAAGACACTGGCAAAAGTATGATTTCCTCAACAACAACATCACAATCCGGATCTAGTTCCCATTCCTCTCAGAAGATACCCTCGTTAAAGAAACAGAGTCAGCCAGTGGGTTACAAAACACTCAAAGATCCACCCAAGACTTGGAATCCTACCTTGTCTAAGAACAATTATGTGGCAGTAAAGAATCAGACCAAAGAAATGCAAAATCAGTCCCAGGCAGCATCTACGTCGGAGTCAGGAAGTTCTAAGCCAATACCGTCGAAACCGGCGAAGATATTCAAGATGAGGAACATGCCTAGATACTTGGGTAATCCAGCATCCGGTGTAAAGCCTATGTATGGTATGTCTAACGAATCAAAGGATAAGGAACAGTCATCCTCTGGATCTAAAAACTCCACTCTGAACATGATGAAGATTGACCCGAAGACGCTATCCCCAATAGTGTCGACGGTGAACTCCCCTATAGTGTCGCCACCTCCGTATTCGCCGAATGCTAGAAGTTATCAGAACACACCCTTCCCTAGGGATATATGTCGCACTACGGGCTCACCTATCTCGCCTAGGAATTCACCGGTTAATATGCTCTCCACAAATCCTTTTATACCATCACCAACGCCTAATACCAATCCCAGGTTGATATACTCGCATTTCCCACCACCGTTTCCCGATGCCAGCAGGTTCCCAAATCCTCTAATCAGGACACCCATAGGAATACCTTCTGCGAGTGCTTATCACAGCAGCTTGCCACCCTCGATAAATAAACTATATCAGCGCACGAATTACATACCGCAGACTACGGCGTATTCTCCGGTAACCCAGCCGCCTACGGTGCAAAGAATACCGCCAAGCACTCACTCCTCTTCGCCAAAGTCTCCGAAGATGTCCTCGTCCAGTGCCAGCTCGTCGTTCAATCTGGCCAAGACAGAGACGCAAACGTCGATTCCAACTTCGGTGGAAAATGTCGCTATTCACTTGGGGAAAAGTCAGGTCACTCAACAGGAAGTGAACTCAGCTTTTAATCTGTCAAAGAGTGGCACCAGAACAAGTGCCGCTTCTGAGTTCTTGAGAACGACGTCACCGGACGTTCCTCAGAGTCCTAAGAGCACTACATCGAATTCCACGAACCAGGTCAAACAGCAGAGCACTCCCACGTCTTCGGGGAAGACTAAGCCGAAGCTTACCTTGGACATACCACCACCCGATAACGTTACTCAGCATAGAGTGAAGGACGAGGAGTCGCAGAAGGATTGCGACAGGACTAAAGATGATACTCAGGATAAGATTAAAGCTTCAGAAGGCGTCGCAAAGGTAGATGTCGAGGAAGTAACAGTCGCTGATCTGGAGAAGAACGAAAAGTCGTCAACGAAATTAAACGGCGAGGTTAATCCGGAAGTTCCCCCAACTTCTGGTAAAGCTAAAGATGATCCTGACACTAAGTCCACGGAGAATACCTCAGAGAGCAAGACCTCAAGTTCCAAGGAACAAACAAAAGCTACAGATGGTATTCCTCCCTCGAAGGAGTCCTCGGCGATTCCAGAGGAACAAAACAAAACCGACACTAAGAACGACGAGCTGGGAAAAAGCGGTGAGCAGATCCAGGCTAAAAAATCGGAGGCTCAAAGAAACAAAGCTGAATCGTAACCTAGGAATCGGCTTACTCGTGGATGATCTTCATTAGAAGTCAATCACCCTGGACCGCTCGATTCTATTACCGGTTGGCTGTACATTTCTGTATATAGTAACTGGAAATCTAATTATTATTTCTAAGTACAGTTTTACTAATTAACTTTTCAGTTCGATTTTAATCGTGTGTCCACCACGGCATTTCAGGAGAACTTGTGTGACACTTTGAAGGATAACACCTCAAATCCATGTCAAGAAATGCTCCTTTCTCATCCATATCACGTTATCATCATTTGGCCCAGAAGTTTCATAAATCTTTCAATAAATAATCAATTCATTTAATCTCTCATACATTACAATATCACAATTTTTTTCTCGTTTATGCGAATCTTTATTAGTCACTTCTGTGACTGTTATCATGGAGCATACTAATGACACGTTATCACTTATTATTTACCATTCGCTATTCTCAATGGTCTTGCGAGGTACAATCCAGTTTAGTGATCACCCAAGTTCTCGGGAGGAGCTTCGAATTAATTGTTGTCGCGACAGGCCGGCTTTAACGCAGTGTAATAATAATTAGTATACAAAAATTTCGTTGATTGCGCTTCAAATCCTGTCCCGACTTACATACGGATAAATATTAGCTGTTGATTTGTTAATAGAACATCCTGTCTCTGTGTACATTCATGTTAATTTTAATGAGTCTATCTCGACATTTTATCAATCGCTATCAAGACGCTGTTTCGGAACCACGACATTACCGGTAACATATGCAATGTAACAGGAAGACAGAGAAGAGGAAGAAGGAAGTGACTGATAAGAGGAAAAAAAGGAAAGAATAAGAAAGCGAAGGATTTTAAAAAAGGAAATCGAAGAAAATGGCGTAAGAAGAGAAATACAGGAAGTACGCGCCACAGGCTCACGTACAAGAATAAAATAAGTGAACGAGAAAGGCAAAGTGGTTGCGAATTAAATATATATATATATATATAATTATTATAAATATATATATATATACACACACACACACACACATTCAAGTGTTAGACGTAACTAATTAAATTAATATAATGTTATTTAAAGAAGGCATTTTTATATCGTAGGTTGACAAAAATTTATATAGTGTGCAGCCTCGAGTATCTTCAAAGGAATCCTCGATGGTTCGCCATGACCGGAAACAGGAAATGACCTGAAAAACATAATATATATTGCTAGAGGACAGTTTCCCAGATAAATAATACCACGTCTGATTCTAATTGTTTAAACGAAAGAATCTCGAGGACGCTGTTGTCCGGTGATTTCGCTTCAATTATAATTCTTTTCTCACAGGTTGATGATCAATTAATTACTGAAAATAATTATTTAACTAACAAACAGTATGTCCGTCATTGAGGACTTGGAAAATATTCGAGGTCTGAGAGGGCGGCGTAGTGAAGAGGAAATGTCCGAGGCCTTATCGTATCTTATATCGAATAACGGATATGGAACAATAAAAAGAAATTAATTCAAGAATCCAGAGAGCTTCTGGTAATTAATGGGAATGGGATTTCAGTATATTTATCGGTGATTATAACTAATGATGCGCTGTGATCGTGATATTTTTTTTGTACTCTTCACTTTTATTTGTCAGTCTACGGTTTTTATTATTTTGTTTAATCCCTGTCTTATCTTAACACAACAGCAAGTAGTGACTTTGATGAACAAATCAGAAACAAAGCTGGAGCAAGATATGAAGTCTCAACTAAGATATGAAATCTCTATCTTTCCTAATATCTGAGAAAAGGCAAAAGTGTTTAGTGAATAAGATCAGACACAAAAGGGATTGCAGAAAAGGAACAGTAGATTGTTTCTTTATTTTTTGGACTTTCAATTTTGAAATAAAACCCAACTTGTGCAGACGACACAGCGCAAATACGTAAAATTTGCGAAAAGCGATAAAATTTTTTAATTGTCACTAAATGACAGCAAGAATTTAATATACGATGAAAAATCACTTTTTTAGATCGGAGTTTCCCTCCGCCTTATTTGTATATAGTGTATCATTGGTTAAAGAAGTTATATATTATACGATAATTAAAAGAATTATTAATTATTAATATAATGATAATATATATATATATATATATGTGCGTGTATATATATATATTTATCGCGTAAACACGTAACGACACATTTCATTTTTTAACCTACGTCCAGCACAGTACCCCGCTTTCCCTCGTTTTAAAAACATTTGTCAGATTTTTGGAAAGTTCAAGCAAAAAGATACGCTTTGTGCGAAAAATGTTCTTTTTCTAATAATTGGTTACACATGAAAGTTCAATTATATTTTTGCTGGAAAGAGAAAGAACATCCCTTAGTCCACGTAAAGATATTAATATTATAATTAATATATATATATATATATAGCCATATACAGGGTGTCCCAAAAATTCCTGACCAACGTGGGTTTGGCGGTGTTCGGGAGGCACCACTGATCACGAAAATGACCTTCCTTTTGTCCGGAAGGTCATAGTTTTTAAATGGGAGCAGGTCAAAGTTGACCAATCAGAGGGCGGCGTCAAGAGAAACGTAGGCACCTACGAACTCTGAGTTTTCTTCCCTCGCTTTTGTTTCTTGGTGGTTTCGGGCAGGATGACGTCAGCCGAAGACATGCCTATTGGAAACAAGCCACCGAGAAACAAAAGCGAGGGAAGAAAACTCACAGTTCGTAGGTGCCTACGTTTCTCGTGACGCCTCGTTATGATTGGTCAACTTTGACCTGCTCCCATTTAAAAACTATGACCTTCCGGACAAAAGGAAGGTCATTTTCGTGATCAGTGGTGCCTCCCGAACACCGCCAAACCCACGTTGGTCAGGAATTTTTGGGACACCCTGTATATGGCTATATATATATATATATATTAATTATAATATTAATATCTTTACGTGGACTAAGGGATGTTCTTTCTCTTTCCAGCAAAAATATAATTGAATTACACCTGTGATTCCAAGGTTTATCTTATTTTACACTTGATTTGTTATCTTCAGGAACAAAATCTTGGCACTCAAGTATTGGCTATCTTCTCAACATGACGTACAGCATCCTTAAGTTTGTAAACTAATTCCTGTAACTGCTGTGTAGTGCATGTGAATTTGAGAAAGATTGTCTCACTTTGCTTTATAGTGCTCAGTCGTATATGGTATAAGGGCATACCAACTGAGTTTTCTGTGTTGGACTGTGAACATTAAATTATGAAAAATATAGGTAAGTTGTAAGAAGTTAATTATGTTAATTGTCTAAGTTAGAACCTTTATGCAATAATCCAAACACCAGGAAACGTCTACCACATGGGGTAAACTAGTCCCAATGTTTTCCAAGCATCTCTTTATTGTTGTTCTATACTTGGAATAAGATTCACAGATCTTGTCAATCCTTGGACCACTGATTTGCACACTTTGTAGATAGTTACTAAGTTTCTCCTTGTCGTAGCTGTGTCGACCTGCTTCCACAAGGAGGATGGTCAGGTCAGCGAAGACTGCTTTTATTATATCAGGCTTTGAGCCATAGATTTGTGAGACGCCTTGAACAAATTTTAAATCTGACGATTGTCCGTGAATTTCATTTTTCATAACTAAAACTTTATACTCACTTATGGCATCCGGTTTTTCACATACGTGCGAAATCGTTATTTCTACCAGCTTACCAAACGTCTCATCACTTATTACATTAACATTTTGTAAATAAGATAGACCCTTTATTGTTCTCTTTGACAGTTCCATCGTATTGAATGCCTAACCTGTTAGGTTAGGAAAGACAGGGAGACTCAGCAAGTTGCCATGCTTGTTTAATAGATAATTTTTTTTCATATTCAAACTCATACTTATATGTTCAAACAGACCGTGGTTCAAACTGTTGAATTATGATTGAAATATGGTAAGAAGATAAATGGGAACATAATATCCAAACAACATCAAATGAATATAAAATAAAATACACTAATAATATAATTGGAGCTCACAATGTGAGTGTGCTCCACATAAATACCTAAAGTATAAAGTACTTATTATTTAACTGGCCTTGGACTCAGTTTATTTGATTTTTGATATTATTGCTCTTGTATTATGAATTTATGGCATTAAGATATATATATACATATGTATGTATAAGTTGCTTTTATCATGGAATTTATTGTAAGGAAAATATAATGAAGGTCATTGATATTATCACTATCACAAAAATTCCAATTTTCTTCCAGGAACATATAGGCATGGTCTCTTTAATAAATCTAACTAAGCTATTCTGTGATTAGAATCATGCCTATACATTTTAATGATGTGAATTGTATTTGAGCAGCCGAAGACACTTTTTTCAAGATCTTACATAATCATAAGGTATGCTCAGTTTCTGTAAGAACATAGAGTTGTATTGAATATTTTTTACTTATAATATGTTACCAGTTAATTAACATTATTTTTATTCAAAATTTAAGTAACTTGTATACTTAACTTGTATTTCTATAGTGAGAAAAAGACAAGAAGGAAAAGAAGAACATAGGTGTGGCAAGTATTCATGGCTGGAACATACTGCTCTCATTGATTTATTTTATGAGCATCTCCTTGAACCTTTGATACAAGGTCAAGTGCTTGGTTTAACAGTTTAACATCTACTCATATTTTCACTCAGTTCAACACTATGAACTGCAATGAAGACAACCAGCAGGAATCTGACAGATTCTTTAAAGAATTCAATGATCAACTGCAAAAGGAAACTAATGAAACTGGGTGAGTATTGTATAACACTTCTGATTTATTCGACATAATTATTTATGTTTGTAAGCATATTCATAAGTGAAGTAGTAAGTGACATTATCGTTACATTTTTATGTTTGAACTTCCCATTGCACATGTTTCTTATTATAAACAGTAGTCAACTGGGAATATTTATCGCAGTAGATATAAAGCAACAAGTATGTAATGCAAAATCTTTAGTGGAAACTAGATTCCATGACATAAGCAAGGACTCCCACATACCTTTTACTTAGTATATCAGGGACAAAATAGGCGGGAAATCAAGGTCGACTCCGTTTAAGTAATTTTATGCTTCAATGAAGTAAAGGAACCTGTACACATTACAACTAATACTTATTCGTATTTATAGTCGATCCACGTATTCAATGTGTTTTATTGACAGTTTGCAAGCAACGCAATCCTTAGGAAATGACACGTGGTTTTCTATAAAATAACGTAAATATATGCTAAGATAAAATTATAAAATGTAATTAGTGCAAAACCATACGTATGTATGTATGCATGCTTTTTAACGAACGTTCTATACAGTGACACGTGTGCCTTACTAAAGAGTTCATTCTTTTCGATCGATCAAAAAAACACATCGAACTCGTAGACTGACTATACATATTTAGTAATACTAGTACTAATAAAAAAAAGTCTTTCAGTATTTTCTTACCAGCGATGATTAAAAACCGGACCACGTTGAAACCAACATTTAAGGATGCAATACCCCAGGTAATGTGTCCATAATTTCTATCAATTAAGCGTATCGAAATGTCCATTCGTCTAACACGTTTTCATGATTGCAGATCATCGCAAGTTGTATCATACATTGTATAGTCATTCAAGGAGGAATTAATATGGCTTATAGTACAGTATTGAACAATGGCCTACAGAAAGCGGAAGGAAAGCTACGAATCTCAAAAGATCAGGAATCTTGGATAGGTAAATTATAAATAAATCACAATTTAATTTTAGATTTATTAATTGTTTAACAATCTTATAGCAAGTCTGGTAACAATATCTTTGCCGATCGGATCTCTCCTGACTGGTCCACTAATGGATAAATTCGGTCGAAAGAGCATATGTTTGCTGACCTGTATACCAGCATCGATATCCTGGATTCTGATACTCTTATCGAATTCCATCAGTACCATTTATGCAGGCCGTGTGATAGCCGGTGCCTCAGCAGGCTTGTCGACAGTAGGTCTGGTCTATGTCTCCGAGATTACCCATCCTCAGCTGCGAGCGATGCTTCTCTGCCTGAACTCCGTCTTCGTATCTTTAGGGATTCTTATAACCTGCTGTCTTGCCGTTTGGCTTAGATGGGATACCATGGCAGCAGTTTTTCTTGTCTTAAATTGCTGTGTGTTCCTGGCGCTCTTCATTGTACCAGAAAGTCCTTACTGGCTTATGTGCTTTAGCAACGGGATGCTCAACGAGAATAGCACAGGGAGAGCCGAAAAGAGTCTCAAGTGGTTGAACAGAAGGGAAATAGTGAGTTCCTGAACTTATCGGTAACACTGTGAACCTGAGGTGTTTTTAACGAATGTCCTTACTTACAGATATACGAGCAGGAATACGCTCGGATTAAAGAGATCTCCTCCACTCGGGTAATGAATGCGGAGTCGTCAAAGACATTGCTCCAGTCCATCAACTTATTCTACAAAGAACTCATGTTGCCTACAGTATACAAGCCAATGTGCATACTCTTCTTCCTTCTGCTGCTGCAGCAACTATCCGGCGCATATGTGGTGATCTTCTACGCGATATCCGTTTTCAAAGAAATTGGTGGCACCTTCGGAGCTGGTCTCGACGCATACGGTGCACTGGTGATGTTAGGTGTGATACGATTCATCATGAGTATTCTGACGGCCTATTTTAGCAAGCGCTACGGGCGTCGTGTACTCTGCATATCCAGCGGTCTCGGGATGACCTTCTCCATGTTCTTCTCAGCAATGTACATGTACTTAACCTCCTCGTGCGACGAAAACGGTACCGTCAAGCAGACGATGGCTAATCAGAAGTGGCTTCTCTTGGTTATTGTACTCTTTTACGTGTGTACAAGCTCTCTGGGATTCGTGGTAATACCCTGGACCCTCATAGGCGAACTCCTGCCCATATCGGTCCGCGGCACGGGCAGTGGTCTTATGGTGTCCTTAGCTTATATTATGATGTTTGGCGTCATCAAGAGTTATCCTTATGCCATCGAAGGGATGGGTGGCCAGGGCATATTTTTTTTCTTCAGCTTCACTTCCCTTCTTGGTACTAGCTTTGTCTATTTCTTCCTACCGGAAACACTCGGCAGGACATTCACGGAAATCGAGCAGTATTTTACCACCAATAGAAAAACACGTTCATGTTAACTCCATAATAAGATGCGATGTTTCTTGTAAATAAATACGAAGTTATTTTCATATCTAATTTTTTTAAGTATTAATTTCTTAACACTTTGCTGACCGATCACAAGTATACTCGTGCTTGCACTTACATTAATTCATATAGCTTTTAAGTCTGAAAGCAATATAGGTCTCGGGTACACGGAATAGTTTTGGCTTGAAATAGCTGGAAGCAAAGTGTTAAGTTTTCCTGTGACCACTGCGAGTGTGAGAGAGAGAGAGAGAGAGACACTCTTGTGAGTCATTACGTGCTTAAAACAAAGACAGACATGCCAAATGAAGGGTCTCAGAATGTTGTAATGATCATCAGATATACGTATACGTGATATTAGTAAAATAATTGATTAATCAATTTAATTCTAAACGATCAAGTGAGTTCTTCATAATTTCTTGCTGCTGTCCGACTTCACGTCTGCACAAATTGTATAGAATGAATTTTAGGAATAATGAATAAATTTATTGGAATGGAAGCGTTGTTATCTATCGAATAAACATCGTTAAATTATTGAAAGGTCCTTTGAATTCCATTTGTATTATTTATGTACTCTAAAGTGCCTGTGATACAATCGATGGTTTTGTAAATAGCCAAAAAAGAATCAGTAGGTAAAAATTCAATTTTGCCCCAAAACCTCCTACATTACTATATTTTTATAATGGCGATGTGTCAAGTAATAAGACTAAAAGAGCAAAGTATATAATAATTAATCCTAAGATCTTCATTAACGATGTGCCTGCACGCGACTATCAAATTATACTTAATACGATTAGTGCAAATTTTATTATGGTAACCTTTTTCCGTATATGTATTATATAGTGTGTATTACTGACGATAAGTAATAGATGATGTGTCTAATGACCTTTTATTATATTAAAACGTCAATCTAAAGTTAATATTTCCCACGACCTTCAGTAATACTTTATGTGGCTATGGCTTGTTTCTGTTAAATGACTTTATAATCAGTTTTAGGTAACATGACAAACTCAAGTTCACTGGATGTGTAACAATTTTGATACGTCAGTGAAAATTTTTGAATCCCACGAGAGACCATACTGATCCTTTTTATTCGTCGACAAATATTATTTTAAATTGTACGTTGAACAGAGGAAATACCCTTTACAATTTATCTAATAATGTTACCCATGGGACAATGGCTACAGAAATATATGCATACAGGCGACTTCGAGCTTATTTACTTAACAGTAAATGGAAAAACAGACTGTATTAATTATTAAAGACGAGGCAAGGAGTGGGGACCATTGATCATCCTGAGTAAATGTGGAAACTTTAATATGAGCCTTTCTAGAGTTTTACAAATATCGTGGACGAGTACACAACTTTTATACCATTATACGTAGTTTTCCCTATTTGACTTTGACACGCTTTAAATACCATCCCCGACTATACGCTGTTAATGAGAAACCTTCGGTCTCGGCAGTTGGAAAGCTTCGCTTTATTTGGTTGGATGTACAATATAATTAGTCGGAGGTTGTAATTGTGAAAATTTCAAAATACTTGCTATGGTGACATCATTTATATAAAAAAGATTCAGGCATTGAAGAAAAAGAAATGTATAACACTGGAAGGAATATACATAAAAATGGTAATTGGCAGTTCCGTCAATCAGGTAGGTATACCGACACCGAATTATAATTTTTTTCTTTGCTTTTACTTACGCTATAACGTAACTGATTTTGTTACTTTTCTGGTAGAAAGACCAAAAAAATTTGGTAGACCAATTATGCGCAACGGGAAACTTGATTTTCGCAATTACTGTGAGAACACAAGTCTTCATGGGTTTCGCTATATAATAATGTCGAAGTCGAGTATTTGTGAAAAATTGATTTGGCTTGTGGTGAGTAAAATGCAATGATAAAAAAAAAGAAAAAAAAATTATACCGTTACAAGGTTTGACAAGGTCACTTGGTTAATAATTAATTCGCTTTTCCAAAATTTCTCACCTCGCTTAGTTTGTTGACTTTTACAGATATGCTGCTCAGGATTTGCCTTTAGTGTCTTCATGATGTTGAGAGTGTGGCAACGTTTTTTGATAACTCCCACAGTTACCACCATAGACACCACCACGAGTCCAATATGGAATTTGCCATTTCCAGCAGTGACGATTTGCAATTTTAATAAGGTCTATCAACCCCATGCAGAAGTATTAGCCAACGAGCTGTAAGTGAAATTGGAATTGGTTAAGATTGTGAATTATTATTAATAAATGATTTTTCTCTCTCACTCACCAAGAATGAAATATGGATTCAACCAGACGGAGATAGACAATTTTTTCATATCTCTACCAAAATTAATTCGATCCGAGGATGTCGCAAATGATTATGCTCCAGTGATGCGTACTTTGGCGCATTTAAATATCCCAACGGAAGAGCTGATGTTGAAGGTCATGGGATACATTTAGCTGAATTAATTTAGTGGATCTTTAGATCGAATCATAGTGCTCGATCCATATGGTTTATGTTATTTTTCATTTCACAATTTTTTGTAGTTGATGCAACCCTGCAGTAAGTTACTGGTAAGATGTGCCTGGCTTGGACAAATATACGATTGCAAAAAATTGTTCAAAACAGCTAAATCAATCGAGGGCTATTGCTGCTCCTTTAATTACCATGCAACAATATCACTGGAAAGCTCGTAAATAATTAAATAATCAATTATTTAATCGTCACGGATTAACAATAACAATATTCAATATCACAGAAGTTTCTTTATTTATAGTCACGCTGACTACGATCCGTCCACTGTAATCAAATCTAGCGTGAACGCCAGTAAATCTATTACCAAAGAAAATAATGAAAATCTCATAAACTATCAAGACGAATTTGAGTGGCTGCCAGGAAAGGAGGAAGTTCTTGTGATTGTCAATGCTGATATCCATTATTTGTATTAATCTATCGATTACTGATTCTTAAATTAATTCCCTAGATGGCACCTGGAGCCGGAAGAGACGTTGGTCTAGCGGTTGCTTTGAACGTTGAAACCAAATATTATCGCGGTTCCATAAGACCATACGTAGGGGCCTCAATATTAATTCACAGACCGTTCGATTATGCGGAAGTCGATCTGCAATCGACCGTGGTGGAGGATGATACTGAATTAGCAATAATATTATCAGGAACTATTGTGGAAAGTGTCAAGAGTGTACGTGACCTTACGTTGGAGCGTAGAAATTGCTGGTATAGCGATGAAGTACGTGCGATTTCATTTCCGCGATTTAATATTAAATTCATATTCACCCCGTACTTGGAATTCATTTCAGATGAAACTGCGGATAACGAACAGATACAGCTTTGAGTCTTGCGTTACTGAATGTAAATTGAATTACATAATAAAACTCTGTGAATGCGCACCGTTTTATTATCCAAAGATATGTAAGTACTAGACGAAACGTTACACCAGATGATTTTTCTAGGTTATGAATCGATTGTGTTACAGACGACAAAGTGAGAACCTGCGGTCTTATGGATTCTACTTGCATATGGACTTATCAGAGTAAGTTAACGTTTATTTACTATATTATTAACCCGTCAGCAGGCACGTCATTGCTAACGTCTCACTCTCACTCGTAGCGTGCCTTCTCGCAGGTTATAAACCCTTACAGTAATCTAGATTCAATTAAAGCAAAGCAATCAACAATACGATTATTTATTTATAATATAAATGAATGACAGGAATGTTATCCACTTTGCATACAATCGGCACTACCCACTCAACAAATAATTCGTCTTATGCCGATTGCTCGTGTTTGCCGCAGTGCAGTGGTGAATCTTACACGTTTAACACGGAACACGCAAAGCTGATGGACGTACAATACGATTCCGCCAATTTGTAAGTCATTTTGAATATACTAAATCGTACAATAGAAATGATAAGTATAAATCTAAATAATTATTTTGCCTCAGCCGTGATATGGTGATGCGAAATCACTCTATGGTCTTCGTGAACTTTCGTGACATCACGTGCCTGAAATACCGGACCCAGTCATTAATGTCTTGGGATGATGTGCTTGGTGAGTTTAAATAAATTTTTTTTTAATATCATAAAAAACATAGTGACTTAAAACACTATAGTGTATCATTCACACAGCGTCCTTTGGTGGAATTTTTGGTTTGTGTCTTGGTGGATCCTTCATCAGCGTCGTCGAGCTGCTTTACTATATCGTGAAAAGAATCTTTTACGAGAGCTCGAGGGAACTAAAGTCTCAAAGAAAACAGGAAATTGTGACGACAGATATTATCACTCGATCAAGGCGCAGGCCAGTGGTCAGTACCTCGCCATATTGGAGCAACAGGACATTTGTCAAAAAAGATTTTGACGGAGAAATCAATTCCGTTGCTCTGCACGATATAAAACGGTACAAACGTGACGTAAGGAGAAACGTACTTACGGCAAGGAAACAATGGTAACGTAATTTACCAAGTTAACGGAATTAAGGTAAATCGTTGATATTTAATTATAATTATAAATAACGTGTACCATGATGTTATACTGCATCGTAATTTTAATTCAGATAATTTAACCGTACATTATTATCAGTAATCGTCACATCTGTATTTGTGTATCAATAATTACATCAAAAAATGATTCTTCGAGGGAATTTGCACTGCAAAATAAGAATGTTAATCGTGACGCTGGGAATAGGTTCAGAACATAGAGCTGTGACATCTTCTAGAAGTGTTTAACGCACAATCCGTACTCTCTCTAGTCTGCTGCTCTATGGTAACAATCTTGAGGTTCAGCTGCCTCTTCTCCACGACTTTCCTTCTCCTGAGAAGCTGCTTCAGCTGGATGAGAAATTGCGGACTCAGCAGGCAGTAGAGAATGAAATTGGCCGAGCTGGATATCGCGTTGAGAAGGGTCGCTATGATGCGAAATCTAAAGCAAGATGAGATAAGAAGGAGAGAACGAATAAAGAAGAAGTAAAACGTACAAGGAAAATATCAAGAGTCTAAAGTACAACAACATACAAAGATATTGCCGTACCTTTCAAGAAAAACTTCATTCACCCTGGTATCGTCTCCGCCATAAAGGATCGATATGGCGCTGCGTCGCGACGCCAGATGCGTCGGTACTTCACCGACCAGGAACAAGAAAACAATACCCACTAACGTAATCGTCAGTCTTACTTGATCCTGTAGAAGATGAAAGTGTAACGTCAATTCTTTTTAAATTCTCTTCAACTATCCTACTACAATAATTAGGTTGTATATTGAGGATATTTGTATCGTTAACGTGTAACTAATGACTGAATTATTTATCAATAATAATATACTAAGTTATTTACGTACGGTCAGTACGTTTAAACAGTATCTTTCGCGAATTTGTTTTCGCTGCAGAAATATTTCTCGCTGTCTTATAAGGCGTCTGACTGTTACGCACATGACGCCGTTACCAACAAGCAGAAAGACAGCCGGTACCAAACCGAACATGACCAATTGAAACCAATTCTGTAGATTGTACCATCTAGAAAGATCAAATTTTTAAACAGTAATTAAGTAGTATTTTAATTAGCTCGTTGTAGGCATATAGCTAAGTCGCGAATACAAGTCCTCGTTCAAGGGACTCTTGCGCATTGGAAACCATTGCAAGATTGGCCCCTCACCGCGACTTGTCTATGCCACACATAGGACTTACCGAGATCTAAAAAATTCGGTGGTCGTCAACTCCCCCAATTCGTTGTATGTATAAATAAAACAGTATGGAAGATTAAGAAATATGGCGCAGCAAAACGAGCAGGTTAACAATTTTCGCGCTACTTGATTGTCGCAGAATTTTGGTGGTTTGCATTTTGGTGATCTGTAAATGTAAACGGTTTCAAAGCACTTTTAGGTCATGTCATAAGTTAAAATGATAATTGAATGAGCATATTTGATGGAATGAAAAAGTGCGGGAAACTTTTTAAAACCACTTAATTTTACTCTATGCCGACGGGGGCTAAGGAAACTTTTATTTATTGATTTATTAAACCAGGAGCAGTCACGTGGGGTGTCATATTCACTCTAACTCAATGCTTTTTAAAGTGGGAAATAAAAAAGCGCGACCATTCCCAGGTTCGTGGCAAAGGTCGTTATTCTCTGTGATCGAACTTTCAAAGGACATTATTATCCTTGATAATATTCATTAATAGTTGTATTAATATTATTGTATTATTTTGATTACGATAATCTCCGAAAACGCTTGTTCTGTCACATCTGTCAATATTTCATACCCAGCAACCAGCACGAGCCTGTCCAAAGTAACAAGCACTGCGGCCCAGACGGCAATATTTGAGGAGATGGATCCGACCGGAAGATGAACAAATACATCAAATTCAATCCAACCAGATCTTCCCCAAAAAACACCTCTGGCCAATCCGGAAAAGAGAAGGAGTCCACAGGTGACCAAATCGGAACCAGCAAGTACTGTAAATGAATGAAAAAAATGTATTTACAAAGTTATAATTGCATCATTAATAATGGTCTTATTGTCACTCTATATAATAATAATTAGGTATATATTTATATATATATATATTTATACCGGCCAAATATGTGTAAGTGGAAGCTTTCAGGCTTCTCCTGCTGAGCACTGCGAGTATCAGTGCATTTCCTATCATTCCAAGTCCAGAAATTATAGGGATCACAATACTGTATACGATGATACCCCACATGGTTGGTTCATTGGCCCATACATTGGTCTCACTGTATTTATCAATTCCAAATGGCATTATCTGGAAGGATTTCCCTTGGTCCTGAAGATTCTGGTCAGTGGACGTTCTGGGAAAGAACATGATAATTTTATCATTCCACTTAAAATATTTTTCGACATTTATTTAAAAAATTGCATCAATCAATGTGTACAGGTATACAAAACACTTTAATAAATCTACCAGGGTTAATACGTATACATATGTAAACACTGAATCGAACGTCGTGGAATTTTTTATTTCTTTTTAGTTTCAACCGTCGATAGACCCACAGTGTCGTTTCATGGTTTCACCAGGTTTCACAGACCAACTGTCGTGAAAATTCATAGAGCCAATCGTTTATCCGTTATGACAGTTGGTACTGTCTGCTATACATATAGGTATTATATGACGGCACCCACCTCCATCAACCTTGATAACTACCATAAATTATCCCAAGGCCCAAGAGGACCTGTCCCATCATACGGTTTACTCTGATTTTCACTATCGGTAACCTAACCTAACTTATACAGCCTGATAAAGTTTTATATTTACGGCTGACTGTATAGTGTATACTGTATACCATATGCCTATTATCTTTTAGGTTATATCGTGGAATTTGTAAAACATTGGACACGTGGATAAAAGGAATTTATTTCAGTGTAAACCGGATATAACGTCAATTGGATCTTTTCTACTCCTTGAGCAAGAGGTTAAGGGATGTGGACAGAATCATTTATTCAGATAGGATGCTTGCCAATTTTCTTCACTGCTGTGATAAGGGGATCCTGGTTATTGGTATGCAAAGATTTTCTTTATAGATATTGATAAAGAAAATAGAAGAAAGCGTACCTTCAAAGATATTACTTTGAAGGTACGCCTTTTTTCTTGGGGTTTCTTATTTGATTTAACATTGAATCATTAATAAGAATTTTTTTTCTAACCTGCGATATTTTCCAATCATGAATATCAGCTTCCAGCTAGTTAGCTCCATTGGGAGTTCTGTGTTATTCTCTTCTGCTTGCGGATTCTCTAACGATGCGTGAAAAAGGTTAGAAACAGATTTCGAATAAACGTTCAGTTCAATAAAGTTACTCGATTTGAAAGGTCGCCAAAGCATTGAATTTTCCAGTCGCTAGTACCAATAAAGCTCCTCGTTAAGGGAGCCTGAATATGTAGTATGTGTATTGTGCTTAGGAAAACTATGAACTTTTCTTCTGCACGGATACAAAATTCCAGGCAAGCTCACCAAAGGGCGGCTGTATTCTTAATTTATTACGAATGATACTTTAGCCAATTTACTGGTAACATGTTCTCAATTTTGAATACGATTAAATGATTCGCTGATGAATATAATCCTCACGTTGACTTGTTTTCAACGGACAACAATTTCCAGTGTATTTCTATCTGTCGCCCGCCACTTTGTGTTATCGCGAAAATCATATACAAGGAAAAAACCACCCTTACCGATTAGACTGGTCGAAAGACAAAAAATGTACAACACATGCAGTCAAAAGAGTGACTGTTGAGGGGCGAGGATTTATTCAATTTTTTGGGGCAAAATCACGGTTCTCGTCCGGCGGCAGAATAATGGTGATATTATATGTATATTAGTAAAAAAAGAATAATAGTAAAATTCATGGTGTCCGGATGGTTGCAGCGTCTAGTTGCCGTATAGCGTATTGTCGATATTTTGCGAACGTTCTAGTCTGCATCATCAGTGCTAAGGAAGCTCCGACACTGAAGTTCCTTATTTCGTTGTGCTGGAACAGTGGAACAACGAACACCAGTATTTAAGGACTCCCCGAAAAATAGGGAACTTCAGTATCGCAGCTCCCTTAGCACTGATGATGCAGATTGGAACGTTCGCGAAACGTCGGCAATACGCTGAAACTAGACGCGGCATCCATCCGATAGCCATGAATTTTACTAATGATTCTGGCCGTCTAAGATTTAAAACTAAAAAAAGGAATAATATTGATCGATTGTCACTATAAACTGGTATGAATTTTCGTTAACTTTACCGTAACTTCGTAATCCTATGTATTGTGTTGATAGACGCACTGAGTGTGAAAAAAAATTTAAAAAAAAGCCAGTTGACACACTACGTACATGCAGATAGACTGACAGATACTACGTTAAGCAACAAATTTGCCTGAATCATTTTGGCGATGGTGCACGAGGTGGAAGTGGTGAGTTCATTGGAGAGCGTAGCGAGATAAAGGGGATGCTGATAAAACGTAAATACGACGAAAATCATGATGGAGTGTGGTAGATTTGCTGAGGGTTGGCGGGGACAGCAAATAAAATGGAACCGTGTAAATAGATTTGTGTTTGGAAAAAAATCGAAGAATGATAGTAAAATATTCTCCGTATACATAAATAATTTGTGTGCAAATATATATATATGTGTATATGATGAAACTATCACAAGAATATTACATTCATACGACAATATTGCATTTACTGGTTATATCCATGGAATTATCATAAACAGTGATTGTCCTCCATTAACCATAAATATGTGTCGTACAATCAGAGTGTAGTGACGTCATACCTTTGTTCTGTGTCTCTTCGTGGTCTCTCTAATGGGAATGTAATGTTCAGGTTTTTAACCCATTAGCACTCAAGTGGTTATTTGTGTCTATTCTAGCTTTAGCCTAGCATTCGATCACACAATTTTATATAAAGTATTCTAGGATATGTTTTCGATATAAAATTAAATGTTCTTTCGAAATCCTCCGTCATTTTTATAATTTCTTGTTATCAAAAAACAAATATATATATCCCCAAATATATATATCCCCAAAGTTAATAGTATGTAACTGTATTATCACATATAGAAAGTATTTCACACTAAAGAAACGGGTGATTAACAGTAGTACCCCCGTGTACGGATAGATGGCAAAAAATTGATATGACGGTTCTTGTGTCAATATTGCAAATATTTATTATTAGTGTCACTCATAGTGTTGGACACGATGAAAATCAAAGTAAAGACTAGCCTGAATCTAAAGGCCATTCACGTCGGTCACGTTGGTACGAGTTGCTCTTGAAGAACGTCAGTCCGATAACAGACAAATCAATGCCCTTATCAGGTTATCAGTTGTAGGATTAAACATGAAACGGGTAATGGTTGGCTTGTGTATATTGCATTATTTTCATGACCACTCTCTTATTATTTCTCTCTCTCTCTCTTTTAGTTCATGCGTATTTTTATATTATTTTTCTTCTTATTTGCAAAAGTTCTAATTCTTAGGACTCATTCAATTTATTTGCTATCATCAAGCATTTGTATACACTTATTTACATCCAACAGGTGTATTCATCAACCATCTAGTATTTGTAAACAAATTCGAAATTACTCATGCGAAAGTTATGAATTACAAATATTATGTATGCGTTTCTGTACACGTATATTTTATTGTATATACATATATACATATATATATACAGGGTGTTCGTTATAAAACGCACTGTAGTAACATCGTTGCATTCCTTGTTAAATTCCAAAGAATACGTGTATTTTCATTTTTTATTTCATATATCAAAATTTCGAGATAATCAAGGTTGAAGTTGCAGTAACGAGACCAATCAGAACGCGTTTAAACGAATCGTAGATGACGTCGGGGCCAGCCCACAAGGCCTGCTTACAGTAGGCCAATAACACTAAGATTATCGTCTCTTATATCTTACTGAATTACATGCAGATAAACAGGGACACTACGACGATACTCTTAGTGTTATCGGCCTTGTGTAAGCAGGCCTTGTGGGCTGACCCGCGACGTCATCTACGCTCCGTTTAAACGCGCTCTGATTGGTCGCATTACTGCAACTTCAACCTTGATTATCTCGAAATTTTTATACATGAAATAAAAAATGAAAATACACGTATTCATTAGAATTTGAAAAGGAATGTAATGGTGTTACTACAGTGCGTTTCATAACGAACATCCTGTATATATATGCATTTATATTTTTATTTTTAATCTTATTTTAGTGTATATCTATATATTGTGTATCTACAGTTTAATCATTTGGAATTATGTTGCGTTAATTTTTAAAGTGATTGCATAACGATATATGAATTTTTTAATGAGTGCTTTTATTTGTCCTGCAGTTTCCAAACTATTAATTTTTAATGGTATAATGATAATGTTTTATCTTGTATTGAATGCATGATTTAAATAATCATTGCGTATATCTATATATACTATAGAGTCAAATGGGTGACATACAGACTGTTTAAATGCAATTAGTCACTTTTAAGTATATAAGCCTAAATTATACTTGGTTATTAATTTTAGGTATATTATTCTTCGACTTCCTATGAAAAATATTTTCCACTTGGTTTTATTAAAAAATATTAATTAGAAGTCGAGATATCCCCCAAAAAACACTTACGTGTAAAAAACTACGCCAAGTACAGGAGTGCTGTGTATTCCTCTAATAAAAAGTATTGATATCAGATTATGGAGGCCAAGTACATAAGTCACTACATGTTTGCCTATTATATGATCTAACACTGGCCCATCGTTTTAATTGTATTTTCAAAATTTCTTATAACGTTTTCACTACTCTTTTACATTACTACTGCTTCCCGTAGTTGATTATGATTTAATGGTTATTTAATATATAATAAAACTTTAGCTGATTCCTTATCGAGTACTACTTGGCGGGTCCGTGCATTTCTTGATATAAATTTGCGTTCATTATACCAATCATCAAACTCAAATAGCATATTAACAATAACTCGTCAAAAATAATCACGGTAAAAGCTTAATAACAAACATATAGTTTTAGGATACTATTAGTACGTTCAAAGTAAGTACTTTGGAATTCCTGGCACGGACCCGCCAAGTAGTACTCGATAAGGAATCAGCTAAAGTTTTATTATATATTAAATAACCATTAAATCATAATCAACTACGGGAAGCAGTAGTAATGTAAAAGAGTAGTGAAAACGTTATAAGAAATTTTGAAAATACAATTAAAACGATGGGCCAGTGTTAGATCATATAATAGGCAAACATGTAGTGACTTATGTACTTGGCCTCCATAATCTGATATCAATACTTTTTATTAGAGGAATACACAGCACTCCTGTACTTGGCGTAGTTTTTTACACGTAAGTGTTTTTTGGGGGATATCTATGAATAAAGGTGAATAAAAGTGCAAGAGTGATAAAAGTCGATATTTACATTATTTTGGGAGAAATCAAACTTTTTTGCTAAATAAATCGTATACGTTTAATTATGTATTTAACATCTATGGATCGAGCTGGATCAAAATTCACGTGTGATAAAAATCGATATTGTCATTATTTTTTGAGATATAAAAATTGTTGGATAAAGATCCGTTTTTTCATCAAGAAGACCATCAGGTTCACTACACGTCACATAACTCAAAACGCAAAGTAAAAAATCTTAGGTCGATTTCTTTTTAGTTCGACGATTCTTTTTAACTAAGATACCTCTCTGTCTCGCCCTCTCTCTCTCTGTGTCTCACGCATATATGAATACAACATTATTCCGGTTGTTGCGTTCATTGTTATTTTTTAAGAAATAAAAAATTTCATAAAAACTGAATTAACAACGATTTTTTTTTGGAATTTAAATAAATCATACTTATCCCCCAAAATAATGCAGATATGAATTTTTACGACTCTTTAACTTTTGTTTCTCTCAGTCCAGAGATACTAAATGCAGCGTCAAAACGTGGGCCGTCGGAAACCATAATCTGTCCGACGTATAGCATGGACTACGCGTAGACATAAGAAAAATGGTCGGCTGAAAGAAAAAGTTTGCGATTGATGGCGGCCAAGACGTGTCTCTTTCTAATCAGCAGCCGTAGTACGAAAGTGTAGAGAACGTAGCCAAATGAGGAGCATTAGAAAAGGAGAACGATGAACCGCCATCTCATTTCCTCTTTGTTTATTTGAGCAGACACTTTTTTAAAGGATTTGAAGTAGGATTTGTGTACTCCGTACTATATGTCGATGGTCTAACACCGTTCCGTACGAGTCTGACATATAGCTCGATAATCCGCGGGAAGAAGGAAGAAATCAATTGTATAGAAGAAAATTTTATTGACTATCACTCAAAACTTAACCCGAAAACCCATGCTCTAAGTGATACTTGAGATTGATGGGTAAGAAATATAGAAGTGTAAAATTCACATATTGAAATTTCAACATAATTAATTCATTAAATTAATTTATAAATTAATACTTAAAAATCAGAAACTACCGTGGGGAACACGTAGAAGTACTAAAGATTGTCAAATTTGTCGAAGCGCAGGTTTGCCGCGCAGAACCCGAAGTGGCCGGGGCGGGGGGGACCCTTAAGAGAGTGTCCTGACTCAGAGCGCTCAATGTCCCAGGTGTGCTTCCAGGAACCAGTCTAATATATGGTTGATAGTCTGACATTCTGATAAATCTCTCGGACGCTCACATCCTATCCAATCCTTTTTTTTATCGTTTCCCTTTTCCTTCTTTTCTTTCCTTCCGTCCTTTTTTACTGTATTCCTTTCGTTTTACTTATTTCCCCTATGTTTTACTATTGTCTTTCTCTTTTCTCTCGATGTCTATTTGTCTTTTCTTTCTTTAATTTTCGCTCTCATTCACTCTTACTTTTCTTATTTCTTTCGCAGGGCCAAATTAATTATTTCACATCGAGGGATTTCATATTTCACATTCACAATTATTTCACATTACTCCGTCAGAATAACAGCACTCGTAACTTGTGAGTCTGGTTCTTTGAGCCCGCTTTGCCAATCCGTTATAAATATCACAAGACGTTTTTGAAAATTGATTACTCGTGCGGATAATGACGATCCAATATCCCGGAAGCGAGGCCGTCGGTTTAATTTGTGGGCTCTGAGCAAAGTCCTGCCTACGCTTTAGTTGTTTGTTGAACGATATTTAGGGTGTGGCTGTATTTGGTCACTTGGTAGATTACATAGTCGCCCTAAGTTGGTAATATATTCCACGTGGACCGACAGTTGACGGGTTACGCCGCTTGCGATGGTTGTGGACCCTTACGGTTGGGCAAGTTCTATCGCTACCGTTCATGTTAAATACAAATTTGAATTACTTACATATAATGCAGTCAAAGTTTATAGTAACTATCAGCAAATAATGCAAAGGCAAGCTGCCGCCAATGTAACGAAGGAATTCAACCCTAAATTTCAAATGTATTACACAGGGTCTTACGAAGAAACTGGATTTCTGAGATTTTAATCTTATAAATTTTTTATCTGTGAAATACATGCAAACGTGCGTTAGTCTCTAAGAATCTAAGATATAAAAATATTTAAAAAGTAAGGTTACCGAATGTTAGTATGAAATAAAAATATAGGTTATGTTAGGATTAACTCGACAGACCATCGTACCAAACAATGCATACTTTTCAAGAAAAGTTTGTATTTCGTTTAAATTTGTAATAATTTTTAATACGATATATACGAAACTGAAAACGCTGATGATTCCAAATGTCAAAAAGAAATGCAGTAAGTCAATGTATAATTAAAAATTAATTTAAATCGCCTAAAACCATTTATGTAATATCTTAGGTACCTAACAATTCATTTTCATTCGTAACTATAATACATAATGATTATGCAAAAAAATGATAACAAACTATTTCATACTCTTTAAAATGACTGACTTTCGTTTGACTAGTGCGTGGCGGTAGAACCACCTTAATTCTTACCTGCCGATGTGGTTTTTTAACTAACGTTTCTCAAAGGCCAAGCAGCCTGCTGGTTGCACGTAGGTAGTTAAAGCGTAATTCACCTCGAGCTTCGGTTCGGTGAGAAGCAGCAGAAATCGAAGCGGTAAATATCGTTCGTCGATATATTTACACAGTCTAACCGCAAGGGTATGGTTGGTCGCTACGGTATTTTGTTCTCGTGAATCTGATAAGGGATCGCCCGTGTTTTTCTTTTTGCTTTCTCCCGCTCCTACTGACTTACCCTTGTCCAGTGTTCTGTGTCTGCAACTGAAAGCTGTCAGAGGTTGAAATGCTCCTCGAAGACTTCGGGTTCAGGTTCTATGAGTTTATAATCAATGGCAGTTTGCTTCAGACCTTTTAACACGCCTCATGGTTAGAACTAAACGTGTGACCTCCTTATCATTGGATGGACTACCTTTGCGACTGCGACTACATCCCCCTTGAAAGTCCTACGTTCTCTGCGATTAATTCTGCGTTTGCGAACCACTTCGAAAGTCCTATGCCCTCTGCGTCTCGGCAGCCCGCAGTTATTATTCCATTTGTCAGACGGGACTATGCTTTTTATGTGCATGATACGATCTAGGGTTACGAAGTGACACTGTCGCAAGCGATTTTTGAAGCGTGAACATTTACGCGCGACAAGTCACGACAGGAAAATTTTTCGTAGATTAGTGACACGATGGATATCGAAAAGATGGCAGCAGTGGTTATTTTAGTACAATCTCACTTGCTGTCGTCGTAGACAAAAAAGAAACAGGTTTTCGGTTCATCCTTTCTATCAAAAGACCTACAAAAGGAGTCTAATTCACTATATCATTCGTTACTATATTCTTGGACGCGGCGTTCCAAATTGCTGGACGACTCTCTATCTCAATAATCAATTCTTCCGCAGCAATAGGATTTTGCGTGGTGAGCGCGTATGTCGATGCAGAACACAAGTGCTCGGTAGCTCTCTCTTCCTGCAGGCGATCGACCGCCACAGTGGGCCATGATTCTTAACACGTTAAGCGCCACGCCGAATTCCCGTGCCTTTCCGTTCGCGTCACAGTTAGCCGTCAGGCGGGCTCTGCCGTGCCTCGCCGAAAGGCGAGCCAGAGTATAAACAGATATGTTAATAAATTACATTAATATTTTTAAGTATTATATTGTTTTCCTTAAAGCATTGACCAAACAAAAACGATGCCGCCTAAATTGAACGTTCAGTCTCACAAGTACGAAAGGACCGACAGGCACGCGATGATAAGACGAACGAAAAGTCTGCCGTCGGTCCGTGCGGACCAGCGAAGCCTGAACGGAAAGTCATGCACTGGTCCGTAGGGGCCGGCGTGGCGCTTAACGTGTTAAGAGTCACTGCATTTGTTCTTTGCGTATGTTACAGCGGTCGCCTGGGTGTGGCGTGCCAGTCGCCTGTCAGCGACGCGACAGGCATCCCGAGTCGGTTGGCTTCTACCAGAAAACGATTAAAGCAGCAAGGTCGCGCGCGGGTGCGACTGCGACACCACTGTGGATCCGCAGGACAGCTCTACGAGCGTGAAGCGCGTTATTGTCATTCCACGTACGAACATCAGGACAGCCGAAGCTCCCGAAACAAGGGGCGACCTCATTCAGCAGTGACTCTTCTCCGTAGAAATCCTAAACTTCTGAGTTCTGCTTGAAATGGACTAGGGTTACTACCTTCTCATGGAAAGATGAAAAAATCTCGTGGAACAAAACACACCAAGGACGATTCACGAGACCCGTGGCCGACCTGGAACGTCGAGCATCGGACGTTCCGTGGCCTAAGTGAAAGGACAACGGGCATGTGGGAATGTCGCGATGGTGGGCGCAAGGAAGTGTAGAAGCTGTCGCTCTCGGAAGTACGGTGGATTCGCTTATACCAATTTCGAGGATCCGACTTTAGAGTAGAGTCGTTGGAAGAGAGAAATTCTCAGTTAGAAATCATTAGTGTAATATTTTTAAAAGTATTGGTGATAAGTAACATCAACGAAAAATACTTAAGATTCCTAGCGATACTTCAAGTAAACACATGCCGTTTCTCATCAATAGTTCAAAAAAAAATAGTACTAACGATATCTAAGTGAGAATTTCTCTCATCCAGCCAATCTACTCTAAAGCCGGATAGGCAGTTTTGGTGTAAATTATAAGATGTATCGTGCGAATACATTTCAAGTCAGAGAGCGACAGCGTCTGGACTTTTTTGTACGCATCATTACGACATTCCCACGATCCCGTTGTCCTTCTGCAATAGGCGACGTAATGTCCGATGGCCTTTACCGAGAGTTAGCTTCACGAATGCCACTGCTCCGCGAAGCGCGTAGTGTCCGGTTATGCTTAAAGTTTTTGGAATTTTGTCAAATTTTATTGATTCTGCAATGAGTTCGACTTCGAAGAAGAGATGTTCGCTAATTTACATCGGCACGATTTCCAATTTCTCGCAATTAGAGGAGGACACTGTCACTCCTCTCAAGGCATTATTTACACATTTCTCCAATGCAGCTTGCAAAGTATATTGTTCCTGATGAATATTTCGTAGATTTCCAGGCATGCGATGGTGTCGCTCAATCTGGTACTGCACGTCGTGCAAATAGTACTCGCTGTTGTCGCAGTTGGCGCGTTAACCAGTAACTCCTCCAACATCAGAACGAGATTGTCGCTACAATCCAGCGTCTCATCCTTAACCGATCTTTTGCTGGAGAATATGGCGGCTCTCTTCTCATACAGCGCGCTACTGAGACCCTGGTTGACATATTTTTCACAAATTCGAGTAGCTCGCAGTTGCTTTGCAGGACGTTCGACTCTATCGCCATTCTATAAGTTGAAGAATCTTGATATGCAGTTCTTAAGGACGTATCGACCACCAATTCAAACAGGGCCTACTGAATTTCCATTTTGGGTTACTTCCACAGCGTCTTTCCGCGCACGTGACTTGGTGAAATCACCTTTTCCCATCATTTAGAAATTTCCTACGAACGTTCTCTCTGACGTCAGTGTCGTTTAAAGATTTTACGTTGTCTTTCGCTCTCAGGATCTTTGACTTTGTAATCGCTCTAATTGTGATTTCTCAATCAATTTCTGTGCAGCCGTTTCCAGCGTCAATTTTCTGTTCTTTATACTATATGTACATGCACTATTCTTGTCGAACGCTTTTGAAATCAGGAGGTTGTCAATATTTTATCCAGTGCTTGAAACGTGTCTTAAACCCCCTCGATTACTTGCAGTTCTTCGCTATAGCTTTTTAGTACTGTCAAGGCCTCTGGCAGAAAGGATACAGGACATTGGCACTGGGTGTAGAATCTTCGAAAGCATTTTCCTGCATATGTGTCCAACACTTTCATTATTACATTATTCACTTATAAATGACCTGGTTGATTGTATAACCTGTTTGTCTTCTGAATTTAACTTTCTGATTTAAGCAGCAGATTCATACGAACTAATATCGAGGCTGCTGAAATAGTCCGGATGACAACGATATTCTTCATCGGTTCTGTTTTTAGAATTAGCACTTGCTTGCTGCTGTAGAATCGCTATCCTTATTGCTTTTAAGCATATCGTCAGTAACGACTTTTATAAACTACAATCATGTCACCTTTATATTGTAGCTCAATGTACAATTTATTTTTCTAGATTTTTTCATCAACTGTTGCTGGAGGAATGTCATCAGGAGACTCGGTCGAGTCTCGCGCCAAGTACAGGCAACCCGCCGTACATGGCACGGCCCGCCGAACTCTTTACTCGAAGCATCTCTTGAACATACCTGTGTTTGGAATCAAATAACTTATGAAGAAGAATCAAATAACTTACGTGTGAGAAAAAGTTATTGATGCATTTACTATAGGAATCGATTTACAAATTAAAATTGACATGCCATTAAACATTTTCGACAACGCAATATATTTTTTTGATTAGCGAAATCACAATGTGTTTACATTTTATATCTGTAACAATATACAATAGATTTGAATGCTTAGAGCTTCTATATCTCGTTGAGCAACAAAAACTTGTAATATTCCCCCAAAAAAAAATACTTACGTGTAAAAAACTACTCCAAGTACAGGGGTGCTGTGAATTCCAGTAACAAAAAATATTGAAATCATATTATTATTGCCAAGTACTATACATAAATCACTACATGTTTGCATATTATATGATCTAGCACTGGTTCATCATTTTAATTGTATTTCCAAAATTTCCTATAATTTTTTCGCTACTCTTTTACATTACTACTGCTTCCCGTATTTAATTATGATTTAATGGTCATTTAATAATTAATAAAACTTTAGGTGAATTCCAAAGTACTTACTTTAAATGTACTAATGGTATTCTAATACTGTATGTTAGTTATTAAGCTTTTACCGTTATTATTTTTGACGAGTTAATGTCAATATGATCTATATAGAAAATTGACGCTGGTTTTGAGTTTGAAGACTGGCACAATGAACTCAAATTTATGTTAAGAAATGCACGGACTCGCTAAGTAGTACTCGATAAGGAATCACCTGAAGTTTTATTAATTATTAAATGACCATTAAGTCGTAATTAAATAGGGGAAGCAGTAGTAATGTAAAAGAGTAGCGAAAAAGTTATAGGAAATTTTGAAAATGCAATTAAACAGATGGGCCAGTGCTAAATCATATAATAGGCAGACATGTAGTGACTTATGTATAATACTTGGCAATAATAATATGATTTCAATACTTTCTGTTAGAGGAGTTCACAGCATTCTTGTACTCGGCGTAGTTATTTATATGCAAGAGCTTTTTTGGGGGATCTTAGTGATACTGAACATAGTATCCTTGCAGTTGGAACCTGGGAATCTACTAGTTGAAGAATCGAACAATGAGGAGCAGTTGATGAATAAAACACGAAAGATGAAATGTTGAGTGCTTCGAGAGAAGCTGAAGTTTTTTTGGTAGATTTTGTACAAGACGCGGTATCTGGACCTTTCTGTTTGCCAGTGATAGAAAGTAACAGGTTCTTACTAAAAAAAATTGATCAGAAGTTTTTTATGAAAGAAATACAATTGTGTTATAAATATGGAAGAATGCTAAATATTGTAATATCGTATGATAAATTTTGTAATAACATGAATTATCTATTGAAATTATTTTTTTCAATTAAATAAAATAATGCCGTATTTTGATTTTCAGTGGCACTACATTAACCCTAGAAGGATACCTATGTAAATTTTAATTCTAAGGCCAATACATTTTTAACGTACGTCAGCAAAATGTTATCTTTCTAGAGTTAAATGTATTATGACTCCTCGATGTGGCCTAAAGACTCGTGTATGATTTCACTGCGACGTCATGATGATTCTATTACGTGATATTGTAATGGAGCCAGCGCGCTATCTGGGGAGGTATATACTGCATTTTAATGTAAACTCCATTTGCAGCTGTCCGCAATACATAGCACTGTGTGACACCGTTTCCCAAAAGGGATATTTTTCCACTGTAGAGAAACAAACATCACTACTTTGACGGTATTATCTATTCATATCTGGTATTATTGTCAGAATAACCATTTTTTAAAATCAGTGTCGCCTTCTTTCGGCCAACGTACTAGGACTAGTATACATTTTCCACCATACGATAAAACAGGGAAAATGATTGAACACTATCGATAAGAAGATCATTTGGACCGAGTAAAATAAGAAATATCTACCCGAAATAGGGATGATATTAGTTAAAATCCTGGCCCGTGTAACCATGTAAAACGGGTTTTTACGCATATAATCTTTAATATCAGCAATAGTAGTTCTAGATTTTGTCACGAGCTGAAGACAAGAGGGCAGCACCTTCTAGCAACATTGTGTCGCCACCTTCTTGGCAGCTGATTGTCAACTTCATCGTTTCATTCGCAAATTCAGTTCAAGTACTCTTTTTTTTTAAATATTCCAAAACCTAATGCATTGTCCAGTACGAGTAGGAGTACACGACTGGATTTAATATTCGATAACGTTGTCGAGATTCTGTCGATTGAGCCTACTAATTGCCGTTTTACCTCATGTTTCCTACAATAAATTCAACAATTGGTAATATCCATGATGTTATTAATCGACAAAATCATCCTCATATTCAGGGAATTTTTTATGTTGCAACCCATAAGCTATTGGCCTGTCAAAGTGAAACTCTCCACACAACACAAATATCTCGTAAACGCCTGTAGGATGTGTATTGGATGTCTATGACATTTGAAACGCCCACAGACATCTTATAGATTTTCACGTTACATTTGTCCTGCGTGAATGATATTCCAGTCCCAATGAAATACATAATACTATTGTATTGTAAACGCATAATTACGTTTTATATAACTTACGAATTGCCTTTGTGTTTATCATAATCATATTCTTTATTATTTCACACTTTCCTCACACGGTTATAGTATGCCCCTTTTCAAGGCGGGGACAAGAGACCTAGTCTTTATCAGCTAATGAAAAATACATTGTGAATTCTATAAGTTTGTATCCGTCCCGTGATTCTATTAGTCGCAATTGCGCAGGAAGGTGTTTTTTTTTCGGATAATACGAAAATATGTTTGCGATGTAAGGATTCCAGGTAACTGATTACGTACATCCCTTGCGATAAGTCATCGCATGAGGTAACGTATTAAAAATAAATTCGATACCAAAAAATATATTATCTTTCCTTAGAACAGTGTATTAATTTTGAGTGATTATTTTTTACGCATAAAATTGACAGAACCTCTATATTGTTCACAGTCAAATAATTTGACTGTTATTACATAACAATTATTGTAGACTGTTCTGCTTATCCTATTAGAGGGGTTGAAATAAGTTCGACGACCTCCCTATCTCATGCTTGTGCTGTTTCCAGACTGAAATAAATCGATCCGCCGTATATACTGGTATGTAGAATATTTAATACATTTACTTCTTGTGAACCTTGACAATTCTAAACTCGCCGATAGGCGAACGACCAAATCACATCTTACAATCGATTTGCTCATTGATCTTTTTAAACTTTATAGGTTCTCCCGCTCATTTTCTTTTCAATCCGCTTTTTCATCCGGCCACTGACATTTCTCGTTTGGCGCCCGAGCAGTTGCTAAAGATAGTACATTGTCTCACGAGACGTGCTCTAGAACTCGTGGCCCATTCGGGGGTGCATCGCACCCTCTTCTCCTAGGAGTTTATTCTCGATAACCTCTAATGCAGTAGAGAAGGATGGAACGAGACAATGAACGTGGATGAAGGAAACGGACCTACTAGAAGAAAGAAGTTAGATACGGAAGACAATGGGGGATAAAAGAGAGCGTTCGAGGAGTGATAAGGGGTCAGACCAGTTTCGGAACTTTAATAATAATAATAGAAAGTCGATAAAATTATATTTCTCAGTGAGTAAACTCTCGTATATAACGTTACTGATTAAACGCTAAGATTAATATAATTAATGAATTTTCATGGTTGACGTCATTTTTGTCAATTAATTCATTTCATATTCTTAGGAGTTTATGTGCTCTCTTTGAATTTTTCTTTATTTTCGCTGTATCCTTTTTCTGTGACTGACCTTTTTCATTATTCCTTAGGTAAAGCTCCTCACGTCACTATCGGTTCAGTAGCTACACAGATTCTATGTCAGCCATTGCATGCAAAGCAAAGACGACTTTCAAATCTGCACGGTATCCAGGAATCTCGTTGATTGATTGTTCTGACGTTAAATCAGGGGATGGAACGACGTCGAGCGTCGGGTCACGTTCTACGTGCCACACAGTCACTTTGTCAAACGTTATTATCGTGCATATTTTCAGACGTTATCTATTTGTGGGTAAAGTAATACATGGATAATATTTATTTTTCAATCTTTTTTTTTCTCATCATTCTCATACGATGCGTCATGGACTCTGTCACCATTAGTCGGATGGCTACCTGGAATAATTTCCTGATTCGTTCTTTCTAATCGTGGAAATCCTTATCATACGTAAATGACAGTTCATCGATTTTTGTAGGAACGTGTGGGTGAACAAGATGACTGAACAAAATAGCTAGAAAGGCTAATAGAAAATAATCGCAAGTTTTCAAGCGTTAAAAAAAAGAATTTTATTCGATTAATTCTTCGTCAGTGACTATTATCGCTTCTGATAAGAGACGACTGTGTTATTATATTAATTCAGATAATCAGGAAGCAATCAGATATTATGAATCTCTTCCTACTTCATAAAAGTCTTATGAACATTCTTAGGACGTCTCAGGGATGTTTCTACGCCTTGCAAAAATACTTACACATTCCTGTATGGTACAGAATTCCAACGTAGTCGGATAAAATTTCTTTTTTACAGATGGACTCTGTAGCCTCCATTTTGTCCTGGTATAAGATTTGATTTCACGAAGATGCAACCTCTGTAGCCAAACATATTGGTTCAACAGCATCATTCCATCTGCATGGAATGTAAACCTGCTACTGTACTCCAAAAGTTATTGCCTACCTACTCACTGAATGAGGTTTAGAAGCTGGGAAAACAGGGAGGAGAGTAAGTTGCGCGTGCGCCCTTGTGCCCTTATCGTGTACCGTGAGCTTTGGAAGCGCAGTACTCTCTGTGCTTAAGCTCAGTTCTCTGCAGGGTGATCTGCGGGACAGACGTAACATGTCGTCGAGCGACAAACGCCGATTAATAACTTTCAAAAAAGTTTATCTTGTCAATTAAAACAACGTTAATTATACTGAACTCCAACATCCCCTGGGATTCAGTAAAGAACACAGTACAAACCCTTGCTGAAGCATTTAGAATATTTCAATGCTAATCAACTGTGGCAATTAAAGCTGTTCCTAATAACTGTTTACCAGGGGGATATAAGTTTCGTTTAATAAAAAAAATAATTGAAGGAAATATTTATCAGTGTATAACTACCGTACATAGTGTTTGCGTCTTAACGTGTACTTGACGAAAAAAGAAGCAGGAATCGTTAATTCGTGAACGGTGAATTATTTTCTAGTTTCTGATCCTGACCAAGGCTGCAGTGATTGTTTCTGTCTCGAGGTTTTTCTATCTTTTGCTTTTCATAATTTGTTCTTTGTCTACCTGATTCCTGCACAAAGAATATTCACTGACTCACCTACCTGCTGGACTCATTTTATTTTATGACGGTTCTGATGAACAGACACAGTTGAGGATTGGGTGGGATTATTGCCTGTCTATGGCAACATCAGCGGTACCGAGGTACCATCAAAACGGTACCACAGCGAGCACCAGTGGTGATACCATCAATCCTACCAATGACGTAGTTCAGCCAATGATCACTTGCCCGCCGAGTAATTTTCCGGATAAGTTTCAAGACTTCTTTGCCGCTCTTACAGAAGACGTGGACGACCTTCCCAGTATGCTGGAGGACAAGCTTATACCCAGGTGAAGTTCAATCAAATTAAAATTGAAGTCCCCCTTATAGTTTACCCCTTATTGGTAATAACCGTCCTGGAGTGATATACCCTGACCATATTGCGTTGAGTCCCTGTCTCGTGGGATCCAGAACAATTTTCGTTATTGTGGAAGTTTTACTCTATATTCTTATAAATAGGGTTATTCAGGAATATTGCACCAGGTGAAGTTAGCTCGTTCAAATAATTTCTACGGTAGAGGTAGAAATAGAAGGAGATGCAAAATGAAAAAAAAGTAGTGATGCAATGCTTCTGAGTAGTTCTGTATATGTCATATGCATATACATATATATATACATTTAACATGTATGTATGTGTGTATATATAGTATACATATCATCCCATGTGTCGCTGGGAATATTCTCTGACGTCCCGACACTCCGGGACGCTGTACAGATTTTCTTGTCATTTTCTTGTCATTTTTTATTTCTCTCATTTTGTTCTTGTTTCACTAAAGATTTTCTTTTTCTGCGATGTAAGATCAGTAGAGGTACTCGTATTATTTTCATTTTTCTTACCTTTCTCTCATGCTCTCACCGTGCTGAAGAGCCATCGACATACGCGAACCCCCGCAGTAAAGTAAATAACAATAATTTTTCTGGCGAACAGCCAGAATCGTCTCTTCAGAGGATTTCTCATATTTTTCCCTTTTTCAATTATTTATCCTACAGCTTTTTTTTCCCACCTCGAATTTCTGTCCTAAAGTCAATAATATTTAGATAGAGAAGCAGTCGAGTATAAAAATCAAATGGATTCGCTAATTTCAGTTTATACGTTTCAGTTATAACTTTATACGCTAGTAAATTAGATCTTTAGCATATGGTAAATAAGTTCCACTCAAGTATAGAGCAGCTTAATACCAATCGAATGGTTTTCATTGTTTACTCCGATCTGATTCATGACTTTGTATCGAAACACGCAACCCTCTTTGGAAATCTGATCATCTTCCGGAACAACGGAGAGTCATCTTCGCCTTTTCATAAGCCAGAGAAAGATAACTGTTAAGAAAAGAGAAAGAAAAAAAAAGAAAATACGATAGGTTTACGGGAAACTGATTTTTAAATTTCCCGCCACTTTTATGTATACCCAATAGCAATGCGACAAGCTTCATGCTCGTCAAACACATTACCCCCCTTCAGTCTCATTAGCTTACAGTTAATATTGATTGAAAAATAAGAGCAAACTAAAAGCCTTCATCAAATATTGCAGTAATCTGAATTTATTTCTTAGCCACTATAACCTGAAAACTTGGCAGTTATTCTTGTATTTTACTTGAATTCATTCATCTTTTTCTTTGGCGTCAAAACGTAACTGGCCAAAAATAAAGTACCTATTTATTGATCGACAATGAATACCGCGTTGTATTGATTGGTTTGTTTTTTTTCCTACGCTCCAGAAAACAAGATAATTCTGGCACAGACTCACGTGGCCGAAGATGGAGTAAACGAGCCTTTCAAAGACGCAGTAGCGAGGTCGAGGTACATCTTCACAGGAACTCCCTATCAACCGGAGGTCAAGTTCCGTTGTTTCCGGATAGCAGGAAGTCACCAGGTACCTCACGAAGACGTAGTTCCAGCATTGCCGTCGCCAGACCAACGCCCGATTTGCATCGGTGTGTAATTAGACGTTTTTTTGACAGTTCTCAATATTAATGATGCTGTTAAAAGCATCGAATATGATATACCTTATAATTTTTTGAATTTACTATACCAGCCGTGAGAGCGAGGGAGACATACTTATGAGCGTTCATGGGGATAAGCGAGAGACAGTCGTATACCGGTAGCTCTGTTAAATTTATATGGCAGATTCGAAAAAGTATATCGGCCATGTTTCCTTTGAGATGACACTCTACCGTCGTCTCTCTCTTGCGCGTGTAAACAACCATAAGTCCCTCTCGCTCCCATTTGCAGCGACTATATACAATATTCATAAGAACTTTGGAACGTCTTTGTTAACTGCTTTGTATATAAAATTGGCAGGTTTTTGCAAACGGAAACTGGTCCTTGGGGACATCTGTCACCTGCGCCACGCAGTCCTAGCAGAACTTCTGCCGTAAGTCCTGGAGCGACATCCTCGACGTGTCATCTAAGTCCTGGAACGAGTCCTGGGGGACCTAGTCCAACGAGCCCTGTTGGATCAGCTTCTGGTTCCAGGGGCTTACCATCGCAAAGACAATACCGGTCTAGAACGAGTAGTATGCCTGCTGTACCACGACACAGGGTGAGTTCATTCTTTATTTAATTAGAATTAATGACATAAGTCAATCATATCATGAAGTCACAGGATCATTGACTACCGCTTGGTACTTTGATTGAAGATTAATCGTTGATTCGAATTCTGTTATATTCCTGATTCTGTCAGTTCAGACACCAGTGTTCCAGAGGAATGGAAACCGTGAGAGGGTTTAGTCCAGCTGATATTTTTTTATCAGAGACATACCATATCAGAGACTTCAGCCACTGCATGGAATTACATATATAGCAAATACGTTTGGATTTTTAATCACTCCTGGTAACTCACTGACACACCCATGGAAAATCCGAAGTCTCGCAACGGTCCCTACTTATTTCTTTCAACCGGCTAGCGATAAACCTAACGGATATATTGTTATCCTGTGCGAATGCGACATTCAGGTATCGGATCTGCTAGAATTATGATTACGGAAAGAAAGAAATAAGGCAAAAGCGTCGCAAATGCGTTCCTCAATGAAATCGAAGGAAGGAATGGTATTGAAAAAGAAAGCGTAACGCACGTCGGCTGCCCTGAATAAATGTAACGAAGGTAGAACGATATTGTCGACAGTAAAGAGAAGCGAGGACAATGGAGAATACGTCAGGGGCGACAAGACTGAGAAGAAAGAGAAGGAAGAGAATGAAATATTCACAAGATGCAAAGTATATCAGACCATGATTATCTCTATTGCAGGGTTTTCTACGTTTTTGCTGTACATTTTTATCCAATGGAAAGAAAGAGAACGACAGTACAGCCACGCATTTACAGTGTCGCTTGCTCTTACGTTTCTTTGTTCTGAAGCCAAATGTATTTTCTTTTTTTTCATTTTTTTTTTTCTATAAATAACGTGACAATGCTTCGAGGTCTCACCGTTGACTTTGTCGAGCATGCATACCTTCAGGTCTTCGAAGAATTCATCTGGTTTAGGCCTCAAGATCCAGCGAGAGACCCACCTTGTGTCCTCCCGTTTTTATCTTCTTCAGATCGACGTTGAACGAAAGCGTCAATGCAATTCCTTCGTACAGCTGCTGTCGTAGACTCGTACCAAGCTGCAGATCCTTGTTGAATTTGCATCGCACTGTAGAATTCTCTTGGAGTATGTATTTTGCACCAATTCCAAGTGTCCATAAATTGACGCTGTCATTTTTGGCACTGACTCCATCCAAGACTGCTTCCCATTGGTCGTTGACTTGAAATTGAATATGTCAATTTTACTATGTAAATTCTTGGATTTCAATATAGTACAATAATTTGTGTACCTTTGCAATATATGGACAATCCACATTCATACGGTATGTTGTTGCACCTCGCATGAAGTCGAATATCGTCACTGCCAAATTCCAATGCCAGATCATTTTTGGTCATTTTGTTTTTAGACGAATCGTACTGGGCCTGATAACCAATCAGAATGTCTTTCCACGCGTAAACAATGCTACCGGATATCGTGGAGATCTTGTCGAAAGTATGACCTGTGATTGGAGGAATTTTATTGATGCTGGTCCTTCGAACAGTATCAATGTGCAAACTCACTATATCCGCAATTCGTGTGAATTTGGTTCTTCGCGTAACTGCTCGACACATTGACACTACCGTTGGAACTTTCCGGATTGTAATTGACGCCCAACACAATGGCCATACCGTTAAGAATCGTTTTTTCCACGTCATACTCAGCAGCGAGTGTACCGTCCTTGGACCATTTTTGACGCAATACACAATAATTTGGTACCTTGTAGCTGGATATTGTATGACCACTAGACTGTGTACGTGTCATAAAGTCAATTAATAGCACATATCATTAGAAGTACACATATGACAAAAGTCAAGCAATGCTACTGCCAATTGTATACAATATTTCGAAATTTTTCTTAAAACAAATATAATTTCTATATTTCCTTAGAATGAATAATTATCGATATTATCTGCCCCAGTGTATTTGACTTCTAGTTGATCAGTCAGTCAATCACTCATGTGTGTAATTACTTAAGTCACATCGATTTCCTAAAACTCGTTAGATCGATCACTATTCTTTCCTGAATTAGATTCTTAGTGGCCAGCACCCGTTCGCCCACTGTATACCATTCCCCTAATGTTTTGCTCAATAGCTACAAGAAACTCACTTTACTTTCGTCGAAATTCATTACGTATTCACTTCCCACGTTAAGATTTCCATTATTTTTCGTTTTTACCCCAAATCTCATGAGAGACTTGCCGTAGTGATAACCCGTTCTGATAACGTCCCTGGCACTCTTACCAATGTCGGTAAAGGGTGGTGTTGTCATTGCGATACGCCCTGGTTCAATCGTCGGGACAAAATCACAGATCGATTCTATTCTTGCATCCAATAGATAATTTTACACTGCTATCAATTAATATTGTTAATCAATACAGTAGCGACATATCCAAATATATCTTTGAAGTTGACACTGGTCCTTGTGTCGGATAAAAATGTTTTATTCTTCTATAGTCATTCGGTTTTACGTCGGTCGCGAGATTAGTTTTCACGGTTAATTTAACGCTCTGAATTTGGCCGCGAAACAAATGGAGGATGGTCGGTCGATCGATATCGAGTGACTGACAGGTGGTATTACGTAAGCGGGTAGTTCATCCGACAGCTTCTCTTCGAGCGATCTTTGTTCATCGTGGATGTTGATCTACGTGGTGTATTGTTCCATATAGTGCAAGGGTTGAAGGGGGTAGTATAGGTCAGAGAAGTTGTAGAGTAGAGAGGGTAGTCTGTTTATTTAATAAGACGAAGATAAAGATAACAATAAAATGATGGCAGGTATAGTGCTCGTGGAGGTAAATTTTAACATTAGAAAGACGGGAGCTTAGTATATACCTATATTGCCTGAAAGCAGTCAAAATGACTGCATTGTGAAAAAATAACTAATGCGCAAAGAAATTTGTTTAACAGTAATTTTTAATATATTTTATATCACTTACAGTCATATAACAAGTTATTAATAAGTATTAACAATAAAAAAAAAAAAAATAAAAAGTCGACACGTGCGCAGGCGTATCGATTAGAGTATGAGATCATACTACGTTGCAGCGCGTTCAAAGGGAACAAAGCGCGTGGCCAGGCCTGGCATAAAGATTCGAATAACAAGTACGAATAACAATAACTTTAGTTTTTGAACAACTGCAATTTATCAAGTAGATGTCGAAATCGACAATTTATCATGCACTTGTATGTTATCCACGTTGTATGTTATATTCCACTCCAGAGCCGAACTGGTCTTTTCCAAGCAGTCAAAATGACTGCTTTTCGGCAATATAGGTATAATCCACATATATATACCGGAAGTGAAGGAGGGGGGGGGGCACAACAATGATTAATTAACCCATTTATATGTTGTAGAAAAAGTCACAAAATTATAAGAAGCTGTGTCATTATTTAAATAATTATTTTTTTAATTGAAATTCAAAAGCAGTCAAAATGACTTGCTTAGGCAATCTAGTGTTAAATAATTTTATCACCAGCATTAACGCGGTCGTACGTAAAAGCAAAAATTGTCAGAACGATTAAAACTTATTTTTAAAAAGGTCTGACCCTAATTTTTTAACTAACCCAGGAATTAAAGGGAAGAAAAATGTATGACTTTAACGGATACATATATCAGGATTCATGTCGACCCTAATCCGCACTTGCCAGTCTGCAACACGGTGGCCTTAATTGCACTGATGATTATGAAAGTGGCCTAAGCCACAAATATGGAAAAAATTGAGTTAATCGTTAAAAAAAGATATTTTTTTTTCATATACACAAACGTAAGAACTTAAAAAAAAAGTGACATGCCACTTACATAATCACCGGCAGAATTATATGTATTTGATCTCGTTAATCCTTTAAGAGGACCGCCATTTTGTTAGTCGTATCGGAGATTGTTTAATCTGGCCAGAATATAATTATTCCAATCAACGGAAACGAATTTTTATCAATTTAACGCTGATCTTATCAATAGATACAGCCAGTGATCTGATATACATACGTGGAAAAAAAATATCGTTCATATACATGATATTTCTGCACGCCACCGTTTCCTTCTTCATTGTTAACATTAGAATAATCTAATCGCATCACTAAGTGCTCACAGGACATTTTTTAACCTGAAAATGGCAACTTTCTATCCGACGATAAAGACCGATAAACATATGTGCATTATGTTAAAGCTGTATCCATATGCGTTTATTGAGAGTATGTTCGCTTAATATAATGTATACGCTGCGATACGCATTAGTATTTTCATTGGTTATTGCGTGCTTTAATTGGATTCCTAAGAATGCCTGAGTCATTCTGTCCCTATTATCATGTACATACTTGCACGCAGCTATTGTCAACAGACACGCAGTTCTATGGCGTGGAAAATTGCAAGGCTTTTGTCCTGTACAATGTTTCTCTATTGGGTCGATCGAGTAATTACGTTGTTTTCCCTTCTCTTCTCCGCGCAGAACGGTAATTGTCAGGTTTCAAACGTGTCGTGAATGTAAAAGTGTCGTCGTCTTCAATGCAGGCTTTCCATTGGATCGTTGCAGTTTCTGGAAGTATCTTCTGCGCCAATCCGGTCGCGCCCTTTCGAGAGGTTAGGCTAACGTCGTTAATTATTCTTATTCGTGCTTAACCCAGAATCTATCAGTGAACACTAAGATTAATCGAACTATCGGGATTGACTAAACTCTCGTAGACAGAAGTTCTTGCGTATCCTGGATCCGTTTTCCCTGGTGATGGATTAGCTGAGAAATACAGGCAGAGATACGGAGTTCGATACAAGTGAATTTATTAATGTCATTTGGAACTCGGATGAAGACGTCAACGAGATTGAGTACATTCTTAATACGATACACATATGGTATATATATATAGGAAGTCTATAGACACTGTAACTATGTTTATTGGCTGTATTAACCCTTTGGCTACATTTGACGTATCGGTACGTCATATATTTGTTTGGGCAAAGACGCACATGACGTTCTGATACGTCGTTGAAACTGAGACGAGGTAAGCTATCTCAATATTATGTAGAAGTATACATATAAAATGAATAATACGAAATAAATTAATTCTTGCATAAAGTTTACTATTCTTACTTGCCCACAAAATTAAATATCCTCCAAATGCAAACAAATTTTCAAATAAATGTGTACCCAAAGGGTTAAGGAGGTACTGTCGAAACTACCTACTTGACTTTTCACGTTTGAAACTTTTATAGGTTATAAATTAAACAATTCTGAACTCAGTTGCAAAATTTGAAGGTCGCTCACCGACGAAAATGTTAAGAAAAGTAATATTAAAAACGAAATTTTATACATATATGGACTCAAAGGTCAGAGAAATTGAATTTCGACTTTAGATGAGAAACTGACATATTTAAAGTGAACTTTGAAGGGAAAAATGGTATACTACGGATTCGTGAATTCTTCAGGATACGATACATACCATAAAAAAGTGACTTTACCGGCTGTTCGAAAGAGTAATTGCAAATTAAATTAGAAATTCATCGGGAGAGACCCGATAGATAATTAAATAAAAGTCAACAGAGCGTATGATTTTTAAATATATTTGTGCAAATGAGCTAATTTCACAAAGATAAACACCTACAAACAAATTTCTATACTTAATGTGAATAATTTCGTAGAAAGTTCGGTTTGTTTTAATCGATTTATGGAATTGATTCGATAGTTGATCATTTGACTAGCATGCATCGACAGGACCTTCTTAATAGCTGGTAAGAGTAATTATCAATCTATATTGAAACGCCGATATTTGCGATCCCGTCCTTTCTGCTAACGACGGAATGATATTTGTCGCTTTTATTTTTGCTAATTTTTTTTATTCCTTTACATTCAGCCGATGCTAGCTGACACAAAGCGCAATGGTGTCTTTGGCACAGAGGAGAATGACGTCCCTGAGGACGGCGTCGAGTATTACAGGCTTCGCTCTTTCTCGATAACCGCTAATGGCGTCTTCAATTTGGGGGATTCTCTGAGAAGCCGACGCAGTAGGAGCATCAATAGCGTTACATCGTCCGGAACGAGTTGTAGCAGTACGAGGGAAGCCAGATTATTGAGGTGATGCTTGTGATATACATATATAGTATACAGAGTATACTATAATATACATACGTAAAGTAGATTACATAACCTAGCAAAGCTGAAAGAATATTCTCAAATTCCATTGGCGGAAATGGATTCGGATATGTCGATCCGCAGAAAATAATCGTTTAAATTTGTCCCTGTGACATATTACAGTTTTATTGGGTCTTAGTTGAGAAAGCTTGAATTTACACAAAGGGTAATGGAGGTACGAAAATAAAAATATTTTTTATCTATCTTGACAACACGTTGCGTTTCGACGCTTCATATGATCATCTGAGAAATGAAAAATTATTTGATCTAGATTCTATCTGTTTTCCATACTCACTGTCATTGGATATTCCTTTTATAACTTTCCTCTACGATTCGTATGTATAGCATGTAATATAAATATAATATGTATATTACACAAATATATGCCTATTATAATTGCGTGGAGAGTAGTCTGATGTCATTTTGAAGAATCTTGAAATTGCTTGTTTTTACTTCTCTTGGTTTTACATTACCATTTTTTGGCGTCTTTCGTTGATCTTGATATAAAGTGAAGGGAAAGTAAAAAAAATCTTATCATGCCGTATCACAGAGAATCAAAAGGCACAGCTGTATGAAAATGCCAAGAGCTCCAGCAACGCCGAAGACGTAGTACAAGCGACTCCTTTACAGTGGATGTCTGACGTGATAAGAAAAAAATAAGCAAATGGAAAAAATTAGTTTTCCATAGAAATATATCTGTCATTATCACGTGTACACAGTGATGAGATTTTTTCTTCAATGATCTCATAATCCATGGTATCTATACATGTGTGATAAGAGGCTAATTCACGCTCTGAAACACACTGGGGTGTCTCGGCTTCTTTTTTCGCGGTAAACGCTAATGGTACTGAAATCTTTTTTTAATTTTTTTTTTCTTATGTTTCAATTCGAAGCTCAGCCTTCCAGCTTTCCGGCACTGAGGGCGAGGAGGAAGCGAGTGACGGTCGAGTGGCCACTTATAAGGTTGGCATGCTTGGTGCCTCCGGGGTCGGAAAAACTGCCCTCACTGCTCAGTTCACAACCAGCGAATATATTTGTGCCTATGACGCGTCTTTAGGTGAGTTTAACACTCGTCGTTGAGATTTCTCCCAGTTTGGTGTATATCCTTGGCCGATTTCTATTTAAGGGTACATTCCGTAATTGAACCACGGTTGCGGTAATCAAATATCAGCCAATAGCATCTTGGTTGAATGACTAAACAAGATTGCGCGGGACTGTTGGTCTTTGGGTGTACTCCATTAATTCGGTTCACTTTTTACTTGAAGTTCCCTTATGATCGGAATTCTCGATTTGGAGAAATTGGATAAACTTGAATTACGGTATTCTGTCGGGGGATTGTGGTTAGGTGATAAAAAGGCGGGAAAGTTCAAATGTCTTTTTGAAACTCGTCGGAACGTTGCATTCCGCTTAAAAGAGTTCACTCGTAATTCATCTCATCAGCTTTAGTTTACGTGAAAATTTGTTTAATTAAAGCGGTGGTTCTCGTCGGCCTTTTCTTTGCGACTGCGAGATCAAAGAGATCGAGATCAAGACCAATAGTCGTTCGCCTTGAGGAGTCTGAAATTTCATTACCATATCCCGGTTGCCGTTTCACCATTAGATCAATAGAATCAATAGAAATTTGTTTGATGCGTTGTATATCCTCATTCTTCAATGCTAGGTTTAAGTGTGTCTCTTGTTTTTATTATTACTCATACGTAAGTAGAAATAATATTTTTTCTTCACAATCTCAACCATAAAGAAAGATAAAAATAAGATGAAAAATATGAATAAAAGTTGAATAAAAATGTGGAAAGTAACCAGATGTAATCGGCGCTTGCTGAGAGGACGAATAATAACTGGGAATACTTATCACAGCAATGTAATTTCTTGCGATTTTCGTAGAAACTTCTTCAGGTGTTGATAAAGTAAGGGAAACAAGAGCAGACAGAACAAGACGGACTAATGAGAAAAGAAAATAAATGAGTGCCCAAAGTTGTCTTTTGACAAAATTAATTTAATTGAGTTCCTATACGAGAAACGTACGCTTGTTGCGCAGAAGCAAAGAAACTTAAGGAGAAACTGATGGAAGAGAGAAGGTATAGACAAAAAAATGAACAAGAAAGTACAAAGCAGAAAAAAAGTGACTTTCTCACCATGAAGTGTCAAATATATGTAAGATGTAGAGTGAAAAAGAAATCAAGTGGCGTCAGGTGGTACGCAGTTTATCGGGTCAGTGAATTTGAATAGCTTGAAGCGCCATTTTATATAAACGATGGTTCAAGGAGGAGAAAGGACTGGGATAAGAAAAAGTCCAAAATTTATTTATCCACTGTTAATATTTGACCGATCAGTCAATCCACCCTATTTATTTTTTAAAAATTATTCCTCTACCTCTTTCCTCCGTGCTTATGTCTTATCCAAAATGTTTTTTTTTTTTTTCATTTTCTCATAATTTTTTTTTTAGTTACACGATCATCCATTTACGATTTGGAGATTGGACAACCAAACGCCACACAAAGCAATCGATAAAATACTTCCACCCACATTGGCTGAGAAACTGGAGTATCTTAAGTACGCTCGTTATTGCGTATAATCAATAACTCTCGTTATTTCGAGAATAGATACATTCTGATGAGAATATAAGTCATGGAGTAAAATGTAATAGATATCGATGTAATGGATAATAGCATAGAATACATCAGACGCTTTTATTATATTCTTTGCAAAATGAAAATTTGGTCAGTGTCAAGGGTGACGGTTAGTGTACGAAGAATAGAAATACGAATTGTTGGGTCTGTTTGAACGGTGGGATAAACTGATTCTAATCGGTAGAGAACTTATAGAGTTCCGGAATTCATGGAAATACGATAGGACACTGATACTGGATACAACATGGAGAGAACATAATCTTGAAAGTTTATTTTGCTCATCAAAAGCTTCGTCGCTCCTTTCGTAACAAGTTCGAAATTCCTTCTTCTGTTTTAAAATCACGGTTAAGTAATTGCCCGTATTCGGTTACCATAGGAACGATAGGATGAGTAATAGTACTTTGCGATACAAGTGCGAGAAAGCGAACTTTATAAGCAGGCGGTGAAGTTGGTCACGGTGAAGCCACACACGAGCAACACAACGGCACGAGCCGAAGGCGAGTGTTGCTTGTTTTACGAGTGCGGCGAGTGTGACGAACTTCACGAACTGCGTATAATGTTCGCTTTATTGTACCGGTATTCGCATAATATTTTATGTAACTCATGCATGAAAAACGCGGGCCGATTTGCGCATGCGCAGCATTTTTATCGTATCCATAGATATAAAGCGCCACTTTTGCCAGACTTCGGAGGCACGAAAAGTAGTGTTTTTCATGCACGAGTTACATAAAGTTAATTTTTTAACCCGAATTCGATTAAAACTTGGCTCCATATTTAAAATTACTTGATGAAATTCATTCGCTTGGTGTTTCATTATCAGGCTGTGAAGAGCAACTTTTTTCTACTTATCATTGTCGCTTTATAAGAGAAATATTTCAATCAGCTTTATATTCCCTGACTAACGCTAGGTTGATAATTTATTTTATAAACTTGATATTCAAACAAGCTTTTATTGGCGTCAAAATGGACTGGAGCATAATATGGTATTTTTCGTAGATTCAATTCTGTCTTGGATAAACATGTACGTATGTGATTCGTAAGAAATTATGATTCTCAGCGCTGTTTAGCTTGTGCGACGATCAAACTCGTTGAGCAATGACAATAGCGTTCCTTACAGTTTTGACTTGGTCCAAGTCTCATTGTCACTGGTCAATGAGTTTATGATCATTGTTCAAGTTTACCCCGCGCCGTTTACGTTACAAAAGGAAACACCGTCGTCTACATGGGTCTGCGAGGCCCGGCTAGAGATCTATGTATAGGTTCATTCCATGTGGCTTAAAAATATTAAGGACTTATCTGGGAATTATCGCATTCAGGGACCATTTTAGGAGTGGCTAATGTGAGTAAAATATTCAGATTTGAAAATGCTCCGGCCCTCTGTGATACCCAACGTAGACGGCTCTGGGTTAAACCATACCCGAATCTGTAACTGTTCATATGAGTCACCCTCTACATACTTCTAGTTAGGTTAGCTATTCATTGTAATATCCCCAACTTAGCGTGAATCGACTTCTGAGGTAATACCGCGAGAGAAATACAGAATATAGCATTCGACGTACCTAGAAATATATGTTTATATATAGAAAATTGGAGGTTGTTTACCCTGGATACGTGATTAATATAGATTATCCCTTCGCAGAATCCACACAGCAACCATTCGAAATTAATTCAAAGTGCGTGGAATATTTCGCTTTGAATCTTCACAACCAAGTGAAACATTCGGATTTTCGGTTTCTGGTGGATCACCCTGTACATATGTATATTTTTGCAGATGAGGAATACGGACAGAAAACCGTTTCTGTGATGGTCGACGGCCAAGAGACGGAATTGGAGATTATCGATCATCCGGCATCAGAGATATCGGTGAGTATTTCGAGAGACGTTTGCCCTGACTGAGGTAAAGTTTTCGGTGGCGTTTCAATTTGGACGAAACCGTTATAACCGTTCCAAGAATCATATGACGACTTTAGCTAAACTTTTTATGTACAATTACACTGCGCGTAGGGCAATTCTTTAGCAAGTTATGGACCTAATATGTATTACAGTTAGACGTGACAAAAAGGCGAAACTCGCGGAAAAACTCAAACACCCACGTGGCGTGTATTTGGACGTGTAAGGGTCGAAGAACAAACTAGGAGGAGAAACATGTCCCCTGGAGAAATGTCGAACAAGAGGCAATCAGAAGAGACGAGGTGGCATTTTGGTTATCATGAGAGAAAGTTCTGTAGAACAAAAGAAAATGATAAATAGATGACGGTGCTGCCACTCTCGGGAGATTATGAAGATAGAATTAAAAGTGTTGGAAGAAACTTTTCGATCCCTTCGTAAGAGAGAGATTCTCTCCATTTTCATCATCATTTTCTTCGTTGGAAGACAGTCGGAATATTCTTCTTTTTCTTTTGCCTTTCCCAGGTCCCTTTGTAATTTTTCTTCTTTCCTTCTTTTCTTGCCGTCACTCCGTTCGTCTTCCCTTTACTTTCAACGTTAAGACGGTCGCCTGCCAACCTTCATACAGATTCTTCGTGGTTGCTCGCCAACGTCTCCGCTGGTCGTGAAATGTGTGCCCTCTTCACTTGATCAGAATGAAAGTACACAGATTCTGATGGCGTTGTCTGGTCGAGGAAGAACTTTGGTTCTGTTTTCTTTTCCTTTTTGTACATTAATTTTCACTTTCCGTTTATCCGTTAAAAGGTCCGTACGTGTTTTCCTTTAATTCTTTGCTCCATAACTGCTCAGGCTATGCTTACTTTAATGGCTGCGTCCTTTTTTGCCAGGAAGCATCGTGCCAGGAAATAATAATTGTCGATTTTCCACCGTTACTGTTATTAAATAAGGCTAGTTCTTTCTCGGTCTCGTTTCACCTCGCTTTGCATCAGTAGAAAATTTATGAACGTTCTTTGCCATCAAACATTCTCGAGCGACTTAGAAAATTCATTATTCAAATAACGAGCAGACGCTGCTCTTACACATTTATTTAGTAGCTTTTTCTTTTACCTTTGTTCAAGTACGACAGAATGTCGTCTGTTTCATCCAGAAAGAAAACAAATAAGGAAAAAACTCAGATCTTGCTCTATGCATAAAGGAAGTTTAGGGACAAGTACAAAATTGCTGTGTGATTACTACTGATAACAACTCATCAATATTTTATATTGTGTAACTTCATTTGTTCCTTTCTTCTCCTATAAAAGCAAAACCATGTTTCTTATATTTAGCAATTTATGGTCGTCATTCGATTTGATTGATTATCAATTAATTCTAATAATAATCTTAGGATCAACATACTGATCAGGATGAACTGAAGTGATAAGAAAGCCAATCTAGGCTTGATTTTAATCAATTAAATATGTCGCCATATAACATCCCCTTACGCGTCCTTATGTCACGCAATTCGATTACGGTTAATTTCCAACAATAATTGACAATCGCTTTTAATTGAATGCCTGTGGGATCTTCCGGACTGATAACACAGAGAAAAAATGACGCCCATTATCGAAACCGAAAATAAAAGTTTCTATCAAGGAGCAATAAGGATACAATATATATTAATTAATTGTATTCTTTCCGAGGTCGAGACTTTCTGCTCCACCTACAATCCGGACGTCTACGTCGTCGTTTATTCCGTCGTGGATCGCAGAAGTCTGAAAATAGCTGAAGAGACGCTCCTCTACCTGTGGAAGAGCGACTACATGGCTAACCATGGTGTCATCCTCGTTGGCAACAAGGTGGACCTAGAAAGGAAACGAGAGGTACCACTGATTGGTCAGTGTTCCGTAATCTTTTTATCAATTGATACACTTTTAATTGCTTGGTCAAATTTAAAATTGCATCCCTCTTTCAACAGTCGGTCGCCGACTGGCCAACAATTGTCGCTGTAAATTCATAGAAACTTCATCCGGATTGGCGCATCACGTGGACGAATTACTCGTTGGGATACTCGCTCAGATTAAGCTGAATCCACAACGCGATAGGGACCAGGCGACGCGACGACGACGTAGCAAGCATCGACGAAGGATCCTCAAGCACTTATTGGGTATCAAGAGGAAAACCAAGAGCTGCGAGAATCTTTTCGTTCTCTAACTTTACATACTACAGAGTATTATTACATTGCGTACGCGCCCACGGTACAGATCGTTTCATAGATACCTTTATCGAACTGTAAATACGTCATTTATCCATTTCTTTGATATCGTAGATTATAAGTCTAGTAACGTTTGTATACAGGGTGTCGCAGCATCCTCTCAATTATTCATAATAATTCGTGACACCCTGTAGCATGCTATATATATATATATATCATTGAATATCACTAATTTATCGGTTTTTATCATAATCCCGCGAAACTCGCGGCGAATCTTGTATAGAACCTTGCAATGCTAGGAATTGTATTAACTTATGAAATATTACGCAGGACGTTGTGCCCTTACAATTTTCTCATTCACAAACATACATTTCTTTATTCGAACGCGTACTCACTTTTACATCCTAACGTCGTTATTATTCGTAAGAACTTGGTATATATTGTCGCGAATCGATAACTTGCTTCAGCGAGGAGACAACTTTTTTTTTAACTTTTTAGTGTCATCTCTAATGTCTCTGACAAATGGCGTGTTCTCACGGCGACGTCACGTTGATTTGAAACAACAGGAATATATATATATATATCTGCGTGTCCATTAAGATATCCACAATGGCGGAACAATAACAGGACGTCATAAGCCGACTGAAAGATTACATTATGGCGCGTCCAATTGAATGGGACCTAATAGTTATAATAACAAAAGATAATGTATTAAACATAATTCGTCTATGTCAAATTTAATTTGTCGCTTCGAGGTCAAACGGGCTGAGGGCTGACGTCCGAAACCTGCACGAACGTGTACGGGTCCGTCGAAGCTTCTGGAAGGCTTACCGGGGTGGGGGGCAAGGGGCTTTCTCAAAACGTCGAGCGAGAGGACCGTCGGCTCTGGGAGCGAACCTTCCCGACTTAGCATGGACACGAACCGTCGAAGCTTCCAGAATGTTCTAGAAGGTTCTAGAATGTTCTAGAAGGTTCTCGATCGTGCGTAATTCCCGGAATCGAGCGCAAAATTCCCGGAATGTGACGCAAAATTCCCGGAATCGAGCAAAAATTCTTGGAATCGAGGGGTCTTGGTGACGTCACTTCCGGAAATCGTAGAGCTCACGACGGCAACTTAGCACGGACACCCACCTTCGAAGGTTCTGGAGTGTCGGTATATGTCGGTTACAGGTCTCCTGGTCCAGAACTCCCAAACTTATACTACTGCTGTTTATATCGCGTCGACGTTACAACGTATTTGTAATGGATCTCGTATACAGTTGACAGCGATCATTATACTTGAGAGTACCTCGTTGTCGACGTTGTACGTTTTTACGCGAATCGAAATAGAAGGAAAAAGATAAATAAAAGTAAATTGACACGTGACCAAGAAACTTTCATAGGATTAATGCTTTTCGACCTTTTGCAATGAAATGTCATCGGTAGTCCCTGTTGTTTTTAACGATATCTCGTTAGATTTCTTGCAGCTTCCGTTCGAGACTTCGCTGTTACGAAAATAGATTGAGAGTCGTACTCGATGATCGATTGTAATCGGAGACACATGATTACGGCTAATTAGGCATTGTTCCCTGGGGCGTGATCTCCTTCTCTTATTGTACGAGGCACGTCGTCGTCGTCGTTTCTAGAGAGGCTTTTCTTCTCCCGGACTACTTGACCTCCCTTGGGATATCTGCAATCCTGACTCGCCGAGCTTGGCTTTCGTAAGCCTCCTGAGTCCTAATGAGAGTCTTCTGGATAGACCCGTATGGCATTCTGCTTTTATAAATTTTCTTTTCTTTGCTTAGGCTCGGATTCGCCTACATAAATTTAAACTTAGCTAAGTAATAAGTATTTTGATCAGTCGCATGTGCGATACTTGAGCCCCCATTAAAGTTTATTTGATTTTGGTGAACTCGGACTTTACAAATTGTGTAGAACTCTTATTTAATAAAGTGTAATAACATTTGTCCATTGAGCCAAATCTTGTTAGTGTTTCTTCTTTAATTATTGCATTTGTTTGGATGAGTTTGGGGCTGAATGAAGGAAAAAAAATGTCAGCTATTGTTCAGCGGTCGGTTTCATTGATTGTGAAGTTTAAGAATTCCTTGGAAGTAATTTATAAAGGTATACTTTTATATGCGAGATAAGCTTGGATTATTATACGGTGATTTTCTAAGCGAATTCTATTTTTAGACAGGGAGGATTAGGCTTACCTGAGACACAGCTTTCATCCCCATTTTCATACATTCGTTCTTTCAATTTAATGGAAATCTGAGAATTCCCATTGGATCTTTGGCGGTTATCACGTAAAATTTTATTCGGTGAATCAGTTAATTCACAATGCTCTCATGCAGCTTTTGTTGTAGGAAGATGATTCCAATTATCTTTTGGTGGAGATGGTGGATATCTAACAATATGAACCTGAAGCAATATTAGATTGTGAATGTCAAACGAAGAAGTATTTATGTTGCACTATAATCAGTAAAGTTTTCAAATAGGATTGTGTCCCATGCTGGGTCGAAATTTTACTTGGATAACACGGAAGTGGATAGCGTGGTGGACAACATGGAGGAGGTGGTCGTGGTGGTGGTGGGCATTTTGGTGGTGGCGGTGCTGGTAGAGGACAAGGACAACATGGTCCAGCAACTATTGGAGGTGCACAAGGTGGTGGAGGACAGCAGACTGGTCGACGCGGTGGCAGAATACAAGGGACTTCCTGGATTCTTGGTGGTAACATTATACAGCATGATGGCGGTGGTGGAACCTTTGGACACTTGCTGCACGGATGAAAGAGTTAAGAATGTCTTTTATTTGAAAGAAAAAAATCTGTACCAGCAATCGATAGAGCATATTAAATATTTCAATTCCTCCATTTTGTTCCAGCAATCTTGTCCTCCACATCTTGATCTATTACTACACATGGTGCTTCTTGAAATTGTCTTTCCTTTGAAGTGTCTAACTGATACTAATAATTTTGAATTTCTTTTTTCATCGTCACGTCACAAGGCCATTCAGGTTTCCATGTCACAGCGTGTGAATTTTGTCCGAAAAAAAAAAAAACGACAATCGCCTTTGAGAACAAAGAGAAATAAAAGACAGTTTTTTTAAAATAAAAATTTAAGTATTTATTCAATTACGTTTCTACTTTACAGTAATGCTAACTATCCTTATGTCATCGTAGGGTTTGTCGGTTTTAGGATTTGTCTTGACCTGACTGATATTCTGGACGACCTCCATTCCTCTGACCACCCTGCCAAACACTGTGTGCTTGTTGTCCAACCAGGGCTGAAAATAAATGCATCTTTAACATCCCGTTGCAGACCTTCACCAAATTCAAAGTGTCATACCTACCGTAGGTGTTAAGGTAATGAAGAACTGGCTGCCATTGGTGTTAGGACCAGCGTTCGCCATACTTAGTGTGTAAGGTCGATCATGTTTTAAATTTGACCTGAATTCATCCTCGAATTCACCACCCCATATACTTTCACCGCCGGTGCCAGTTCCGGTAGGGTCCCCAGTTTGTATCATGAAGCCTTTGATAACACGGTGAAATATATGTCCATTATAGTAGCCATTTTTAGAGTGAACGCAAAAGTTCTCAACGGTTTTAGGAACGTCCTTGCCAAAAAGATTGACGTGGATGTCGCCGAGAGCCGTGTGAATGACCGCAGTGTCGTAAATCTTCTGCATGTTCGTAGCCTCCGTGGAAGATATGATGTCTTCCTTAGATGGCTTCTCGTTGAAGACGTCTCTGTCACACTCCTGACTCTTGGTGTCCTCAGGTTCGCGTCTGGTGAACATGTAGAAACGGTTTTTCTTGTGGGCTGTACAGAAGAGTGTCGGGTCTGGTCGATTCATTTCCATTGTTGGGTTTTCCGAAGCTTCCATTTCTACTGTTACTGCAGCTGTTGTTTTTCTTGCTTTGCCCTAATATTAAGAATTCATTTTTTTCATGACTTAGTCTGGACACAGATAAAGGATGTTGGATGGTGATTAGTACCTGAAATAGAGCTAGTTGCATCGGCCGGATATTTTCTGGTTTTCCCATTATTCTTATACAGCGGTTCGTGTAGAGATTCACAAGCTTCACTCCTAACATTGTACTGTAAAGGATCATATAGCCGGATTCATCGAATATGATGTTTCCGAGGTTTGTTTCTGTTTTATCCAACTCCCTCTCTACTGCCATTCTGTTAAATTATAGAAAATTTATATCGGATTGTTTAGGATAACACATTTATGTAATACCAAGTATCAGAATACCTTCGACCAAACTCCATGTTCGGGAGTTGTTGAGTTGTTTGCTGGAGTTCTGTGAATCTTTGGAGTGTCTCATCGAACACTCTATAAAGCTTTCCAGTGAGGAAATTGAAGACCCTCACTTTTCTATCTCCGCTAAGAGATGCAAATCTCTTTCCATCTGGTGACACTGCCAGACCACAGGGATATGTTCTGTTCTTTGCAAATTCAAACAGATCCGTATCTAATTTCGACTCAAATGATACACATTTTGGGAATTTATATTCTGTTTTTGGACCAGTCCAGTATTCCAGAATTCCTGCCTTGTCGACGGATATACAAGTCTCGTATGTAGGATTGTACTGCAGAGTAAAGAAATATGTTATAAAGAAGGTAATCAAATTACTTGTCAATTACAATGAAGGTATCTTACTCTCATAACTATAACTGGATTTGTATGAAGTTTCTCAAAAACATGTAGTGGTATAGCTGTTCCTTGGCCATCGTAAATGTATATCTTATTTGTATCTTCATCGGAGACTGCCAAAGCAGATATTGCATCCCCAGGTGAAAATACCCATTCAGCACACAATGGGACATAATCGAGTTTCATCATATTAATCATATCTAATTAAAACAAATGGGAGTAGCAATATAGATGGCAATAAATAAATAATTTTGAAACAATTAGGTCAATTAGATAGTAGATATTTACCAAAATTAACAACGTCAAAAACTTTAATACTCTTGTCTAAACTGACTGTACATGCATAAGCCCCATTACAGCTTGCACTCATAGCACGTATGGCCATTAAATGTGCTCGAAAATGCTTCACAAATTCAATGAGTTCTTCTTGCTTCTTCCAAAACTTCACATGTCCATCACAGCTTCCGGTAATGATGAAATTTGTTCTGCAGAGAAAGTAATAAATTTACAAATATATATCAGCCAAAAATATTTCTATAAAATACTTACTTTGTTACTAAAACTTGTGTGATGACATCTCTGTGCATGTATGATTTTTCATAGCATTCACAGCATGGCAAATTATCCAAGTACACTTGCTCGTACTCCAAAACTACAAAATAAAGATTCCCATAAGAAACAAACAAATAAATATAATTTATAATAAGTAATCAATAAAACCAGAAAATTCTTAGTAATGAAATCAATTCAACAGTGCCAATACTTTTATTTATTTGATTATACATTCTAACATCAATGTATACTGAAAAAAATATGAAACAAGCAAGTACAATGTATACCAAAACATTTGCATTTATTATGATCCCATTATTATAAAATCAATTAATTATCCTGAATCATGTGTAGGTTACTCGAATAAACCTTTTTGCTTTTTTTGAGGAGCTGCCTCTGAGGGCAGTGGCCCGACCCATCCATCCTCCGCGTCGTTTTCCTCGTGTTCCCGCTTATTACACGTGCTTTCCATCACGATTATTTCCTTAGGATTATAGTAAATCAGAGTAGGGTGAACAACAAATAGAAGAAAGAATGAATTCCTTATTTAAAACGAGTAGTGAAAATGACAGTATTTTGTGACGGTAAACCGTAGCAAGCGAATTCATGAGTAAGCCCGGCATCGGATAGCTAAAAAAGACGTTAGCGATCGATGGAATATAGAACGACTCCAGCATTCTGCAACGTATTCATAATAAGCGACGGAAGTCAGACCGACGCCATTGCAATTTACTAAAAAAAAAAAAAGAAAGCCGACAAGATCGACCCTCGCAGATACAATATAAAGAAGAGCAAGGGATAAGAGTACATGAAAACATTAGTAACAGCATCCAAGCCAGAAAAGAATTATTGTAAGAGAATTATTCCAACTGAAAACCTCATCGATTTTGTCAACATCCGTGACGCATTGTTCACCATTGTCGTTTGTAACGATGAAATACATACTTGCCCTTACGGCATTCCCGGCAACTTCATTCTGCATCGAACTCATTCTCCGATTGGCTGAGAAATTTGATAAACGCAACCACGCCAGTATCCGACCAATCCTAGCAAAGACCGGTCATCAGAGCAATGATTTTCTCAGTACATCCAACGGCATTTCTCGTACAATAAAACCCATAGATAATTAAAATAATAACCTTATAATATATTACTAATAATCGAATATTTGTTTGCCCAAATAATCAGTTTCTTCCTGCTAAAACTATCACATTTAGTGTCTGAATTGGCCGTGCAGTTCGTGGGGGAGGTGGCGTTCATTGTTGCAGCGTGAGTTTGGCGGGTAGCACAGCGACGATTGGCCGGTCTTCGCTCCCATAGTCAATGGTCGCCGCAGCCGTCCGGTCAAGCATCGGCTCGAGTTTTCCAAGGAAAAACACTGTTTCCCGCGAGCCCATCGTGTCAAGAGTTCACCAGAGAACAACGTGAGGAGCATATCCATACGAAAACGCAAGGTGTAACGAAGGTGAGTGAAATAAACTGTAAAATCAGTTAAAATCATTGTGGGGCACTACGGTAAGGCGACTCACCGCGGACCGCTGTACGGTTCCACACGTGGTCAGAGTATTCTGTAGCTGGTTTTGCCCTATTGTACAAGGATATACCGCGTAAGAATCACGATTCAGGTGATAGGAATAACCCGGGATCATCGACTGGGACTCGGGCGTCCCTGTGATCGGTGCGAGGCGTCGCGGCTTTTTCGCAGAAAAAAAACGCCGTCTACGGCGTCATTCTCGGATGCCATCTTCGCGCCGTGGCGTACGTGCGTGCTAACGCAAAGTGGGGGCCTCAGCCACGTTGCTTCTACCTTTTGATATTATATCCATCTTCGATTCATTGTCTTTGACCTCAGTTTATACATTATTTTCGACATCGTCAATTTGTGAGACTTCTTTTATTTTCGTATATCCGTAGTACTACTCTTCTTCCCTTTACTACATTTAGTCTACTCGTTCCTCATTCTGCTTCGATTGTCCTCAATGGTTTGTTGCACTGATGGGACGCTTTGCGAAACGCATGCTATCCTCCATATATCCCTGCTGTGAGAACGTGGACCGATGCCATTTTTATTCCTCGTTCACTCTGCCCTTATGTGACCTGTGAGTTGCTAGTTAATCAGGCAGGGCTTCTCTAGTTTTACCAAGATTTCCAGTATTATGGATACGTATATATATGCCTATATACATATATATATACATACGTATATATATATTTACTTATTTTTCCCCCTTTTTCAATAGTAAATCACTGACCCCTCCTTCCTTGATTCTCCCTCCCTTTCTCTATCTCTCCATCTCTCTCATTCTCTCAGTTGCTCCTTCATTATCGGCTACGCTTTACGTATGTACTATTCTGTGGCTATATGCATTTGCTCTTTTACGTATAGCTTATCTTCCACCATTCTACTACCTCGTTTACTGGTACTTCAGCTCTATTTTCCTGTTTTCGTCCGTGGTGCGAAGCTTCCTGTATTGTACGATTATATAGCGAAATGCGTCGGTCCTTTACCTTTGATAAATGGCCAACGTGAAACGAAGGAAAAATTTGTGATGTGCATCCATTTTTGTCAGTCCGCCGGTCGGCTAAGTTGACGGCGGATGGTACTGAAGTATTTTGTTGATCGCAGATGAATATTTGTGTGGACGGTGACGATGCAAATTTTATTATAAATGCTGAGGAAGGGAGAAAAAGGAGTTGTGTAGTTGTTGCTTTGGAATTTCTGACTTGGTCAAGAAGTGTGAATGTGTTGTTTAAAGATAGTGACGTTATAATTACACAAATTCTCATGACTGGTGCTCTTATCGGGTGTGCAACTCTTGGATTATCTGGTAACGTCAAGAGGGTATAAGAAATACAAATATTCTTAATAATGATTTGATGGCTTGAGTTTATTGGAAACATGTTGGGATACTTGTTTGTGAGTGATGCGAAGATATCATTGTGTCTTCTGTTGGGACGATGGTTAAGATGTGAATTTATGTGGCTCGCAAAAATGAGTCTAGATGCTGCTGTTACACTTCTCTTCTTATCCCAGTAATGGCAAAGCCCACCTTTCTATTTCTATATTAGTCACAAGGCTGAGCTGTCACAGGAATTTCTCCAGCTTTCTCCTTGCAGTATTTTTTAGCACCGTCTTGCTCTTATATATTCGTTTTGCTCTGTTATCCTTTGCTGTGTCTTTGTTTCTTTAAATTAGTTGAGAAAAAAGTCCAAAATTTTGCACTTGTATATGAATCCACGATAATGATCCTTGTCTCCAAATACACGTCCTTTGAACAATCAAGGACAATTAAAATATAATAATCCCAATGTAGCAATCGAATAAACTCAACAAATTGTGATTACAGGTCGATAGAAAATGAGTTCGAGCGTGTGCTATAAATGTAACCGGATGGGTCACTTCGCAAGGGAGTGTCCTCAGGGTGGTGCTGGCGGCGGACGAGGAGACCGTGGACGTGATCGTGACGGTGGCTTTGGACGCGGTCGCGAGAAGTGCTTCAAGTGCAACCAATATGGACACTTCGCACGTGAGTGCAAGGAGGACCAGGACCTCTGCTATCGTTGCAACGGCGTGGGTCACATTGCAAAAGACTGCCAGCAGGTAAGCTCACTGATGCAAACCACATCATACCTCCTAACAGCTACACCTCAGTCATAAAAACCACAAAATATCCTCATCGATGAGTGCTCCATCACCACATCCTATCCTCACTGCCAGTCCACGCGGTGCATCCACAACACGTCAAGGATGCTTCATCCCCTTCACTTATCGTTGCTGGCTGATTAACCAAGTGGCTTGCACCACCTTTCCACCTAGGGGCCCGAGCTGAGTTGTTACAACTGTAACAAGACGGGTCATATCGCGCGCAGCTGCCCGGAGGGCAACGACACTGGGCGCTTCTCATCGCAGAGCTGCTACACTTGCAACAAGGCTGGCCACATCGCACGCAACTGTCCTGAGGCCGTCGGCAAGACCTGCTACGTCTGCGGCAAGCCCGGCCACATCAGCCGCGACTGCGACCAGGACGACAGGAAGTAGGAGACGACCGGAAGCTGTGCCGCTCGCTTAACGATAACGATAAGCCGTTTACCGTCGCGTGCGCCATTACCGGGGATTGTAGCTAGGTAGGGATGAACGGTCGTATGTCTTCTCGTCGACGCGTATAATCGCCAAAGACGTGCTGCGCCACGGTCGTTCGGATTCCCATCTTTCCATGCCCAATTCCCGAAAAGCAAAAAAATATATTATACCCAATATCACACCCACCACCCATTCACCGACAACCAAACAAACAACACCCTGACTCCCATTTCCCTCTTTCCTTCGTATGTAACCTTATAAGTACCACCAAATCCTTCTCCGGCATCTACCCCCCCCCCCCCCCAAAT